AATGTTTCGTTTCGTAATCTAGGGGGAGGCAATAGATAGTAGTCCTTTCGTCGGAGGTCGGATATGGAAGTTTTCCAGAGGTAACATGTTTATAACGATGTAACAAATAATTATGGTGAAATACCTCTGTCGAGTAAGTACTAAAAAGAACAAGATATCCCCTTCTCGCCTCTTCCCAATTTCAGCAAATGGAGTCTCAGACCAGTTGAACCAAGTCGGACGTGATTCCACGTCCGACCGTCGCCAAAACGAGGTGGATCGCCGGCAACCCAATGGGATCGGGGCTCGTAGGCGAGGCTCCGCCCAGACCGCAGCTTGGAGGCATTAAAGTATCCGATGGAACCAGTCAGCATACGCCGGGTCTGGTGTTCCTGCTTCTTTTAGATAACTCTGTAATCCAGCGGTTAGGTAATATCTCTGTCTTATTGGGTCTTTCTCGGCCTTCGCCTTTTTTTTCCGCCATAGCCGAGACCTGGCCCCAAGACTTGAGAGACATGGATACCTCACTACAGTACAGTGAGAAAGAGAGTCCGTGAGATACAGACCTCACACGCAGGAAAACTTCCAGAATCCGCAATCGAATGATGAAAAGAACTCCGGGTCCTCCGGATGATCCACTCAGGGGAAACTGTGGCTCATGATTCCTATTTTCTCTTCAATATAACCCTTTCCAGAATCGTATCGGACTCGATTCCGTAACCGCCGACGGGGTGGACTCCATTCATGTGTTGCCTTGTTCTGCCGAGCAGAGTTACATTCTCGTCCAGGGATGAATGGGGCCTAAGGATTTTTTTTTTTTAATAATTTTGTTTTTTCACCACCACCCCCTTGGGCGCTGTTTTCGGACTCAGAAGATCTGTTGGATACGTCGCTTCCTGCCGCAAGGGGCAACCTGAGCGATCGACTGACTAAAAAAAAAAAAGAAAGTATTAGGGTTTTTGGACCAGTCCTAGTATTTCCTTCCCGCTGAAGCTTGACATCACTGTACATACCACATCTAGACTCAATTCAGGGTTCAGACGGAGGAACCTCCGTTCATGCATCCCCTTCGACATATATGTTTTTTGTTTTTGTTTTTTTGACCCTTTTTTTCATAAACATTCCTCAGGGGAGAGTTGGATCCTATTACGTTTCTTTCCCTCTTCTTTGTGCTCTCTTCCCGAATCCACATGTGTGTCTCGGCGCTAAACAAGATTACAAAGTAATAATACTATAATTTGTCTATATTATGAACTATAATATCCTCTCGCTATACCCGACTCTAATTAAAGTAGCCAATCCCTGCTCGTCGACCTATGCTCTATATGAGTGGACTCCTCCCCGGTCCTCCTCCTGTATATCTAGTTAATTTATAGGGCTGTTAGCACTATACGTTATCGAAAGGGGTTCGTCAAAAGGATACAAAGTGGAGCTGCGTCAAATCTCGCTACGGCCCCGGTCTTGTTTCGGATTTATAGAGGAATCCATAGTGCCTCGGGCCAGTGATGGGGTATATACAATGTTTCATATGTAATATTGATATGGATGTAGCATTGTTTTCATGGTGGCCATGTCATGAGATTTACTGCCGGATCGTACATCAAGGCTGGAAATAGTATGCCTCTTACTCAGGCTGCTACATTAAGAAAGGAGTGTTTGACATTTTGAAAGCTTTTGTTGTCTTCTGGTGGAGATGAAGGCATATTAGGGTTTGCATTAGATGATATATACAGACATCGTACTAGTAGACTCTTCATTATCATACATTTATATATTGTACCTGTAAGATTGGAACCCCTTCGCACGCCATTATCCATGGTCCAAATCGAAGGGACGAATTTCAGAAGTCACACGAGCCTATTTCTGAAATATTAGGCAAGTATTGTTCACAGAGGATACATGCTGTTCTTCCCTGAAGGTGGAATATAAAGTAAAACTAAGGTGTGGACAAGTATGGAACTATACTAATTATCGAAAATACATTAGTAGTACTGGATTACGCTCCCCTTTTATTTCTTGTACATGCCTTACTACTCGGCACAAGCAGCCCCTGCTATGCTTTCATCTGCGAGCCCTAGACGGGCTACCAATTGCATTTGCACGAAATATCAATTGTCCAACAGTATCAAGGATTACTGTACTTTCCATTCCATGAATCCGGTCAGAACATGACGAGTATGTGCAGCAGCGTCCGTGCAATGTCAATTTCAAGAGTAGTCAGGTGATGGGATGCTTGGGGCATCTCTCTCGCCTTGCTAGCATTAACCATACTGTTTACACATGTATGAAATACTGTGTTTCCGTTTGCAATATCATCTGACCATGTCTCCCCCTACACAACGTCCTTGATCTGGTACCTTGATAGTATTTTCTGCCTGGTTTATGTCAATGATTCGAGAATTTGCGATATTAATGCAATACCACTATAATTTATCAGAGATATACCTCATTAGGTTCGACTTGATTAATACATGACCTTCTCTGCATCAACCTGAAACAAATTGGAGGAGGCACATTCTCAATGCGAGAATGTCATTTCTTTGTTGGAATATGCCGATAGCTGCGTGTTGCGAGAGCATATATAGTATCATATTTGACCTAATCCAGCCGCTGGCAGATTCTCATTCCTACCAAGGACATAGACATAAAATGAGGGGCCGACATCAGCTCCCCGTTCCTGCGAAGAGGCAATATATCCCCCTATCAGCAGGGTCGTTGTATACAGCATGGTGCAATACGATCTGGCTCAAGAGACATATACAGACATGGAAACATGTTTGGCATCTTTGGCTACGACAAAAGAACTGGCAGATGTGAATATATGGAATAATCAGGCACAGCTTTTGTGGAAGCCCGAAGTATCATTTCACTCAAGAGTGTCTCTTGTCGTGCTCGAAAGTTTAGCCTGCTCATTGATTATGGGCTTGTTCTACCTAGCGTACAATGCCCCCAGATACCAAATTGTATGAAACTCCAGCTGAATCCCAATTAGCTCAGATGCAGCGGAGATAAGCAAGGCTGATAGGTTCCGGGCAGCCTCTGATGGGTACGGATGTTTAAGGAGAGAGCAGAAAAGAGAGCAATGCTTATTACTTCTTTAGTCTACGCCAATGGACTCTCTACCTGCCCAGGGTCAGATGCTGCATATCTGCCTCAGCATACGCACTCAGAGCTAAAGATAAATACTCAATCAAGTCGCAAAAAAACCAAAGGGGCGCCAGAATATCGATATTTCCAAATCATATGCCTTATTATCAATACTGATGCTTTTGAGTTACCCCCGGCCGGTTTGACTTGTCGTGAATTCATTCGATGACTATAACAGAAATAGCGCGAGCAGCGACCAGCGTGATTTCGTGGATATATTACCCTTGGTACCCACAAATGTAGGAGAGTGCAATCCTCAGGACAACTTCGCTAACGGGACAATAGCTACGCTGCGTTGGACTGATCCCCTGCCAACTCAGCAAGACATGAACACTTACGAAACAGCTCTATAGAACCATATATACATATATCACACTTATTGCGGCCCTGAGTGTCAGACTGGTACCGGAAAGGTGACCCACGACACTATGCCAATGCCAGATACAGCAACTACATCACTCCATTAGCCTTGATCTCGGCCTGGGTGCTTCCTGCTGTTGTTCGAGGGGTATGCATCTCTAGTTGCTAGTCCCGGCACTGTTGCAAACAAGCTCTTTGTCAATTGTGTCGACAACAGTCACTAGGACCGTCATGAGATGCATATTGCCGTCTAATTCGGTCGATACGGGTTTGACCTACCCAGACTTTTCTGGTTCTTCACAATCGACCCCATTTACGATGTTGTGTCATTGTATTAGGCCATCTGTGATCTAGACCATATCAAAAGGGGCACGCGGTTGAGTAATCTAGTATGGAATGTGCCCATTGACAGTAATGGGACGCTCATCGAACTCCTTCGTGGGGTAGGGTAGCAGCTGCCATGTAGGGAGACTTACTAGGATCTCTATCAATCAGTTAGTCTTGTTTCTCAAGACTAGCCTAATTTAGTTTTCATTACATCAGTCCTATGCCTAGAGATATACATACCTGAGGCTCGCTTATGATATAAAGCCCTCATGGTTCCTCCTCGAAGTGCCTCTAATATATCTGTAGTTAAATTGGTCAAATGGCGATCTTCTCATCCATCAATTCCCCCTACCTTTACAACTATCCGTCTGAAACTAGCGCGCAGAAACATCGAGATGCATTCTCACCTAGATGCTGGTCCTGCGTGTGGCTCTGACAGTCAAACAGCGCATGAAGACCAAAAGAAGCAGCAAAACCACTCTAAGCAGGTCATTCCATCGTCCAATTCTTCTATTTCCATAGAATAGATCGCATGATCAACCAAGACCTGCTTAAGAGATGCGCAGCAGTAACCATCATTTTTTTTCTCGTTTAGATAACACCCGCTTCGCTGGGGAGAGCTTACAGCTTCTCCTGGGGGCTTTCATTCCCATCCAGAATGCTCCTGCTCTACATCATATATGTTCATATGTTGTCTTTGGTGCCCAGAAAAAAAAAAAAAAAAAAAAGCCAGTCGCATGTATGCAGTACTCCGTACAGGCACATATCACAAGTATAAGCAGACAATTCAGTTGACATGCACTACAGGACAGAAACGGCTGCATATCCCCTCGCCCCCCCGGGTATTAACATACTATGGACATGTAGAGCCTGCATCTCAACCGCAAATATCCGATTTGCATTTGTTAAGGCTACATGCCCTTCTCTCGGTCTTATTTTCGCCAAGACGAATGCCAATATATATCTAGGAACAACTATCATAGACGATGCTTAATTACCCCATACTAAATCCTACAACACCAAGATCTGCTTTACTAATAAAACAACCAACCACTTAACATCAACCCAACATATCCCACAACTCCACCATACCCACTTACAAAATACAAAACGCTGGTTCGAAGTCCCATTCTTTTCTTTGGTAGTAAGGTATATGTATCCTAAAACTGGTCTATGACGACATCACAGGGCGGCTGGCCTAATGGTAAGGCGCTAGATTTCGGCTCTAGAGATTGCAGGTTCGATCCCTGCGTCGCTCGATCTTTTTGTCTTTTTGTTTCGATCACCCTGATTAGGTCGGATGTATTATTCTTGATTGTCTGTCAATTGCACTGTATTATTTGTTTTGGTCATGCTCCTTTGTTGTTTTTCGTTTTGTAGGTAGGACCCTGTCTTGGTCAGGGTGAGGGCTAACTGCTGGTATTTATTAAATGAATGAAGTGTCTTTTTGATGGCTGCTTCTAGACGAGATCTGCTGATTAGTAGGGGGGTAGGGTAGTAATATGGGAATAACTCCAGATACCAGGGTCTCGCCTAGGTCTCCTGGTAGGACTACGTTGAGTAGAATTACCTCAACTGAAGTTACTTAGATGAAACTACACCCAGGAACCAGCAGTTGATATCGACCACTGTACATGTCTATTTAGTATACATTTCAGGGTAGAGTAGAGTAAAATACATTATGTACAGATCAACAGTCCGCCCTGCCGAAATACCGAGGGAAAGAGACCACATCCCGGATACTGGAGACACCGGCCAGGTATCCCAGGAATCGGTCAAACCCCAGACCGAATCCTCCATGGGGCGCTGTTCCCCATCGCCGAAGATCCGCATACCACTGGAGATGGCCTAGGTCTTCACCGGGCTGGAGGTGGGGGTACAGCGGCGTCTCGGAATCGACCTGTGCTTCCGCTTCCGCTTCTGGAACGGATGGTGCGCGGGTCTTGATCAGCCCGTGCTCGCGCATGTTCTGGATGATGTTGGGGAGGCGATGTTCGCGGAGGGAGCCTCCTGCGACTTCGCTAACTTCCGGGAGGAGGAGATCAAAGCAGGCGACTGTTTCGCCTGGTGCTGCGGAGCCATCCCCATTGGATGGTAGCATGTAGAACGGCTTGACGACCTTAGGATAGTCGGTCACGAACACGGGACGGCCGTTGTGAATCACGTCGACGATGTACTTCTCGTGTTCGAGTTGAAGGCCGCCGGTCCATTCGGGTGCATGTTCGAATGTGGCTTGTCCCTTGGCGACTGCATCCTGGAGCTGCTCAATCGCTTGTGTGTAGGTCATACGACCCCACTTGGGCCCCTCCATCATATCATTCCATCGCTGTCTTAGATCAGCACCAGATCCTTCAGTCTGATCTTGGCCGGACTCGCCCGACCGCTTTGCGGACAAGATCTCCTGGCCAACAGGTGTGTCATGTAACCGACGAACCAGGTCCCGGAGAATATACTCCACGGAGTTGGTCAGCGAGTCCAGGTCATGCATGTAGTTCATCTCCGCCTCCAGCATGTAGAACTCGCTAAGATGGCGCGGTGTATCGCTCTTCTCGGCCCGGAACATGGGTGATATCGTCCATACATTTCCTAACTCCGCTGCGTAGGCCTCGAGGTGGAGCTGTGACGATACCGTCAGGTATTTGGGTGCCCGGAAGAAATGCTCGCCCTCTGACTGTGCCCCCATAGCCTCCCGCGGTAGGACTGTGAATGTCTCTCCAGCACCTTCACAATCCGACGATGTGATTAACGGTGGGTGGACCTGAACGTAGCCCCCGTTCGGGGCGAAGCGAAACACATTTCCTAGCTGGTACAAGCATTCGGATCGGAACCGTGAGAGGAGGGAGCTGAATGGTGTGCGCATGCGGAGGTGGGGAATCTGACGAAGGAAATCGGGGCTGTGATACTTTTTCTGGATAGGGTAGGTCTGTTCGTATTATGATAGTTAGCTGCACCGCACTTGATCCTTTGTATGAATCCAGGAAGGCCTTATCTACCTCAGGGTCTGCTTTCCCAAGAACATTCACGTCTGTCGTTTGAAGCTCATGCGTCTGCTCCTTGCCCGGTGGGCAAGCCTTCCAGATCCCAGAAATTTCCACAGCAGTTCCGGTAGACAGTCTAGAGATACGTTGGTTAAAATACCAGTTCTTCGAAACCAATCAAGGGTGGTCAAGCTCAGCAGCGAGATGTGACGTACTCGGCAGCCTGTGCTGGTCTCAAAAAAGCCTGTACAGGCTCAATTGTCGACCCATCTGAGATCTCGGCAAACGCAAAGCGTTTCTGCTTTCGGACGGAGCGAATAAACCCATTCAACCTGATCTCTTGATCTTCTAAACTGCAGGGTCCATTCTTGCTTTGCTCCAGGACTTGTGCGCATCGTAAGAGCGTGGGGCTGACGCCCTGACCTGCAGGTTTATGGCTCAGTCTGGCAACAGACGTAGCGAAGGTTCGCCGCCATGTTCGCATTTCTTGTAGGGAAGGGCACCGAGCTGGTTGTGGTGATGGGCGTTGAGGGCTCTGTGTCTGGGTGAACGCGCGTGCGCCTAAGCGCTCGAGGACGGGCGCGCAAATTAGTTGATCGGCCTGATAAATAGCTTACTGTTATCTCCGCGCCTTTTCAAACGGAACCCTCTAAAGCCCACCTAGGAAATGCAAATGTACTTCGGAGCATATAATCCATTGAAACTAAAAGGCTAACTCTGTAGCAAAGCTATACACTGTATCCGCTTCAGTTACCCTTGCCGGCTGCGCAGCTGCCACAGATTTAATAGCCAAATAATCCAGCCACTCATTCGCCCTGTGTCCCTCCCTGCCTTTATCGAACCCAAACTCTGAAGTTGATAGTATTGTTTCCTTAATAGCGCGGTGTGGCCACATAGCACCAAACAAAGTAGCCTCTTTTAAGAGGTTTGATCGGTGCTTAGCTGTATTGAGAGCGTGGACAACCTTAACCGAAATGTTTTTGGTGTGTTGAACCTTGCCAGCCAACGTGAAAGCTTCCATATTAGACATTGGAATTAGGATAATTCAGTGCACAAGCAAATAACCGGTGGTAAGGTGGCCGAGTGGTTAAGGCGGCAGATTTAAGTAATTCTTGAAATCCCTGCTATCGAAAGATGCATGAGTTCGAACCTCATCCTTACCAATACCTTATTTTTGACAGTAACACTACCGTTATTTTTTATAGATCATTATCATTCTTACCTCTCTCTCCATCGGAGTCTTTCCGGCGGCAGCATAAGTGGACAATTGGATGGCGGCAACTTTGGCAGAACGACTACCACGAAATGGTAAGTGGGCCAGATCTAGACTGATGGAACAGGTCTCCTGTGGCTGTTGGAGAGTGGTTTTGAGCGTCTGGAAAACCCTCTTTGTTGTCATTGGGAGCGAGTCGGAGGGCCTTGGCAGAAACATTTCTCGAAAACAGGCCGTTCGCTTTTAACCGACCCTTGGCTTTTAGTGGCTGCCTTTTGTTTCGGATTAAAGACCGCCCAATGCTGTATCTGTTTGTCTGAAGATGTCGATGTGCCTGGAGGGCTGTATTTTGCGCAGACACGGCAGGCATCGGTGTTGGACCGTCCGAGAATATGGTCCGGCTCAGCCTCTTGTTGAACTGAACTCTCATCACAGCTTCTTCACGTATATTGTAGGATGCGCGCGGGCACTACACCATGCTGTATTATAGGTGTGGTCAGAGATGGATTGCAGTAAGTCGCACGGCGTCCTATTCAATGCTTTTTAACTCCTGGTATCGAGTGGAAGCTGTAGGATCTCATATATGTGCTCCGTCGACATCGTAGTAATATGTAAAAGCTGTGTCTCGATCTCGATGATAGTCTCAGGAAGGGAAGTAGAGGGAAACGACAGAGGCGAGGAGGCTAATTGGTATTTATATATATATTGTAGAAATTCCGAAGGACTGAGGCTGATAGAAAGATGTTTTGCTTCAAAATCTCGAGTCTATTGTAAGAGGACGCGAGGGGTATATATGGATAAATTCTCTCAGTCCTTGACAAAGGGCTTTAAGGAACAATGGATACAAGGAATAAGGGAATATTTGGAAGTATCATTCACTATTCTTAACACTCAATGGGCTTTTATTAAGTAATCCCTTAACCTGACAGTTGATTAGTTCTATAATAGGTGTCATCCACGGTTTTCCACATACGTCCGAGGTTTCTGAGGTAGGTAATTAGCCTAGAGTTATGTACCAGGACTAATGCTCGCTCGTACACGGGCACGAAGTTCTTTCGTAAAAGCTATGTTACTCTGTGGGCGGCGAGGAAATCCCCAAGTTTTGAAAAAAAAATTCACCTTTCGCTGGCCATTTCCGAGCCAAATAATGAAATAAAAACAAACTGGATGTGGAACCCTGGTAAATCGATTGCCCATGCTGACAGACTATACGCCCCCAGGCCAAGAAGCATTGGCCTATGTATAGTCGCCACCATACAAATATACTGATTCTCGCTAACCAGGGCTGCATACCCCCAAGGCATATTCCAAGGCTCCTCGTTATTAATCTGTGTGGCACTGATAGTGCCGATTGTGCTTTTCGAAACTTCTTTACCTTCAAGATCACGAAGCTGGGGGTTTATCAGTTGCAGAAGATCCTCCGTAACCCCTTCTACACCACCATTCTCACGAATAGCGTCGGGGTAATCGCAATGACCAGACAGCAACCTAGGAAGTAAACCCTAGCATTTCCTTGCACAAAGTTTCCTTGCTTGGTGATCTGCGGAATTTGTGATTATTGTGATTCCCACAAGTACAAGGAATGGCAAGGACATGCAGCGCTCGCCGCTGCAGCTTACACAAGAATGCTTTTATCTGTAGTTCCTGTCCATTGCAAAAGTAATCATGACAAGCAGCCTGTCTCTCATTGGATGGCTCCATTTGGGAGGAACTTGCGGTTTGTGGGACGGTAACAAGATATCGAGACGCTTCAACAGGCGGTTGACTCCGGAAGCGGGCCTGACAAGATCGCTTTAGCTGGTTTAGGCGGCGTTGGAAAGACTCAGGTTGCCCTAGAGCTGGCCTATCGTGTACGGGATCAGGATCCGAATTGCTCGGTGTTTTGGATATTTGCTGCTACCTCTGAGAGCACTGAACAAAGCATTTTTGAACATTGCTCAGATGCTTGGAGTTGACAATATCTCACCCGCGGAGGTAAGCGGATTGATTAACCGCTATTTCAGCAATGGCAATACCGCGGGGAAATGGCTGTTCATTTTTGATGGTGCAGATGATATGGACCTGTGGATCAACGGCAGTAGCACCGCTCCGCCGTTGAAGAACTTCCTTCCCCGTTCCCAATGATCAGCAAGGACATATACTTTTCACTACACGTGATCGCAAGCTCGCTGTCAAGTTGGCCTCATCTTCGGTTATGACTATGCCTTAGATGGATGAAAGCATTGCCATCGATCTCCTGGATAAATGTTTGTTTCAAAGGAGCCTCCTACAAGATAGGGAGAATGCTATCTCTCTCGTTGACAATCTTACCTTTCTCCCACTAGTCATCGTTCAAGCAGCTGCGTATATCAATGAGAACGATATTGATCTCAATGATTATATAACACTACTCAAAGAACAGGAACCTGAAGTCGTTGAGCTTTTGGGCGAGAACTTCGAAGACGATGCTGATGGTAACGTGCAGCATCCAGTTGCAACTATCTGGCTCATCTCGTTTCATCAGATTCAATGACTTGATCGACTAGCAGCGGACTGTTCATCATTCATGGCATGTATAAGCCCGCAGAACATTCCTTCAGTCCCTATTACCGGTAGCAGTCTCTAAAAAGAAATGGATTGATGCTCTAGGTGTTCTCAACGCCTATTCATTTATAACCACCCAAGCAGGGAATCGCTCACTTTCACTTCATCGCCTGGTCCATCTTGCAACTCGTAATTGGATTCGGACTGCAGGAATGCTCACACAAACCATATGCACGGCGGCAGATCGCCTGGCAGAAGTATTCCCAATTGACTACTATGAGCATCGAGAACTGTGGCGCAAGTATCTACCTCATCTCATGTGTGTTCTAGCTACAAGGGAGTTCCAAGATCACAACTATCGATATAGACACTTATTCAGGAGAGCCATTGATTGTCTAGTTTCTGATGGCCGGACAGGTGACGCCGAGGTATTGTGAGTTGGGTTTCTAGGTTCAAAGGTGGCAGACGACGCTGAGATTGAGTTCACTTTGGGCATTAAGATCAAGCTATCTCTGATCTACCAGTTTCGACGCCAATACCATAAAGCGGAACGATTCCTTCAACAAGGGGTGGAAATAGGGAGACGTGTTCTTGGCTCTGAACATCCTCAGATCCTTTCCAGTCTGAGTCAACTCGCGGCCATATACACTTGTTTAGACCGAATAAATGAGGCAATAGGGCTTTTCATGGAAGTCCTGGAAGGTCGGAGAAAGACACTTGGATCAGAGCACCACGAAACTCTTCACACCATGTTCAGTCTCTCCATGGTTTATATCGATGAAGATTCGTCAGAAGCGGAACATCTTCTTTTGCAAATATTGAAGTCACAACCAGAAGGTGCAGAAAAGGTGTTGAGTACGATCAGTTTGTTAGTCATTCGCCTAAGACAGGCCCGTGAAGCTGAGGCCGCGGAGCTTTGAGGAGCAACTGCAAGTGGTTCGTAAAGAGCATGAAGGCCTTTATTACTAGAGTGCGCGCACTCTAGCCCTGTTAGGGAAGCTAGCATCAACCTATTTAAACCAGGAGAAGTATGAGAAGGCAGAGGAAACCTTTCTGCAAATCACCCAGAGCCATGAATATATGTTTGGTGAAGATAATCCAGAGCTTCTCCATTATATGGTGGGTCTGGCAACGGTATACCGCCACCAGGGCCGACTGGGTGATGAAGAACAACTGCGAGTGCGGATATTGAAGGGCTACGACAAGACATTGGGCCCAAGGAGCCCCGAAACTTTGAGCAGCATGAGCTCTCTAGTTCATATGTACTGGAGACAGGGTCAGTGGACCGAGGCCGAAAGTCTTTTGAAAAGGCTTATTCCCAGTTTTAACACATTAATACATTTATTTCCAAGGTATTTGGGTCTAAGTACGGAGTACATCGCGTGTAGTACAACCAGGCACCAGAGAATTCACTTGAGTACTGGAATGTGAGCGCGAGGAAAGAGATGTGCCGTTTGTATACTTTTATTTGTTTGTATTGCTACCCTAATTGTAAGCATACAATTGCTGAATCTACAAGGATCATTCTGGGGAATAATTTCAAAAGAAGCATAAGATTTTTATATCAAATTGTTAAGGGGAAAAAATAAAAAAGCCCCGCTTACACCTGAGTGGAACTACAGTGGTAGAGAACACACGCGATCATTCCTGAACACCAAACCCCCAACGAAGTAATACATAGGAAACAGGAATACGGAGAATAAACAAGTGGCAGACTCAATCCTAGATAGTGAGATATTTCAAAAGTAATCCGGCAAAGGAATGCAGTTATCACCTCACTGATCCTTGTTGCTCGTAAGCTTTCCGTTCTTCCTCAATCATCTCGATAGCGTCCGATACCCTGCCATCCACTGCTGCTGCATACACAGCAATCCTCTGGAGCCCGCCTTCCTCCGCGCCTCCATAACCTAAGCTAGCCAGTGCAGACACACAGTCATCAATGCTGCGTTGCCTTCCAGTGCCACTCTCAGCCGTAGACGCGTTTGGGCGGGGTATGGCATCACTGCGGTAAGATCGCCGATTGAAGGTATTCGTCGAGCTCATCTCCCGGCCATCCCGGAGGGAATGACGTTCAGTAGCCCGTCGCCTCAGTGGCCTGGTATTATCATGAGTCTCTTCAGCCCGTAGGGTATCCCACGGACCCGAATGTCTTCGCGACGGATGAAAAGATCTCACAGTCCTGGGGCGACGGCGATAACATGAGGTAGGCATACGATCGTTGTCGCCTTGCTGCTGTGTAGCATCGGTTTCTAGCGATGAAGGGCGTGGTTGGAAACTATCTTGAGCGTCTTGGGGAAATGCACCGGGAAGGTTTTGTGGTGTCGGCCCATACAAACTGTCATGGCTGTTGATTTCGGCACCGCTCCGGAAAGTTGATCTAGTTCTTGGAGTGGAGGTTTCACTAGACGATTCTGCCCCGCCGCGTCGTTCGGCCAGAAAGTGCGCATCTAATTGTGACACTGGTGGGAAACGGCGTTCCTCCGGCTCGCGGCTGAGATCTGGAAGTTGTGTAGATGTGTTGCCGCTTACCATAGGTTGTTGAGGAGAACCTTCAGGCAAAAGAGAGGGATATAGAGTATTGAGTCGTTCCGAGTCTAAAAGTGAGGAGCCAACCAAACTGGTATCGCTAGAAGACGCCCTAGACAAGTGGCGGGTATCACTCGAGCAGAGGTCCGCTACGGTCAAGGGCGCCGATCTCTGCTCGTCGGATGAACCATGTTCTCCACTAGTTTGCGGTTCAGACGCCTGCCTCGCTCTAGTTGGGGCAATAGAGGAAGACTGAAGCTCAGATGGCGCTGGCGGCTGATTAGAGTTTTCTTCGCGGCCCTGTGATGTGTCCAGCGTGGTGATCGGTGAGTGATCACTGATCTCAAGATTGATTGAGTGTCCATCTATATGAGCACCTTGCAAAGCGTCCAACGCCGCTTTTGCTGCGTGGATGGAAGGAAAGCGCAGGTAGCCAAAGCCTGCGTGTCTTCCCGTCTCTGCATCTAGCGGCAGATGTACATCGACTAAAAATCCCTTGGAAGCGAAAACATCGCGGATCATTGCTTCGTGAACACCGAATCCCACATTCCCAATGAAAAGTGATGTTTCGGCAGAGCGAGCTGTGGAAGAAGAGGGTGAGTCAGGTTGAGATAGGTGGATTGCCTCAGGTGCGGCTGCTCCATTGCCATTCTGCCTATGGTGGGACGCAGGCCATTCTCTATGCCGGTGGCGTCGTGGTCGCGGAGGTACAGGTACAGGTAAAGCATTTGCTGGGGGATAAAAAGGCCCGTGGTGTGGCGCATGAGGGTGGGCATGTGGGTGAGGAGCGCCGGGATGAGGAGAATGAGGATGGAAGCCATGTGGTGGAGGAGGCGGAGGCGGAGGAGGATGATGATGATGATGGTGATGATGAGGAGGCGGAGGAGGCGGAGGAGGAGGTCCGTGAGGATGTCCATGAGGTGGAAGAGGTCCATGTGGCCAGAACACGGAAGGTAAAGGAGGCGGCACTGGGAATGTCGGGGGAGGATAAAACGTGTTTGGTGTGGCAAATGGAGGTTGGACATTGCGGGGCGAGGGATGAGGTCTGTGAGGTAGGGGATGTGATCTGTTCCATAAGCTTGGAAACTGCGCATGAACATCTGGGCTTGGTGGGATTGTCGGCGACGATGACTCCGGCTGTTGGTGTGTCGCCATCGAAGAATCGGCGTTGCGATTCGTGGGCAGTACTGAGCTTTCCGGTGATCCAACCTGCGTCGATGGAGCAGCTTGTGTGTTGATGCCCAAAGGTTCTTTCTCGTTCTCGCAGTTTGCGGCTGGATTGGATTGCTGAGCTTCGAGTGATGCTGCCGGGATATTAGACCGGGCACCAGCAGCAAGCTCAGTTTGTTGTGGATTTCCAGGGGCTCCCTGGTCTTGGCTTCTTGAGGCATTGCACCTAAACTCGGATTCGAAAGCCTCAAATAATGTGTTTCCCATGTGGCCAAGTTCAGATGCCATATTACGAAGACCCTCTATAGTTGCGGCTGGGGTAGGTAGTTCAGTTTGGAAAAGATTTCCCGCCCTTTGTCCTCCCACAGTTGATGCGTTATTGAGTGCTTGGATTAAGCTCCTCGCCTGACTGTCCAGAGCTGCAAGGGCTACTTGCACCGAAGACCCAACATGTTCTGGAAGAGTGCGCTGAACATTCTGTAACTGCCGCTCGAATTCAGGTAGCCTAGATCTCACGCCAGCACTAATCATTTCGGCACCCTCCACCAGATTATGCAGAGCATGTGCAAAAGCATCGCTCGGATGCTGACGTCGGTCGTTGGATTCGGCTCTTGCTGGCGGCTCAGCTGGAGGTTCTGGTTGAGAGTTACCATCACGGACGGTGTTAGTGGCATTCAGAATTCTGGCCATCTCAGCCTCAAATGCAGCCAAGAGCGGTTCTGGATCATCGGTCGTAGCGGGGCCAGGAGTTTCGCGACTGGTGCTAGGCTCCTCTTGTGCATTAGACTGAGAAGCATCCGCAGCTGTAGGCCCCGTGCCGATCTCATTCCTATCCTGACCGTCTTCTAAGTGGGGCTTATATTCAAACTTCTTCCATAGATTCTTCACTGAATTAGACCGTCGGATGTCAAATATATGCATCGGCTCAGGGGCGATAGATTCCAGCGTCGGTTGTGAATTGGCAGAAGTATCAACGGGTTCTTCTAGACGTTGGGAAAGCTCGAGAGATGACCCCACCTATGATCCACTATTAGTATGGTAGACAGATATAGTTTGTAAGAGCAGACATACCGTGATGAGCTCGTCGTCATCCTCGTCGACGTATGTAAGCCGGGCTCTAGGATGGTTCACCGTTATCTCATCATAGTCGGTAGCAGACAACCGGACAATGCCCTGATGGCAACTCTGAAGGGTGCTGCGGTCTTCTACCACGGCATGATCAAGATTATGAGATGCAGCGAGATTGTCTTGGGATGAAGATCGATGAAGATCTCTTATCTGAAACGGTTTCAACATTTTGGCTTTCACTAAAATAGCTGCTCGGGGCAACGGGAAGGATATATCCGGGCAAAAAATGACAGCGTGATAGACAAGGGGACGAGAGACAAGATCGTGTTAACTCAAAAGATGGACTCAAGATTAAGGAATGAGAAAGAAAAATAATAGGAGATGCGAGATTAGAGATGGACTAGCCAGAGGTCGAGAGTAACACAAAGCTTGGTGTCAAAAATCCGAGGGGAATATATGAGCTTGCTGCTGAGGCGAACGTGACGAGAGGCTATGCTGTTGCCTATGCAAAGAGCGATGGCAAAAGCAGGTTAAGAGACGGTAGGTAGGTATTACTATTCCTACCTACCAAAGGAAAGCGTTGCCCATCGTCATCCGGATGGCGAAAGGCTGTGTAACAAATCAAGTTCAAAAGGAATTCAGGCAACCGAGTTAGTTAAGGTTGGTTGGAGATGGAGGAGAGAATTGCTTGTTGCGGTAGACAAAAGGATTTAATAGTAGAAGTTAATGAGAAGTATTCCAGTAAATTTAGAGGTAAAGCTTTGGCCCCGCATGACGGGCAGTGATTGGAATATGGACGCTATCAAGTGACCCTCATCTTACGTACTCCCGCAGGCTTAAACCCTTTTCGAGCCTTTGATTTGATGTTTTATTACAAAAACTTTCATGTGCTGCTGCTGCTGCTGCACGGCTACCGCTTGATGTTGGCAGGAACGGTATTGTTCTTGGTATTCTTATGATTGTGTTTGTTGTTATTATTATTATACTTCCTCAATTGAGTATGTCATAACACACGTTCTCATTTGGTTCGAACCCTCTCTCTAATTGGAATCGGTGGTTTTTCCCCATTCCTAAAGCTATCGCAACACCTGTGATACCCGCCCTCTTTGACCGCGACAAACACCTCGCATACCAACAACGCCAATGGCCTACCCTTCCGAGATACGCATCAAAAGTAGATCTACACTTATAGCTCACCGGACGGAGTTTTAAAAACCCTCCCGCTTCCTTTCGCAATTCTCTCGCCCCTTTCCCTCGCAAACACTCCATGGCGCCTCCCAACATTGCCCCGTCGCACACGAAACCGTCCGCGAACCGTAACGTGAAACACGTCGTGCTAGGTGACCTCCTTTTTCAGACCTGGTACCAGTCCATTTACCCAGAAGACCTTGTGAGCAAGGATACGGATCGGCTATACGTCTGTCGCTGGTGTTTCCGGTACTCGTGCGACATAGACGCCTACGCGAAACATACCCGGGTTTGCGAAAATCGAACGACACCTCCGGGGACAAAGGTCTACGATCATGGCGGGTACGCGGTATGGGAGGTAGACGGTGAGGACCATAAACTATTTGCGCAGAACCTCTCTCTGTTCGCGAAACTATTCCTCGATCATAAGTCGGTGTTTTTCGATGTCGCGTCCTTTCTCTACTACCTCCTCACGTTCACGGACCCCGACGATCCGGAGAATTACTATATCCTGGGGTTCTTCTCGAAAGAGAAGCTCTCGTGGGATACGAATAACCTTGCTTGCATTCTGATCTTCCCTCCGTATCAGCATAAGCAGCTAGGCAAGTTGTTGATGGGTGTGAGCTATAAACTGAGTGATTGGGAAAAGGATGGAAGCTTGATAGGTGGGCCGGAAAAACCACTAAGTGAGATGGGACGAAAGAGTTACAGTCGGTTCTGGGAGGAACGAATTGCTCGATATTTACTCGTACGTAGCTCTGATCCTGCAGACGTAGAGGATTCGTCACAGCAGAAGCCAAAGCCGTCCAAGAGCTCTCGGAAAAAGCACACCCATGAAGTTATGACAGTACAAGATATAGGATTGGCCACCGGGATGTTAACGGAAGACGTCATCACAGCTCTCAAAGGCATGGGAGTTGTTGAACCTACAACTCCGACGAAAAAGCGTAAGGCGAACCAAGATGCTGGCGAACCTGACGACAGCGAAACAGTGATGATACGAAAATCGGATGTGCTTGAATGGGCAAAAGCCCATCATGTTACTTTACAAGATCCTGTTAGAGATGAGGGCTTTCTTGGAAGATGGGCACCACGCGACACACCGGAAATCAGCGGTTCAGAAAGTGGTGAGGGTGATGAGTAAATGTATAGACTAATTTCGGCGACGCCAGATCTGGCCACCAGTATGTATCAGTATATGATGATAGAACTTGATGAACTCTGTTAAACCGAGCTAGATGAATGGAGCACGCATTATGAGAGAGATACCATCTGATTTTGATCTTTGCGAGAACTATGTGAGCAATCCCACTCGTATACGGATAATGAATGCATACTTGACCTTGACTGAAGCATTGTTCGGGTTGTTGTTCACTCTACGGTTGCTGTTTTTATTGTTTCTATTCATTATCCAGGGCACATTAAATCGCCCAAGCTCATTAGCATGGTGTTCTGTATTTATGGAATACATTTTGGCATCGACTATTTTTGAAAGCGGAAAACCGAATAGAAATCCTCTCCGAGCTCCTTTACATGATCTGATCTATACGTTGCGACTGCATTACTCGTCCATACCTCCTGGTCCTCCCTGCTTACCCATCTGCCTAGCCTTTAGAAGCTCGTCGCATAGAAGCAGGTTAGAAGCGATACCAGTGCTTGATGCGACGCAGTTGCGCAAGACACGGAAGGAATCGAAGACACCCTCCTGCACGGGGTCCATTGGCTCGCCAGTAGTCAAGTCCAAACCAACGATGTTGCCCTCTGTCCGCTCATCTTGCAGGGCCGCCAAAGAGTCTTGAATGTCGTGACCTGAGTTGGCAGCAAGAGTCTTGGGAATGATCAAAAGGGCATCCGCAAAGGCGGCGACACCCCACTTAGCCTTACCCTTCACAGTCTTGCGGAAGTTCTCAGACGACAGATGGGCGGCACAGGCAACTTGGAACGCACCAGCGCCGGGGATGACGCAGCCATCGACAATGGAGTTGTACACAGACCGCAGACCATCACGGACGGCATCCTTAACCTGAGCGATGGTATGCTGGTTGGGTCCCTTGATGAGGATGGTGACGGACTTGGGGTCCTTAACTTCTTCGACGAAAGTATACTTCTCTTCTCCAAGCTGGTGTTCGTAAACAAGACCGGCCCAACCGAGGACGTCGGGTGTTAAGTCCTCTACGCTGTTCTGCGCGATACCACCGCAAATCAACTGGAGACGTTCCATGTTTCTCCGCTTAGCTCTCCGAAGGGCAAGGATACCGTTCTTGCTAAGGACATCCAAACTCAGGGGATCGATACCCTTCTGGTTGATGACAACGAAGTTCTTCTTCGGATCCAGGCCGCAAACCTGCTTCTTAAGCTCCACGATCTTCTGCAGTTTTGAGTCCACAAACTTGCGCTCACTCTCCACCAATTTATCTCTTTGTTCAGCAGAAGAGTAGTAGAAACCGGAGTTGATCTCTGACTTCTCATACTCCAGACTGACATTCAAGGTGAGGATGTAAGCATTTTCAACTCTCTTAGGCATATCAGGGTGTCTTGCACCGTGGTCCAGGGCAAGACCACGGATGAGTTGAGTGTCGGAAGATGTGCGGTGTTGCATGGTCATGATCTCAACCATGTGCAGATCTGGCTTATCGGGAGCTCTGTGGATAGCGAGAACGGCATCGACAATGTCGGGGGTAAGCTTCTCGGCAAGTGCACTGTTGAGTTTCGTACTGAGCGAAGTCCGAGCGACAGACAGCAACAGCTCACGGTCGATTGCACGCTCAATCTTGAATTGATCAAGGAACTGTATACAACTCCGTATCAGTCTCGACGCTCATATGGCCAGCAATCTCTCAGTACTAACCTTAAGAGCCTCGTTCTTCGCGATCTCATATCCATCTGTGATTACTCTAGGGTGTAATCCTTCGGAAATGTAACGGTCTGCCTGCTTCAGAAGTTCTCCCACCAACAACACCACGGAAGTTGTTCCATCACCAGTGATATCATCCTGTGCTGTCGCAGCTCGGGCAATCATGACCTTCGCCAAATCAGTATTCGAAGAAGTCTCTGGAAACGTGAGGAAGGCATCTTACGGCGGTGGGGTTTTGGATTTGCTGTGTAAACATTAGCCTGTGTCTGAAGGTTCATAGATTGGTCTAAGCCTTACCATCTCTCGCAATAGCACATTCCCATCCTTAGTCAATTTAATCTATTTTGCATGCTCATTAGATAGCTGATTTTGCGATAAGGGGAAATATATCATCATACTCCGCCGGCACCGTCCACCAACCTAAATTTTGTCAGCGTTTCTTTATTTTATATCGACCAAGTATGAAAACGTACATCTTCAATGTTCCGGAGGGGCCCAGGTTAGATTTAAGAACATCCTGGAGACCTTCACCAGCACTAATATTGACCTTCAAGGCTTCCGCCCTCCGCTGTGCAATGTTAGTTTGCGTGTGACCACTGAGGGGCTACTTCTGAGGGGGAAATTATCAGTGACATACCCTTGACTCGGCCTTGGGATTGAGTAACTGAGTTGCAGACATTTTTGCTGAACGGGTAAATGACAATCAGCAATCCCCAGCGAACTAACTCGTAGAAAAACAGGCTTGCTGGTGCTATCGGCCCCAAAGAATAGCCCGCACTGGCACAAAAGCTGGTGGTGTTTGCCGTCGAATGCGGTGAGCTCGTAGTTTTGGCAAAAAGCCCACATTCAGTATTCGCACTAGCGCCGCCGCGAAAAAAAAGAGCTCCGACGGCTCGACTCTCCAAATTTGCCCTCCAGCCTTTTTTTACCAACTCCACGGCGCTCCACGGCAAGTATACGACCGCAGACTCCCGGGATTTGGGTAAGGGGCTCGATCGATTACATTGAGAGGAATTTTTTTCCTTGTTATTTTGGCCCTTTGACTCGATTTCACCATGGCCGACTTCCTACTTTTCGAGGGCCCTGTGGGCTACGGACTTTTCAAGGTCGCCCACCAGGGTGACAGCGTTGGCAATCGCTTGAAGGAGGTCCAGGATGGTGTCAATGATCTTTCTAAGTTTGGAAAAATGGTTGAGTTGGCTAGTTTTCTCCCATTCGAGTATGTCCAACTTCCTGATTGGACTCTATAATAGAGACTGACCAGCTCCAGGAACAACAAGATGGCCTTGAGCGAAATCAACGACGTCTCGGAGGGTGTTGCCTCCGATACTCTTATTTCTTTCCTCGAATTGAACCTTCCCAAGCCTAATAAGAAGAAGAAGGTTGTTCTGGGCGTTCTGGACAAGGCCTTGGCCGGAAGTATCAAGTCTGCCTTTTCTTTCGTTGACTGCGAAACCGGCGACACTAGCGAGGTTGTCCAAGACATGCTCCGTGGTATCAGGCTTCACGCTACTAAGTTGCTGAAGCAACTTCGCGAGGGTGATATGGACACTGCTCAACTTGGTCTTGGTCACGCTTACTCCCGTGCTAAGGTCAAGTTCTCTGTTCAGCGTGACGATAACCATATCATCCAAGCTATCGCTATCCTTGACCAGCTCGACAAGGCCATCAACACATTCTCTATGAGAGTTCGGGAGTGGTACTCGTGGCATTTCCCTGAACTTATCAAGATCGTTTCGGACAACCAGCGCTACGCGCAAATCGCTCTGTTCGTGAAGGACAAGACCACTTTGACCGACGACAAATTGCACGATCTTGCTGCGCTTGTGGAGGACGATGAGGGTGTTGCCCAGAGCATTATCGATGCTGCGAAGCACAGTATGGGTCAAGAGATCTCCGAGACCGATATGGAGAACGTCACCTCTTTTGCGCAAAGAGTCGTCAGCCTTTCTCAGTACCGCAAGTCTCTGCATTCCTACCTGACTTCCAAGATGAGCGTCGTCGCGCCCAACCTTGCTGCCTTGATCGGAGAGATCGTCGGTGCTCGTCTCATTTCGCACGCCGGAAGCTTGACCAACCTTTCCAAATACCCCGCTTCCACTGTGCAGATTCTCGGTGCTGAGAAGGCTCTCTTCAGAGCCTTGAAGACTAAGGGAAACACTCCCAAGTATGGTCTTCTGTACCACTCCTCTTTCATTGGCAAGGCTGGCCCCAAGAACAAGGGCCGGATCTCGCGATTCCTTGCGAACAAGTGCTCTATCGCCTCTAGAATCGATAACTTCTCCGAGGAGCCCACGACCAAGTTTGGTGAAGTCTTGAAGAAGCAGGTCGAGGAGCGTTTGGAGTTCTATGCTACCGGAGCCGCTCCTACTAAGAATGAAATCGCTATGGTATGTTATCCTGCATTAATGCCATCATTATGAACTTTTGGGTGATATACTAACTCTGCATATAGAAAAACGCCATGGATGCTGTCTTAGCTGATATGGATATCGATGCGGATCAGAGCGATGAAGAAATGGAAGATGCTGAGGCTGAGAGCAAGAAGGAAAAGAAGGACAAGAAGGAGAAGAAGAAGGACAAGAAGGAGAAGAGTGAAAAGAAGGAGAAGAAGGAGAAGGGCGAGAAGGAAGAGAAGAAGAAGAAGAGGAAGTCCGATGTTGGTGAGGGCGAGTCTGAGAAGAAGAAGCGGAAGCACGACAGCGATGCTGAGCCGTCCAAGAAGAAGAAGAAGGTTTAAATGCACCATTTTCTGGGACATGAGGGCGTCATTGTCGCGGCGTTGTAGGGTTGATTTTGAGTTCATTTCCTATCTATGTTCTGTTTTACTTCACGACTTGTTGGGCTGGGTATTTGTAAATTATTCGATTGAGGCCTCGTCGTGCTAAAATTTGTCTGTAGCTCCTGAAAATGTCAATCGGATTTTTATGTTCTACATGGATCTGAGCATCATAGCACCTGCTAGACTACTGCATTACACTCATTCAGCCCTACAGTTATTGAATTGCCATGGTGTTTGGGACCGGAAAGAAAGGCGGAATTGTACTGCCGCCGTCCACTGAGAACAAACTGCCGCAACTCCCCCTCTCGAACAATGAGCCAACCCCATTGCTTCTCAGTCAATGGCGATGGCCCGAGCCCTTGCATTCTCCGCGATCCTCCATTTATATGAGTTATGATGGCTGCAAGTGACACTAGCTCGGGATAAAACCCATGAAAAATGATGATCTGCTGAAATCCTTGCTCCTGTGAACTCGAGAGTCTTTACTTTATGAATGAAGGCTTATCAAAGTGATGCCCCCACATCCGCCTTGAGTTTCAGCCCCGCGATGATGCCTACGAGTTTACCGACAATGATCTTGAACTCGCCCAAGCCCAAGCGCAGCGCCTCAGAAGAATCCGATAGCTATAGCCATTCTATATCATCTCCATCCAGCGTCTCAGCTCCTAGCCTACCAGAAGTTAAGCTTCGCGAGGAAGAAGAGTTAGGGAGATATAGTCCTCGAGCCGCCGTTGCTGGTCGGCTAGGGCAACTGGCCATACGTGGGGACCACTTTCCGACACCGCAATTTCTGAATGGTAATATAAGCCAGTCATCACTTGCGCATTCTGCACAATCGGGATGTTGGGCTACTTCCTATAGCAGTTTTTATGATATGTCCGAGACGAACTCAGCGTCAGAAACCAACACTGTCGCAAGTGGGCCTTCTGAAGCAATTATCGATGATCAGAGCAATGCTACGCCAACTACCTCCCCCAAGAAACAGGCAACACAAAGCCCTCGCAAGAGACGAAACCCTCCTAAAACACAACGACCACGTAGGAAGTCACCGCCTCCCACTAGCAGTGCAGCTGACGACTCGCTTACATGGCATGACTCCGAGATCACCGGGCATGATCCAAGTGATCCAAATGACGATGGGTACGGTATCAATGGAATAGGCTTCAAACCGACAGCGGCAATGGCTTGGAACAGATCACAGAAGCGGCAGAAGCAGGTTGCGGAATGGAAAAGTCGTGAGGCAAGGGAAGCGCGAGAAAAAAGAAGGGAGAAACGAGATACTGTCGGTTTCGAAAAGCTACGGGCTATTCAATCGGGCGCCATCCAGAAGAAAGTCAAATTTGACGTCTAACGTGTGTTCGTCAGCCAATTTCTCTGACATTTTCTTTTCTTTCCTTTTGCTTTTTGCCCTTGGTAGTTCAGATTTTTGGATTGAAGCAACTTTGGATGCAATGGAGTATGGAATATGAATGAGCTGGCGTTGGTTTGGATATTGATATGCAATCACGAAACTATTCTTCCTTGACAGGCTGGAGCCTTAATGAGATAGAAATATGTACTGTACATCCCACTCGAAATTTACAAAGCGATCCCAGCAAACTCCATGACTCCGGGCAATGCGCGAAAGGACTACCAGAACTTATAGTTCGAAAGGTTTGTCCAGCTCTTCTTTTTCTTCTCTTCCTCTGCCATACGCGCGATCTCCGCAGCCTTCTCTTCCTTTTCTCGCTGTTTCTTGATCTTCAGCTCTTTCATCAATTCCACAGCTTGTTTCATACCGTCCAGCTCTTGTACTCGACGCCGCTGGCAGAACTCGTGCGCCGCGAGAGAGGTAAGGGCAAAAGCGCCAACAGCCCAATTGGAAGCAGTCCATAATGAGCGCAATCCTAAACAATCATTGTTTTAGGGTTACCAAATGTCATATCCTAGAAAAAGCCGAGTGAATGAAATTATTTACCTCCTAATACACCTCTGATTCCACCAATTCCGAACCCTGCTCCAATACCTAGTAGTAGGGAGTCTCGTGCGCAAGGTGCTTTGTAGAATGATGTGACATCTTTAAGGGACATTGACTTCATAGCTTCCGTAACCGTAGCATCTTTCGATCCCCTTCCAGAGGGCCCAGCTCCTGTTGCTAGCACGTTCGCCGACTCTTCGGGGTTCCCAAAAGCATCCCATAGCTTTCCGACCTGTGATTTGGGGAATTCATGCTTCGGCTTGGTTTGGGGAGAGGATTCTTGGGAGCTGTTATGTTGCTCGACATTTGGGGTAGGCAATTCCGGGGTGTCCCCTGCCATAGCGTATGAGTTATATTGAATTGTTGCCTTAAACCCAGCCAACACGTACAATGACCTAGATCACTGACAGACTCTTGCAGGAACAATGACTGACCGGAGAAAATATGATCCGAAGGTCATTCAGATACTGCCAACACAGGTTAATTTTACCGTGGGCGGTGGATGTCTGACCGATGGCACGCGTATAGTGGAACGCGAACGCGTCGGGGGCACCCGCAGATTAGCAACCAAATTTGGGCTCTTCAGTAGCTTAGCATGATCTAAGTTAACAAGATTGAGTAAACTGGGTCTTCAAACTTTGATCAATTTTCTATTGAGTGTACAATTTGGCAGGAACCAAACATGCCCATTCTGTGTTCTACTAATATCTAATACTTTACATTTGCGTTCCATGCTTAACCAACTTTCACACATCCCACAGTGATCCAGCCCTAGCCAGCGGGCGTGTCGTCGCAATGCCTGTAAGGAAACCCAGCAAATACGGAAACAAGTTTCGGTCGAACGCTGCATCTTTCAAACCGAAACGGACAAAGACCATCGAATTTTCTTCTCTTCGATCGACAGAAGCCACGTCCCAAGATGAGAAATTCGAGGCGATTCGGCTGGCGAACAGCATCGACGAATCCTTGGGATTCCCGCGCTTTGAGTCCGGCGAGAAAAGGGTCGGCTGGCTTACCAACATGCATAGTACATCAGTAGAAGATCCGAATGTGCCCGGAGGACGCGCCGGTGTGGACTATTACTTTCTTGAAGACAACGGCGGAAGTTTCAAGGCAACGGTTGAATACGACCCATATTTCCTCATCGCAGTGAAGAAGGGACACGAGGCTGAAGTTGAGGAATGGTGTCGGAGAATGTTCGAAGGGCTTATCAAAAAGGTCACGAGAGTAGAGAAAGAGGACCTTAAGCTACCGAACCACCTGCTCGGGCACCGGAGGACTTTCCTTCAAATGTACTTTGCAAATGTGAGCCACCTGCTGGAAGTTCGAAGGACACTTCTCCCACTGGCGGAAAAGAACAAGAAAAATGTGAATGTGATGGATACCTACGTGGAGATTTCAAGGTTTGTTGAACTTATGCGGATGCTATCTGGATTGGTTAGGAGCTAACTAGGCTCTAGCGCAAATGCTGGCTTTGATCTCTTTGACGACGAAATAATTAATGAGTCACGATCTAATGGAACTATGGAAGCGAGTGATTTTATAATTGATATTCGGGAATATGACGTTCCTTACCATGTTAGAGTGGCGATTGACAAAGGTAGGCGACTCCCTCCGATGACGTGGATTACCTGACTGACAAAACATCTTGAAGATATCCGTATAGGGAAATGGTACACTGTAGAGGCAAAACACGGTGTGATCTCATTGACTTGTATAGAGGAACGAGTCCAACGTCCTGACCCAGTTGTTCTTGCTTTTGATATTGAAACGACTAAACTGCCACTGAAATTCCCTGATTCTGTCATCGATCAAATTATGATGATTTCGTACATGATTGATGGACAAGGATTCTTGATTACGAATCGAGAGATAGTGTCTGAAGATATCAACGATTTCGAGTACACGCCCAAGCCCGAATACTATGGTCCATTCATGATTTTCAACGAGCCCGATGAAAGGAGTGTTCTAGAACGGTTTTTTGGACACATAAAAGAGGCTAAGCCAACTGTTATCGCTACATATAACGGTGACTTTTTCGATTGGCCGTTCGTCGAAGCGAGAGCTAGTGTCCTTGGAATCGACATGTATACGGAGATTGGCTTTCGCAAAAACAGTGAGGACATTTATCAGAGCGATCACTGTGTGCATATGGATTGCTTTGCTTGGGTCAATCGTGATAGTTACCTCCCTCAGGGAAGTCGTGGGTTGAAAGCTGTTACTGTTGCAAAGCTCGGATATGACCCTGATGAACTCGACCCAGAACTCATGACTCCGTACGCAAGTGAGCGCCCTCAAACACTAGCTGAATATTCAGTGTCCGATGCAGTCGCCACATATTATTTGTATATGAAATACGTCCATCCTTTCATCTTCTCGCTTTGTACCATTGTTCCCCTTAATCCCGACGACACGCTACGAAAAGGAACAGGTACACTTTGTGAGATGCTACTGATGGTTCAAGCATATCAAGGAGAAATAGTTCTGCCTAACAAGCACAAGGAACCCCCAGAAGCTTTCTATGAAGGCCATCTGCTGGAGTCAGAGACATATGTTGGTGGGCACGTGGAAAGTATTGAGGCTGGTGTGTTCCGAAGTGATATCCCCGTTACATTCAAAATTGATCCTACTGCCATCGATGAACTTCTTCGGGATCTGGATGCGGCTCTGAAATTCAGCATTGAAGTGGAAGAGAAAAAGTCATTGGATGATGTTGTCAACTACGAGGAAGTCAAGGAACAGATCTCCAAGCTTCTGATCGCTCTGAAAGAAAATCCAAACAGGGACGAGAACCCTTTCATCTACCATTTGGATGTTGCTTCCATGTATCCGAATATCATCACCACAAATCGATTACAGCCAGACGCCATGATCCAGGAGTCCAACTGCGCTGCCTGCGACTTCAACCGACCTGGCAAAACCTGTGACAGGCGAATGCCGTGGGCATGGAGAGGCGAATTCCTTCCTGCCAAACGTGACGAATATAACATGGTTCGACAAGCGGTTGCAAACGAAAGATTTCCGGGCAAGACGAAAAACAGTCCGATGAGGATGTTCAGTGATATGAGTGCTGAAGAACAGTCTGCCATAGTCAAAAAGAGGCTTCAGGACTATAGTAAGAAGATTTACCACAAAATCCACGACAGCAAGACAATGGTCCGAGAGGCTATTATCTGCCAACGAGAGAATCCCTTCTACGTAAACACCGTCCGCAACTTCCGAGATCGCCGATACGATTTTAAAGGCAAACAGAAAGTCTGGAAAAACAAGACTGATTCTCTCAAATCGTCAGGTGCTTCGGCGGCAGACATTGAAGAAGCAAAAAAGATGATTATTTTGTTCGACTCGCTACAGCTTGCCCATAAAGTCATCCTAAACAGTTTCTACGGTTACGTCATGAGAAAGGGGTCTCGATGGTATTCACTGGAAATGGCCGGCGTGACGTGTCTGACGGGTGCTCGAATCATTCAAATGGCAAGAGAGCTAGTCGAGCGTATCGGTCGTCCACTGGAGCTTGACACAGACGGTATCTGGTGTATGCTTCCTGGGTCCTTCCCCGAGAACTTTTCTTTCACTCTGAAAAATGGAAAGAAGCTGGGGATTTCTTATCCTTGTGTTATGCTGAATCACCTTGTCCATGGAAGCTATACAAATCACCAGTACCAGACCCTTGTCGATCCAAAGACCTTCAGATACGAGACGCATAGCGACAACTCCATTTTCTTCGAGGTTGACGGGCCGTATAAGGCAATGATTCTGCCAACCTCGAAGGAGGAGGACAAGAACTTGAAGAAGCGCTATGCTGTTTTCAATCATGATGGGTCTTTGGCTGAATTGAAGGGGTTTGAAGTCAAGCGGAGAGGAGAGTTGAAGCTTATTAAGATTTTCCAGACTCAAATCTTCAAGTTCTTCTTGGAAGGAACGTCGCTTGAAGAAACATATGCCGCTGTAGCCCGAGTAGCCGACAGATGGCTGGATGTGCTATATGAACATGGAGCTACACTAGCCGATGAGGAACTGATCGAACTCATTTCCGAGAACAGGAGTATGACGAAGACTCTGGAAGAATACGGTAGCCAAAAGTCTACATCTATTACTACGGCACGCCGTCTAGCAGAGTTCCTGGGAGAGCAAATGGTCAAAGACAAAGGTCTCAACTGCAAATACATCATATCTGCAAGGCCAAGAAATACACCTGTTACGGAGCGAGCTATTCCAGTAGCGATCTTCTCGGCTGAGGAAAATGTGAAACGGTTTTTCTTGCGGAAGTGGCTGAAAGACGATCCTGGCGATTGTGATCCTCGTACCGTGATTGACTGGGATTATTATCTGGAGCGATTGGGATCTGTCGTGCAAAAGCTTATTACAATCCCTGCTGCTCTTCAGAAGGTCCGCAACCCAGTGCCTCGAGTCGCCCACCCAGATTGGCTGCAGAGGCGGATCAATGTGAAGGATGACAAGTTCAAGCAAATTAAGATGACAGATGTGTTTGCGAAGAGCGAGAAAAATCCACTGATGGACATCTCGACGAACATACTCGACCATCGTGTGCAACACGCTGGTGATATTGGTGAGGTTATTGCAAGCTCAACTGAGAAGTTGAAGTCCTCCCCAAACAGTAAGACATCGCAGAAAAGAAAGCTTCCGGAAGGTCCTACAAAAACTTCTCTGGACCCATTTGCTAGCTTGCCATCAAGGATGCCGCCAATGGCAGATGACTATGTCGGGTTCTTGAAATATCAAAAGCAAAAGTGGAAGATCCAGAAGCAAGCACGTATCCGCCGCCGCCAGCTTTTCGGCGAGAGGACGAATATTGCTAATGACTCTTTGAGTCACCTTTTCAGAAACCAGGCCGAGCTTCTTTATATCAGTACCTGGCAAGTTTTGCAGGTGTCTGAAACGGCAAGGCCAGGCATCGTTCGAGCTTTTGTCTTGATTGATAAAAAGGTTCACACTCTCACAGTCAAGGTTCCCCGGCAGATGTACATCAATCTGAAACGAGACTCTCTCCCTGATGTTGATGTTCCAGACTGTGAGGTCGAGAAAGTCAATCACACTTTGCCGAACGGGCACCCTTCGGTGCATTTGTTCAAAATGACCTTGTCTGAGGAGACCTATCTGCGTGAGGCTGACAAGATGGATACACTTCTACAGCACCCAAGCATCGAAGGTGTCTATGAGAAGAGCATCCCTTTGAATGTACGCGCTATCTTGAAGCTTGGTAGTATATGTACTTTCGACGAGGAACAGCGAGGTGTTCTGGGAGAAGGATTAGACAGTGGATTTGACCTGTCGACTCTATGCCGTACATCCTCAGACCGGCCTTATCTCATGGACTCGCCGCTGGTCTATCACTACCTGTACCATGTCGCTTCTGGTGATAGACAGATTTTCGCCCTTTTCTCCACAACCAAAAGCGAGGCGCATGTTATTATCTTGAACCGCACGAGGGACGTCCAGGGCCTTCCAAACGTCGACAAAATATACACAGATCTTCTTATGCGAAGGAAGCAGAATATGTCCGGAGATGAGCCTCAAAATGCATTTGAATACCAGGAGAAGATTCACTTCCGAACAACGCAAGTCACGACCAGAAGAAAGGCATATCTAGAGGTCGGCGACTTGATCAAGAAATTCAGAAGCGAAGAAACCCAGCCAACGATTCTTGTCATACAATCGCAGCAAAGAAGTCGCTTGTGCCATGACATCCCCATGCTGAGAGAGTATCCAATTATGTCAGTGAAACCAGAAATATCTGATATGGATCTCCCCCCTCTAGGCTGGCAGGCATTCATTGCAAGACGACTTGTCACTCACTACCTGTATCTTTCGGCTTGGATCCAACATTTGACTATGTTGGCAAGATATGGCGACGTTCCCCTCTGCAACTTAGAAAGTGACGACCCCCGGTATCTTATTGATATATCATATGCCAGGCGCCTTCAGCAGAACAATGTCGTCCTCTGGTGGTCTTCCGGTCCAAGACCTGATCATGCAGGGTACGAGAAGGATGACATAACGGGTCCTCTAGAGAAGGTGTCCATGCCATCTGTCAATGTTCCAAGCGCTTACGCCACCGTGTGTATCGAGCTTGAAGTTCGCAATCTTGCCATTAACACTATCCTGACGTCCTCGATCATTAACGAGATGGAAGGCGCCGATACACTTCTGGCATCATCCGAGCCTTCGGCTGATTCCAACGGGTCCGGCGTCCTTTATTCGGAGAAGGCGTTCGCTTCAGCCGGTGCGATCGTGCTACGGGAGATGGTGAAGCACTGGTGGACTGAGGCCTGTGAAGGAAACAATATGGCAGATATCATGGTGCAGCACCTGATTCGCTGGGTAGAGAGCCCAGTTTCGTGTCTTTACGATCGGTCACTACACAACTACGTGCGCATGTTGTCCAGAAAGTCGTTTCAGCGACTTATGGCTGAGTTTAGACGCGTTGGGTCTAATGTTGTCTTCGCTAGCTCTACGCGCCTCTTACTTCAGACAACCAAGGCCGAGGTCGGAAACGCCTACGCATACAGTCAATACGTATTGAAGTCGATCCGCGCCAACCCGTCTTTCCATTTCATTGATCTCGAGATCAAGGAATACTGGGACTACCTGGTCTGGTATGATGAGTATAACTACGGTGGAAAAGGCTGTCGGGAGGTGGTCGGATCAGATGAACAGGAATTGAAAACTGTCATGCATTGGCAGCTCAGTCGTTTCCTCCCGGGCCCAATGCAGACAATCTTCCATGATTGGGTGGTGGAATATATCGACTTGATGCACGGCGTCAAACACCCCGAATCAGCCGACTCGTCCACTCCCCGAATGACACAGATCCCAATCGGGCGCCCAACCGACGAGGACGATAATGAAGTATCTGCTGTCCTCGCGGAGAAATTCTCGAAACCCTTGAAGAAGCAAATCTCTGGTCTCATTCGCCGTCAGCGCGAGGAAATGCTACACCCCGAGCTTGCGTCTGACTACCTTTTCCCCGTCCTTCCCGGAGTCTTGTCGGACCCCAACGAAGAGAAGCGCAACCCCGTATTAGAATTGGTCAAAATGTTGATGCAGGTCCTTAGTCTCTCCAAGACGACGAGTTTGGAGAACCGACTTCTGCGTCGCGAACTACTGGCCATGTTTGAGGTGCGAGAGTTCAGCAAAGAGGGTCGATTTGAGAACCCGGCTGCCAGTCTGAAACTTCCCGAGCTTACCTGCAGCGCTTGCTGCTTGATTCGAGATCTGGACTTGTGCCGCGACGAGGATGTCCTCCCGGATCCCGGATCTGACCCAAACAAGGCCGTGACGAAGCCCTGGCGCTGTCCTTTCTGTCAAACAGAATATGATCGACTGGCTCAAGAAGAAATCCTTATCGGCCAGGTCCATGGACTGATCGTTGGCTGGCAGACACAGGATTTGAAATGCTCTAAATGTGGAGGGCTAAAGGTCAGCGAGTTCATGGAGCATTGCTCGTGCAGCGGCAAATGGGTGGAAACCATGGACCGTGCAGAAGCGGAGAAGAAACTGCGAGTCCTCAACAGTGTCGCGAAGTTTCATGGGCTTAAGCTCTTGGAGAATGTTGTGGAAGGAGTTCTAGAACAGATATGATCGAATTCGTGCGTCTTGGTTCCCTTTCTTTTCTTTTCTTTTCTTTTTCTTTGCTTTCATGGCTTCGGGTCGGTACATATGAGTACACGGGAGTAAGAAGGACTGCGTCATTATTTTAAATACTATACACGGCGTTTGGGATGCTTTGAGAGGGATTTTGATCTGGGGAGGAGTTTTATTGTATAGTATATCCATCAGCGTATGTATGTGTGCGTCTGTAATGCCAGGGAATTTTACAAAACCCAAAATTGGGAAACTTATTTGACTTGTCAATTTATCAATAAGGTTGGAACCGGCGGTCACGAAGAAATCACTCATTTTCTCTGTCGTCTTTCTCCACAATGTTCAGATCTTCCGCCATTCATCTATCACCTTCAAGAGTTCTTTGTTCATGATAGTTCAATCTAGTAGTATTTATATGTGCGGAGATCCATCGTTTTATATCGGTCAAGCCCCCCCCCCACTCTATCATTTTATCAGCGGCGACGGTTATCGAGACAGCGTTTCAACCAATTAATTAACCCCGCTATCGATTTCCGCGACAATTTCACCGCAAGTGCGACAGATTCATCCCACCGTCCCTGCGACCGGTGAACCTCTCAAACCGGTGGGTTCCTTTGCCAAGCGGACATATCTGCAGCCAATTTGACTATAAGGGGTCGAATCCCCCTACAGGTTTGAGAGTCTCTTGCTGACGATATACTCAATAGTGCAGGCTCACGACGCGCGTTCCATCCTTTTCTGCTCTATCGCGCGGAGACCAAATTACTTCTTCCGACTACGAAGGACTCCCTGGTTGGATACCTTATTTCTCTCCTTAAATGGCATCCCAAGCACAAGCCCAGGCTCAGGCTCAGGCCCAGGCCCAGCGACCCAAGGTCCAGCCTTGTCGGTACAAGACGGGGAAGACTCTGGGCGCCGGATCTTACTCCGTTGTGAAGGAGTGCGTACACATCGACACTGGTCGGTACTATGCCGCGAAGGTGATCAATAAGCGACTGATGGCGGGGCGCGAACACATGGTATGGGTCTCTACCAGGAGATGCCCCAGAAGATGTATGATCGCTGGCGATTTGAGTTGACTCTGGTTGTAGGTTCGTAACGAGATCGCTATACTCAAGAAGGTGTCAATGGGTCATCAGAACATTTTGACCTTGGTCGATTACTTTGAAACTATGAATAACTGTATGTCCGTTCCCGGACTCTGGCCTGTGACTAGTGACCCAGGTTAACCATTCCAATTGTGCAGTATATCTGGTCACCGATCTTGCACTGGGTGGCGAGTTGTTCGACCGTATTTGTCGGAAAGGCAGCTACTTCGAATCAGATGCTGCGGATCTTATCCGCGCCATTCTGTCGGCTGTGGCCTACTTACATGATCACGGTATCGTACACCGTGACTTGAAGCCCGAGAATCTGCTATTTCGCACTCCGGAGGACAATGCGGATCTCTTGATTGCGGACTTCGGTTTGTCTAGAATCATGGATGAAGAACAGTTCCATGTTCTCACTACGACTTGCGGTACACCTGGGTACATGGCGCCTGAGATTTTCAAAAAGAGCGGCCACGGAAAGCCAGTGTATGTCTCCACGGAGTGCCTATCCTTCCCAGCTGCCTGAATAGGCCAAATCCTCGGTTTTCAACAATACGTCTGACACACTGCAACAGGGATATCTGGGCCATCGGCGTCATCACCTACTTCTTACTCTGCGGCTACACCCCCTTTGACCGTGACTCCAACCTGGAAGAGATGCAGGCCATCCTTGCAGCTGACTACTCTTTTACCCCGATCGAATATTGGCGCGGTGTCTCGCAGCATGCCCGGGATTTCATCAAACGGTGTCTGACCGTCGATCCCGAAGCACGCATGACCGCCCACGAAGCCCTCCAACACATCTGGGTCAACCCACCGTACGACCCACACGCCGACCAGTCCGGTCAAGACTTGCTCCCGACCGTCAAGAAGAACTTCAACGCCCGTCGGACACTTCACAAGGCCATCGATACCGTTCGTGCGATCAACAAGCTCCGCGAAGGTGGCGGCCTGATGATGGACGGGGTGATGAGCGTAGACCCGAAACCGGAAAGGGTCAACGGCAACCATGTCGTCGAGGAACGATCACACGACGACGGACAGATGGACCTCGACAGCCGCAGCGATGCACGCGGCCAGACAGAGGAACAGATCCGGGCACAGGAGCAGAGAGTGAAACAGATGGTAGCCGGCCTGTGGAGTAGAACTGCGAAGAAATGACGAGGGAAAAAAAAACGAATCTGATGATAGATATGCCAAGATTTCTTCCCACCTTTTTTGCTTATAATCAGGCTTTCCATTTTTCGTTTGCTTCTTTGCGTGTCTTATACAGTTTTTGTTTCTTGCTTGGCGGGTTTTTCTACCATTGCTTCCTAAGCCCTGGATGAGGGAGGAAAGGTCTATATATGCCCATTGTTTGAGCTCTGATGATTGCCATACCTTGATTAATTGGTATATAAAGCATCTTCGGTATATATAGACATATGTATATCGCTACTGCGGGAGGTCTTGATACATTTAGAGTAAGAATAAGTTCAAAAAATAGTGAACTATCTCACACACATTCGCACTATATCTCTTAATGAAACTACTATACAGTAATACAATAATCGACCATCCGACATCGAGATAAATTAGGAGAAGTAGGTTAGAGACTCGGGAATAGATAAAGACTACTAGCAGCACAGTAACTAACTTAATACACAGAGCTTATCCTATATTAGTACCGGTCCATTTCTGCCCTGAAGAGTATAGCACCCAGTGGAAATCGACATAAATAATCAGTATAATGCATCCATCTAAGCATAACCCATGCACTACAACGCCACATCAAGCTCAAATTGTTCCCACAAGGTAATCGAAACTATACAGAAACAAACAACTAGCATGAGAGACTACTGTTAAGTCCAAAACGAAGAACTTGTGTGCATAAATAAGATCAGCTTAGCGCATTTGCCTCACCTTCATATAACTTACCAGTAAATGGCGAAGTACCAGACCCGGAAAGGGTATTTTATTCAGAAACTGAGTAAGTAGAGGAAATACTTACTTCTTCAACAGGACTGTGTTTCCCAGAAGATACACGCAATACCGGGCTGTTGAGGATAGGTAGTAGTGTTGCTGCCTGAGTAGGTAGAAAAGTACGGCCTGAGCATAGTCGTCGTTTGCTCAAAGTAAAGGGTAGATGTCAGTTGGCTACTATAACCCACCAGATGTGAAACATGAATATAGCCAGCTAAGGAACCTCATACGTATCAATGCTGTAGCATGCTTAAATCTACCCTTACATTGCCTACTATTTAGTAGGACTATCAACTTGGTGACATGTCATATAGCATATGGTGACTACTATCTCGAAGCTTGAAACTACAGTAACTGAAACCCTGCCTCTAAATCCCCCGGTAGACGATGCTCACAGGCTGCCTTGTAGAGGTCGTAGTGTGTTCTCAGCGTCTAGTTCTTGTATGGCAAATACTGACGACAAACATTAGACCTGAGTCGCCATCCATCGAACGGAGAGTGGGTATGTGTCATATTGAGCTTTTTTTTTCCTTCAGGCAGCTATGAGGTAATTGGGAAGTTTCATCATACGTACTTATGTTGTGGTGCTGTTTGATTTTTTTTTTCTACGAAACCGCTTGCTTGTAGGCTTGTAGGCTTGTAGGCTCTTTTCCTATCCCTTACCTTTTCTTCGTTCTTTTCCCTTTCCCTGGAGTAATATCTTGGCCTTCTCCTTCATTGACTGATTATTTAACAGACTATCACCTTGTCAGATCTCTTTTCCTTCAGTCTACAGCGAGATCTGAGTCCTTAAATCAAGTATATGGCCGTCATGGGCATGACAGGAGTTGGGAAGACAACTTTCATTAGCACGTTGACAGATAGCGACCTAACCGTTGGACATGGTCTCAGTTCCTGTATGTTCTGCCCAAAGTAAACGAAACAGAGAGTTACAGCTGCTAACACCGTCTGGACACAAGGCACGAAGGACATCGACGTTGTCGAAACGATCATTAACGGGCAGAAGGTCCATCTCATTGATACCCCCGGTTTCGACGACACGGACCTGTCGGACACGGAGATCCTCAAGACGATTGCAGCGTACTTGCAAGGAGCGGAAGGGGCCAGTATCCAGTTGACGGGGCTATTATATCTGCACCCGAATTAGCGATGTGCGGGTGCAAGGAAGTGCGTTGAAGAACATCCGCATATTTAGGAGTCTCGTTGGGGAGGACAATATGACCAACGTCATTCTGGTCACGACGCGATGGGACTCCGTGACTGAAGTGGAAGGAGAACTTCGGCTACAAGAACTGCTGGGGAAGGACAAGTTCTGGGGAGGGATGATTACTGCGGGGGCGAGGCATGAGGCCTTGCATAACGTGGAGATCGACAGTCAGCGGATCGTGCAAAGTCTGCTGGGGCAACCTCCCGTGGAGTCGGAGCTTCAGCGGGAGTTGAAGGCTGGGAAGAGCCTAGAACAAACAGGGGCCGGGCAAGTGGTTAGTGGGGAATTGCGGAAGATGGAACAGAGACATGTTGGGGGAGGTTGCAGAGCTTAAGGAAGCTCTCCGGGTGGAAAAGAATAGTGAAATCACCTATCAGCTTCGGACAATACCTATGAGGAATTGCTGAAAAAGCAGGCGCAGATTGCAGAAGAGCAGAAGAATCATCACCAGACGGAGATGAGGCAACTCCAGAATCAGTTGAGAAAACTTCAGAAGGGCCGCTACTCACTGATATAATATATCTACTCGTATCGGTAGATAGGGATATCTCAAGAGTTCATGGGAATCAGAAGAGGTGCTCGATTCACATCCATTCTAGGTATCAAGATATTTGCTCAACATTGCCGGAAGTCGCCTTGACGCCCTTACGGCTTGAATGCTGTATTTGCTAGGATTGCAATAAAAACCCTTTTGCTACACCATTTTATTCTGATTGTAGATTTATGTCAGTATCGGGCCACTATTTAAGAAGTAAGGCGCCAGCCACAAGAAATCACCATGTATGTCATCCAAGAAATAGCTCTTACAGCTGTTGTTCCTGCCTTAATCACACAATGAGATTGTCGATTACAGTCATCCTGATCCATTTCATGTGTTTTGTTGCCTTGTCGGATGATCAACTGCATAGATACACTCACTCTGCAGCGTGCATGACATGGTTTTGTTCACCGTCTCACCGTCCTTAACAGGAAATGTCATGAGTTTTCTTCATGGGTCGAAGAGTGGTGTCAGCCCCGGGGGTCGGCGGAACTTGAATGTTGTCTGTGATCGATGTGGAGAAGTGAGTGTGGAACTGCACAGCGTACGGCATAAATAGTGGCCCATTGACGAGTATCAAAATAGGATATATATATGGAGTGTAGGTAGTCAGGGCTCAATGCATCACAAAAAGCATCTATGCTTGTGTATTGAAAAGTAAAAATATATAGTATATTTAAATAAATTAAAGATACAAGGCGAAACATATATTATATAGTAGGATAGATGAGGAAATATTGCATACTTCAACTACGATAATAAAATTGAGGGATTGAATTAGACGTTGATATGCCTCAATTTCGGGATCTAAATATCAGAAAAACCATGCAGACCCTAAATAATAATTAACCCAAACACGCCATTACCTCTTCATTAACACCATCATATCATTAACCAAATAGATAGGTGGTCTCCAAAATGCGCTCCTCGGGTCACAGGCTAGAAAATATCACTCGCAGAATAGAAACCAGACCATCATCATATTTGTTCATACAGCTGGACCCAACAATTTCTCACTCCCATCGCCCAGAGAGAGAACCCACTGCCGCCATTCCTGCCATTCGGCGTAGCTCGCGGAGGCCTTCAACCCTTGATACTTGACGACTCGGAAGTCGGAGACTTGCTCCCATGGCTTGTTGGAGTTAGAGGTGTGACCTCCACTGCTGCTACCTCTTAGAAATCTCCTAGTCATGCTTTCGTGGCCACCATCCCAGCCTGCTTTCTCCATCAAGCTTTTCAATGTCTGCTCTTTGGTCCATCCTTGCTCCACAGGGACGTCCGGTAGGTAGGTTGCACCGTAGCGTCGACCGCGGTTAATAAAAGAGATACGGATTCCATGGACCCCGAGAGCCCAATCTAGAGCGTTAGTGCAGGGCTCAAAGGATCCAAGGAGGGTTAAAGAGCATGACAGGGTGGGTATAGCGGCGGCTGGAATTGGAGTAAAACGGGTATCTTCGAACGCACTGCGTCCGTGTTAGCAACAGGCGTCTAGATGGGAGACGATCCATTTGCCCCCACATCAGGGATACATACGAAGTGATAGCGTAGGACTCTAAGCCTGCAGCAAGCTCCTGCGCCTCGAAAGTGCCAATACAACCGCGAAGTGACTTACGGCCGCTCCTGGAGAGAGTGTTCCAAGTTACAAATAACGGATACTGCAGATCTTTTGCCCTTTGACGTCTCAAGCCGCTCGCATCGGACTGCAGCGACTGTGAGCTTGGTGTGGTCATGGTAGTAGTAGGAGTGGAACTAGATAGGCCTGAGTGTGAGGAATTACTCGAGGGCGTGGTAGCGGAGCTCGAATCCGACGAGGCCTGGCTCTGGAGGCGACTGATATTTGGTAACTTCAGTCCCCGGGGGCCGTTCTTGGGCTTAGAGGATACATCGTCTATGTCATCATCGTCATCTCCAGACTGCAGGCCAAGACTCGCGCTCTCCCTCAGAGTAACCGACTCATCGTTGTCCTGGAGAGCGGAAACTTTCTTAAATTGCTCGTATCGTTCCCATAGCTCCTCCACGGCTGTGAGGCTAATGTGCTCTTGACCTTTATACGAGGCGGCGAGGCACTCAAAGCAGTAATAGCAATGAGCGGGGGTTGCCATCTTCTCGGAACCGCCAGAATCACGGACAAAAGGTGAAAAAAGATTACTGTAAAGCAAGCTAAGCGCTCTTGTCCTTGAGAAAAGCCAGGTTTGCTGTGACAAATCTTCTGATACTAACAGACACCTTGCTCCACCCGGATAGACACCGCTGCTTGCCGCTTATCTCGTGAGAAGACACACAAGATCAGCACTACTTATGAACAAATATCGTGCCCGTTTTGAGTCAGTTTATTCTGAGGAGAGGCAGAGAGATCCAGCAGCGAAGCACACCGTCTGTTTCCGTCTGTATTTGTGTCTGGTAGAGGAGAGGGGAAAGAAGGAATGAGGGGGAAGTACTCCATTACATATCAGGCGTCGATAAGATAAGCTCCACGTGATGGCATGGTTGGTTATTCTCCCGTGACCAGGCACAGAACAAGGGACTGAATTCCACAAAAAAGCCAAGACATGATCATAGATTTGCAAACCTAACACTTTCCCAGTCTACTTGTAACCTCCGACCACACATACTCTCGAAGGGAGCTCTTTAGGGCTATTGGATTCTTCTCTACAACCCGATTGACTAGCGGGTGTCGTTCCAGGGTTATAAAGTGGCGGAACGTTGGTTCGGCGGTGCCCTGAATAACCCTTCCCGTGATCTACAACAGCTGCTCTACGCAGATTCAGAAAGGTCTGGTGCAGAGTATGGGCATAAACTTCTTGCCATGAGGAATAATTTCAAGTCAGTAAGCTGCTCTGTCGGCGTTACGGGCACAAGGCATAAAAATAATGAACCTTTTTGAACTTCTAGTTAATATGCCTCCCTAACCAAGCCGTACATGGTCCGAGACCCCCGTGGACATGCCACTGATCGGCCCCACAATACTAATCAATATTTGGCTTCGCCATGCTTTAAAAAACGAGTCTGAAGAAGCTGAAAAGACAAAAAGAATAGAAGAAACGTCAGCGACAGGATTTGAACCTGTGCGGGCGAACCCAACAGATTTCTAGTCTGTCGCCTTAACCACTCGGCCACACTGACGGTTGTTATTGTATATGGACTTCTTATATTAAAATATAAATAATTTACAACATAATCTATATTAAACCACTTGCTGCAGGGCAGTCCAGGCAAGTAGATGATAAGGACTGGGGTCAAAGAAGGGACAAATGGCTCGCTCCCCAAGAATATTACTTCCACCATTTTCTTTAAACCCCTCCAGGACTGTCCTTCCATGCTATCACTACAGGTCTGACTTGCCGCCCCCTTATTGATGCTGCAGCCCATATACGGACGGCAAACGCCACACAGCATTTATTCGTAATTGCTGTGTTTTACTCGATTATCATTCACTTCTTGTCAGCCGCGGTAGTAATGACAGCACATTGCTGGAGTAGTAACCACTAAAGAGCGCTTCACGACGATATCACATGATAGGTAAGCCCTACCCGGAAAAGGCTGGTTCGGGTCAACCAATCAGAAAATATCTACCAGAACTGCAAAATATTAAGATTTATAGTCTTGGGGATTTGTAATCCCCCTTTTCTTGATTTCATTTTTAGGCGAGGGTCAGGGTAATGCTGTTGGTGGGGGTCAGAGAGTCAGTGATCCCTCTAGATATATATGACTGGACTTAGAATCTAGCAAAGCTACAGCACCGTGGAAAACTATATGTTGAACATGTATTCCATTGAACCAGCTGTTTGAACGTTGTCAACATACTATTTGTATAACTATCCCTCGACGCGAAATATATATACTTGTTTTGCTGGAATAAATGGATGGCAATAACCCGAATGCAAATGTCCTGCTTGGGAGATCGTAACCTCTTTTGTATCTCGTTGAGTTATATATATATATATATATATATATATATTTGTATATGCCTACAGTAAGACGACACTCTAGGGTCCTATGCAATCTCGCCGCGGTCGCAAAGAACTCCATGCATACACCTAGGAGCCAAGAGCCCTAACAGCATGCACCACGGTCAAATATTGGTGAGTGACGCATTGTGTATCTAAGCCTCCCCGGAGCGACCGAGAGGTGATCCATTAGAACGTGGAACCAAACGGCCCTGAAACATGGGCGTTCCTAATTACTAGACCAGAAGAGTTGTTTTATGACAGATTTCGAGCTGCTGATCAGTCGCACTGTCGCCTGGAACAACTATCGTTTCCTCTGGGTGGAATCGAGGCTATCTGTAGATAAGTTTCGTAGCTGAGCTGGTCACCATCACCGTCCACGATCATCCTTCGGTATAGGCAAGTTTAACATAGACAGCATATTTCGTGCGGGTCCTGCACCGCCCGCCTGACTCTGAAGGGCCTCCAGCAGGTTCTTCGCGAGATTTATGTCAATATCTCCATCTTCAAGATCGGGCATTTCCCCTTCCCCTTCGTCATGGTCCTCGCCTGACTTTCCTTCAGACAATGCCTGCTTACTTGCAGATGCCTTACCGGGACGATTCAGGTCAAGTACACCGGTGCCTCTCAGCTCGGCTTCCATCTGCCGTGATAGCTCTTGTATCTGTTCAGTATCATCTTCAGACTCAGCATCTAGTTCTTCCACTCGATTACGTGGCATCGATGGTCGAGATGAGCCCTTGGGACCAGATGCTGATGGCATCCCCATCATCTCTTTCATCATCTTAGAGAATTCCTCTTCATCAAAGGATGCCTCCTTGTCCTCTCCGTCACTGCTCACTTCGTCGTCGTCATCATCATCACCGTTGTCGGAATCAGAGTCATAATCGTCAAAAAAATCAGCCCCATCGAGACCGGCTGAGTCATTATTCAGAAACTCTTCGAAGCGTGCAACGATACGCTGAAGATTCTCTTGGGCATTGGCATCGCCAAAATTGCCCTTGGGGAGTTTCCCGTCGTCCTTTTCTTTTCCTTTACCTTTGAGTTCCCTGTCGAGATCCTCAAAACTGATGTCCAGCCACTTTTCGTCATCCTCTGTTTTGTCCCAGGTAGATATTTCCTCATCGGTAGGCAGGCTCTCATCTCCGCTTTCGATATCTTCCAAGACAAGTTTTATCTCCCTCACGACGGCCGTATCTTGATTTTGTGGGTCGGTGAGAAGCATTTCAAACCCGCAGGCAAGCTTCATACCCAATTCTGCCCTGTCATAAGCTTTTTGTTCATCCTTGGAAGGTAGCGCTCCAGCCCATGATTTTGGGACCGGGAAATCCTGGCTTTTGAGCTGAGCATAACCGACCCTAGTGAACCGGACGCTGACAGTGATGAAATCCTCTGGTTTGAAGATGAAACTGTCAGGCTCCTTAGCCCGGAGAGGTCGTAATGCAATTGGGTCCCTTAGATAGAAAGCTTCCACCGCCGATGAGATATATGCAGGCTTCTGGTGTAATAAGTACGCGATCTTGCGGGGGATCCTGATCAGTGCGGAGTGAAGGTTTTCGCTGATTTGCTGGGGATAATTGCGCAATCGATAGAATGCCTCTTCTTGAATCATTGCGGAGCGCATAAGCCGCGCAGGTTCCTCGATGATGATCCTCCTCGAATCTGAAAGAGATAGCCTTTCCGTCACTTTGCCCTTTTGGTTTTTCGGTTTGATGATAACAAGTTCACCACGGTGTATCCACACCTGCAGAGACCATTAGCTCTATGCAATGGACGCACAAAAAACGATCCTCTTACTCGGTTATCGGCTACTTCGGGCTCCAGCCATGACGGCAGCGCCCCTGCGGCTTCGATGAGAAGAAACTGCCCATCACCATCTGTGACCTTGACCCAGATATCCTTATGCTTTTTCGAAAGCTCGCGCAACAAATACACAACTACCCATTCATCCTCAATCGAGTCGCCGAAATTGGTGCGTCCGCGTAGGAATGTGTTTCCTGGTTACAGTTCAATCAGCATGGCCCTGTGGTTTGGCCTTAGGGAGTTTGTAAAAGACGCAATCACATACCATCCTCCTTTGTAATTTCCAAGCGGAACCCTTCTCTCTGCCAGATATAGTCTTTGAGAAGGTCCTTTGTCAGTTCCGCAGCAGTACGTTGTACTTCCACCAAGCGCGATCTCGTTTCTGCGACTTCGTCGACGATAGCGGGGGTGGGGTCGGAGGCGATATGATAGAGCGAATACTCCACACAATCGTCGGGGAGCTCAGGTTTCGGGATGGGATGGAAGGTGGACTTAAACCATTCTAGGTCTTCCTCCGACATGGGTGCCATATTGATAATTTCAAAACCCTAGTCGTTCGCAGGCACAAGGAATCAGTTTCGCTCCATCAAAAGAAAAATTACTGGCAATGACTTCATACCGAACGAGACGCGGTGAATCTCCCGGTCCGGCGCTCGTGATCTCAACGCTAAGCTGTTTCCGGCTAGATATCAACAAGAAAACGGTTGTGGGTCCTCACCGCCCAAAACACGTCCTCGTAATGCCGCATACACGGCTTGTACTCTAATCCTAATCTACTTTACTGCATTTTAGTGTTGCTTCCCTTCACACGCGCCAAGACTTAGAGATGATCGCGCGCTGGCAAAAACATTGAGCCAATTCAACACCTCAAGTCTTACATATTTTTCGCGTAATCCGCCTTGACAATGGTGGTGCCGTATATCGACACACCGCGCACCGAAGTCGACGGAAACGCGACTTACCTGACCAATGGCTTTCGCAGCGTCGGACGGCACAACCTATCGGCGCTCGATTCGGTCGAGAACTCGTTCCAGACACCCTCCAAAGATGAAGACCTCCTAAAAGGACTCGGTGATGATCGAAGACGAAGCTCTAGCGGATTCAAACTCAGTACACCGCGTGCAGGCACCGGTTCCAAATCGACGAGAAACGCGTTGAACGGCCGGCATCAGCTTCCGACAGCAGCACCACCCAAGGGAGAATTCACTCCATTGATGCGGAGTGCTGCAAAGAACAATTTCCTACGAAACATGTCCACGGCGAGGGGTAACGGTCACAAAACCCCAGGATATATGAAGGAAGGTCGCAGCAATTTCCATACCCCCGGGCTTCCGAGTTACGATATGACGGGTATCGACGAGGAGGATGAAACCGACGACCAACCCACGCCACTACCGCAGGTTGCGAGCAGTAGTGTGCAAAGTACACCCCTTCCGGGGTTGTCGGGTAGAGGCGGGAATGGTCTCTTGAACGATGGGCAGAACATGACCCTGAGGGAACAAGAAAAGGTAAGCCTTACTTTCCTGTATTCTTTCCATAGGGGTTAAAACGGTGCAACTGACCTTTGTAGATAATCGACAAACTAGACAAGGATAACTTCGGCCTGAAGTTAAAGATTCACTATTTGCAAGAGCAATTGGAGAAAGCAGGCCCGTCGTACAATCAAGCGGCACTCAAAGAAAACACCGAGCTCAAGGTGTCGAAGCTCACGATGCAACGAGATATCTCCCGATATAAGAAGAGTCTCCAACAGGCAGAACGCGACCTCGAAGCCTACCGCGTGCAATTCCAAGAACTCCGGGAGAAAGTGCGGAGGGGCCAGTTGGATGAAACGTCACAGCGCGAGATGGATCTAATGCGGGAGGAACTGGAATCAAAAGACCAGCGAGTCAGAGAACTCCAGGAAGAACTCCGAGATGCGAAGGATAGGCAATCAGAGGAAATTGAAAAACTCCGCGATGAGATCGAGGACCTGGAAGCCTCCCTCAGGGAGAAGGAGCGTACGATTGACGAGCGTGATGAGGAGCTTGAAGAGCTGAAAGACAAGGATAGCAAGGAACATGGAGCACTCGCTGAACTTGAATCCGAACTTCAACGCGCGAAGGAGCAGATGGAAGAGCTGCAGGACTCTCTTGACCAGGCGAAGTCCGAAGCTCGAGAGGCAAGGGAGTCTGAAAGCCGTGCAAGGAGCGACAAGGAGGAAGCCGAGAAGAACTTGCAAGAACTACATGATGAGATGGCAAACAAGTCCATTAGTACCAAGGGGCTGACCCGCCAGCTAGAAGAAAAATCAAGCAAGTTGGAAGAAGAGCTTCAGACACTGCAAGAGCAAAACAGCGTACTGAAAGAGGAGCTCGAAAGGAAAGCCCGGAATGAAGCCCACCTTGAAGAGCAGTACCAGCGGGCTCAGCAGAGCATGGACGATGAAGGACAGAAATTACATAACGATATTGCACTGGCCAGACATGAACTAAATGTAGTTCAGCAGGAACGCGACACACTCTCTGCTCAATTGCAAGAAGCACTCGATGAGATCCAGCATAAGACAGAGGAAAAGGAGCTCCTCCAAACACGCCATTACGCTTTAACTGATGAATCCGGTGGTCTGCAGACTGAGTTAGCCCAGGCGCAAGCCAGGATACGAGAGCTCCAACACTCTGTCAATGATGCGAAAGAGCATGCCCTGGAAGACGCCGATACCGTTCGCACCCAATACAGAGAGGAGATTGAAAGACTCCAGGAAGAAATTGAGGCTCTCAATCATGAGATTGAAGATAAAGAAGGCCAATTTGCATTAGAACAAGACCGGTGGGAAAGCACAAAGCGAGCTCTGCAACTTCAGAAGGACAGGGCAGAAGACCAAGCGGCTGGATTCAAGCGTACGATTGAGAAGCTTGAGCAAGTTGAGCATACTCTTACGGGCAAAGAAAGCAAACTCCAAGAAGTTATTGATAGTGAGAAAGCGCGACACTTTAATTCAGAAGCGGTCTTAAGCCGCCAAGTGAAAGAGCTGAACGACGAGCTCTTATCAAAGAGACAGATTATTGATGACCAACGGACTGAGCTTCTTTCGGTTAAAGAAGAACTTCGGCTTGCCAAACGCGAAGAAGCAGCATTGACCGAAAAAGTACAAGCGCTGGAGGATGAGGTCGTGGTATTGCAAGCGAACTTGGAGGAAGAACGAGAATACGCCAAGGGACGAATGCAGAAAGGTTCCAGCGATCATGACAACAGGCTGCAGAACTTAATATCTGAAAAGCAAAAACTTCGCGATCAGCTTGCCAATGCTCATGTCGAATTACACGATCTACGAACCTCGATGGTTGACCTCGAAACTGAGCGTGATGAGCTCCAGGCTCAGCTCGACCAAGCCCAGCATCAAGTTGACGACACTACCAAGTTCGATAAAGAAAAGGTTGAGCTCCGCAAATCTACTCTGCGTCTCGAAGGCGAGCTCAAAAGGCTGAGGGAGGAAAAATCATCCCTTGCTGAAGCGAAGGAGGCGCTCGAACAGCAGCTCAGCTCAGAAGTTGAAAGAGCTACGATGGAAGAAAATCGTCTTGCGGTTGAGATCGATCAACTTCAAGACAGGCTGCAAGCAACTTCTGGTGGAAGAGATAGGGAGCTGACTTCGGCAAAGAGTAAAACACAGCGTCTCGAAAGGCGAGTGCAGGAGCTAGAGGCACTTTTAGAGCAACAAACTTTGGGCGAACAGGAACACTCGACCGCGAACGCAGACCTCTCAATGCTGCGTCATAATTTAGACGAGGCGCGGAAACGGGAGAAGACCCTACTCCAGCGGGAAGCAGACCAAAAGGCCTCTGTCCGCAGCTGCAAATCAAGGATCGCCGAACTTGAGAGAGAGTTGCACGACACCATGATGCGGAAATTCGAGGACCACACTCATGCGTCACCTTCTGATAAACTCAACGAAGAGCTACGAAGCTTACGAAAGCAATTATCCGAAGCGCATCGCACGCTAAGAGAACTGAAAACAAAGAACCGAGACCTCGAACGAGCTGCAATGAGGGAGGAGGACCAGCGAGATCTGCACGAGTTGCTTAGATCGTCTACTCTTGAGGCTGAGTCCTTGGCACTGAAGGTATCAGAGCGCGATGCACGGTTGAGTGAACTAAGAGCCCAAGTACGCAGGATCCGAGAGGAGCGTGCCTTCTGTGCAAGAAAGGCCGAGGCGGCCATCAAAGACTTGGAGTCTCTCCAAGAACGTTACAATCATCTTGTGGAGAAGGCGGGCTCCAAATCAGATAGCAAGAGCAGACACGACAAAGAGATTCTGGGCTTAGGCAAGGAGATCATCTGGCTCCGTGCTCGGTTGAAGCGAGAGGAGAAGTTCCGCCGTGACCTGGCTTGGAGCAAGGGCCTGATGGAGCTCGGAGAGCGGGTCCGAGTTGCATGGTACGTGACAATCCCTTTGTTCTTCCATTGGCCTACTGACTAACTAACGTTTTTCCTTGCAGTAACGAGGCCGATCTCAGAATGATCTCCGAGATGGGAGTTAAGCCCCGTGATCGCGGTATGCTTCGCAGCCCACGACAGAAGCTCAAGACCGGCATCTTCATGGTGAAAGCAATTGTACGGATGCAGCGCATGGGCCAGCAATGGCAAAAGACAAAGAAAATAGGCGAGGGCCTCAAACGGGCCAAGAACGAGGTCCTGAAGAGAAGAGAGGCGTCGAGTAGCAAGGCATTGGTGTAATTGCCGTGCTACTTTTTTTTTTTTTTTTTTTTTTTTCGATATAACCAGTTCATTCTTTGGCTTACGACTTGTTTCCAAGTGATTCCCCAATCTGTTCATACCGGTCTCTAGGTTTTCTTTTATTCCACTGGTTCTGTTTATGGAGGCGTTTTAACTATTGGATGAAAGGATGGATAGGGCTTATAGTTAGCTTGTCTTACTGTTGTCTGGACATTCTGCATATATTTTATAGCCTGTACGGGTTGCTGTTTTTGATGATCAGGATAATTGAATGAGAAATGTGAAGCTTGTTAAGTATGGCTGTTTGGTCTTTGTTCTTTGGTTCTTATTATCTAGTTGTTCTGTGTAATTAATTGCAAGAGTCCATACTCTTGAATAATCATCGATCGGACCTTCTGATGGTGAATATAGTGACTATAGAGTCACCAGCAATCAGAATTGTAGACTTGTATAAGCCAAGTGGACCTCCGACGCCAGAGATGAGAAAGTCATAGATAAGCATTGTTCATTAGACTTTATTCTTCAGACACATGACTCGTTAAATCAACACAATGAATTTGACACTGAATAGACTCGAACTTAGCCCAAACTAGTTCAACAGAATTGTAACGCCTGGTCTCGCCTTGCCGAACAACGGTAACGCTTCTAACACCGGGGTCGTGGGTAGGATGAATATAGAGGGACGTGTATAGGAATCTGCAAGGTAGCCGCTTGAGAGAGGATGATGTGAGAATGTATAAACGTAAAATATCTCTCATTCGCTCAATCCAAGAGAGATGAAGAAGGGGGGTGGTATGCAAAAAAGAGCCAGCACAGCGGTATATGCTTTCAAGTATAGAGGGCAAGGGTTTACTATATGGGCTAAGCGCCTTCGCTGCCAAATTCCTTGGTCCACTCCGAGTTCCTCTGGAGGTCTTCTTGACTGACAGTGGGTCTAGAGTTGCGAACTGCTTTGATAAAGTCTTTCAGAACGAGCGGTGGCTCCAGCAACTGATCTGCTTCCACACTCGTCCATGTCATCTCCATTGCACCTGCATCTCCTGGAGAGCATGGTGTTAATTTTTCTTGTCCTTCAAACAAAACCTGGTGACGAGTTAGCCATCATTCGGTTCAACTTAAAGGCTGGACTAATGCGGGTTTACCTTCTTGTAATGCGTGGCTGTTTGGATTTTACGGATCGGTTGCATGAGTGCATCCTGAACGGCAATGCTAATATCGCTGCCGGAGTAGCCCTCGCTCATCTCCGCCAGTGTTCTGTAATCGGCTTGCGTCATTTCACACGGTGTTTGTCCGACAGCTAGCATGAACATTTTCACTCGTGCATTGATGTCGGGAAGGCTGATGTGGACTCTCCGCTGGAATCTGCGACGAATAGCTGCATCTAGTTGCCATGGAATATTCGTTGCGCCTAGGATTAGAACACCTCTCGAATCCTTTCCTACACCATCCATCTGCACCAGCAACTCCGTCTTGATACGGCGAGATGCCTCTGATTCTCCTTCTCCACGAGGACCACATAGGGCATCCACTTCATCGATGAAGATAATAGCGGGCTTGTTCTCTCGGGCCATATTGAAGAGCTGCTTCACGAGCCTGTTATGAGTCAGAAACTGCCCGAAACACATGCGCTGAGTCCGCCCAGAGACCGTACCTTTCACTTTCACCCATCCACTTGGATACTAGATCACTGCTACTGACACTGAAGAATGTACTGTTTGCTTCGGTTGCCACGGCTTTGGCAAGATACGACTTTCCGGTACCGGGAGGCCCATAGAGCAAGATACCCTTCCATGGCTGTCGTTTCCCCGTAAACAAATGAGGGAACTTAATAGGTAATATGACCGCCTCCTTCAATGCTTCCTTAGCACTCTCGAGACCTGCTACATCCTCCCACTTCACATTCGGCTTATCCGACAAGATCGCCCCAGCAAGGGCGCTGCGTAGCTTCTTCGAATCAGCGTCTTCATTATCGTCCTCGTTCTTACTGAAAAAACGCATATATCAGCACCCAATATTAATGCAGAAACAGGATAGAGGCGACTGAAATACGTACTCGCCCTTCCCACTGCCTTGCGCCACCTTGCCGTTCGCGCCTACTGCACTTGGCTTCTTTCGACTTTCCGTTGCTTCAAGGTGGGTCTTGAGTTTCTCTGCGCGATCAAGATATTCGCCCGTTTTCGCGCGAATCATCTCCTTGGACTTCGGGTTCTTCTCCCATTTTAGGGCGAGCATGAATAGCTCCAGTGCGGAGTAGTAGCCCTGATAAGCCTTCTCGTACTCGCCCGAATTGTCGAGCTCGATGGCCTTCTTGACGGCATCAATCGCCCGCCCCAGGAAGTCCGTGTTACTCATGATTGTTCGGGGGTTGTTCGTGAGTACTCCGGGTTTGCTACTGGAGCCCGTAGGGGGATCGTCTCGGTGTGTGGAGAGAGGGAGGAGGTCGGAGGCGGGGACTGTAATAGGTGATTGCCTGAATGTGTTGGAATGCGGGAAACGGAGGGTGATAGGGTTCGAAAGAGGACAGATAAAGACTAGACAGCAGCCGGACCCATTCGACTCTAGAGAATGGACCAAGAGGAATACAACTAGGTATCAATCGACCGAGTTCTTGGCGGGATGATTGGAGGGGAGAAATGGCAAAAGGCGGCTTTCAGTGATGTTTACCGTCCTGCATTTTCTGCCGCTTCCGCTCTCTATTTTGCCTGAAGTCCCCGCCATGGAAACCAACTTACTTGTAGTTCAATATTAAACCCACCACTTATCTGCTACTACCACAATTGTCGAATAGCATATACTCCTTTGTATAATCTTCTCACAGTGACAACTATGGCGGATGCACAGAAGCAAATGCAGGCACTCTCAGACGAGTTCCAAAAATTACAGACCGGTATGTCAGGGAATCCTTGACCGGAACTCCCCCACTTCGGCACTACTGCGACTACTATGCGCCGGGTACTGACACGGCAATAATCCTCAGAATTGGATAGTTTTGTCGAAGCTCGTCAGAAGCTCGAGTCACAGCAACAGGAAAACCAAGGAGTCCAGAAGGAGTTTAACTCGTTGGATGACGATGCGAACATCTACAAGCTCATCGGGCCGGTCCTGTTGAAGCAAGATAAGAACGAGGCCCTGATGGCTGTCAATGGACGTCTTGAGTTTATTGAGAAGGAGATGTGCGTTGAAGAATTACGATCTTGAGATCTAGTCTGGGATGGTTATCAGTTCAGGCTGTACTGACGGAGTGAGCAGTAAACGGATCGAGGGACAAATCAAGGAAAACCAAGACAAGAGCGACAAGATGCGAGCAGAGGTGAGGGGTGTCTCTGGAGATACCGACTAGGGCTGTTTCTGATCCTTGTTCACAGATGCTTCAATATCAGAGCCAAATGCAACAGCAAGCGGCAGCCGCATCCGCCTCCGCCTGAGCTTGAACACATACTTGACCCGTTTCACAAAATGGAGTCTTCGGCGCTTTCAGCTCAGAGCGCAGAAACAAGCCCACACATTCGGGGAGGGGAGTTGGTGTGCTAGAGCGTGGCCCCATTTGCAGGTTTTGGGGTTACAGGTCACCTTGCGCACCATGGCCGTGGACATTGACCAGGATGATACTACATCGGTTAGGGACGGCTACAAACTGGGGTCGGGGTTTTTACGAACTCGGTTATTTGATCACTTGGCAGATCGCAAGATGGACGTGTTGTTGTTTTGAGTTGACAATGACGCAATCGTCATAATACGATATTCTCTACCACCCGCAGATACGGTTGGATGCTTTGCAGTAGCTGTACTGCTTCGCTGTCAGACCATTCATTATTGTACAGTCAATGTAATTCCTAGGGTGCCTTGTGTTGCATAACGCAGTGGATTAATGCTTTACGACCCTTATGCGCTTTAAGAGGATAACATGCATTTATTTCCACAGCCTCTAAATTCTATTTATGCTACATCGAACTGTCAATCATTTGAACTCCATAACTTTCATGTATTCATAACCCGCTCAAATCGTCTCTAGATGATGCGTTAGGACGATCTATATATTAAAATATGTTTATGCCTTAACCAGGAGATTCTGTCCAGACATCTCCTCAGGCTGCTCGATGCCCATGGCAGCGAGAACGGTTGGTGCGACATCTCCAAGCACGCCACCCTCCTTCTTGAGGCTCCAGCCTTCAGGGGCATTGGCCATGATGAAGGGAACCTTGTTGGTGGTGTGAGAAGTCTTGGGGGTGCCCTTCTCGGTAAGCATTTCCTCGGCGTTTCTGGAAGAGAAGCAGTCAGTCAGAGGGTTCGCCCTACGTATGATCTCCAAGGATGGTGAACGCTTACCCATGATCCGCAGTGATGAAGAGTACGTAGCCATGCTTCTTGCAGGCTTCATAGATGGCACCGATGGCCTTGTCGGTAGCAGCAACACCCTGAATGGCAGCTTCATACTTACCAGTGTGGCCAACCATGTCAGGAGGAGCGAAGTTGTTCATGACGAACTCGAACTTGCCCTCACCAATGCGGTCGGCCATCTTCTGACCGACGGCCTCAGCGCTCATCTTGGGGTCCAGGTCGTAGGTCGCAACCTTGGGGGATGGGATCATGTCGCGGACCTCACCAGCGAACTGCTTCTCAATACCACCATTGAAGAAGAAAGTGACGTGAGCGTATTTCTCAGTCTCGGCAACGTGACATTGTTGAACATCCTTCTTGCTGAGCCATTCAGCGAGCACGTTGCCCATGTGCTGAGGGGGGAAAGCAAGAGGGAATGTGTAGTCGGTCTTATACTGGGTCATAGTGGTGATGTGGATGTTCTTAGGGTAAGGGAAGTCGGGCTTAGGGGTGCGGTCGTAGTCACCGAGCAATTGGGTGATTTCACGAACACGGTCAGATCGGTAGTTGAAGAAGAAAAGGGTGTCATCGTCTGTCAAATTTCGTCAGCCATCAGCACACTGCGAATCGTTGAATAGGCCATCATACCCTTGACCCGTCTCTCCTCGCCACCGACGATGATGGGCGTCAGGAACTCGTCGGTCTCATCCTTCTCGTAGCGCTCGTTGATGGTCTTCACAGGGTCGGAGGACTCTTCGCCATCCCCAGAGACAATGCCCTTCATGGCTTTTTCGACACGGTCCCAGCGCTTATCGCGGTCCATGGCCCAGTAGCGTCCAACAACAGTGGCAATTTCACCAATGCCGATTTCCTTGGTCTGATCAAGAAGCTGCTGCATGTACTTGGTAGCGCTCTTGGGCTCGGTGTCACGTCCATCGCCGAAGAAGTGGATGAAGACCTTGGGAATCTCCATCTCCTTGGCAACCTTCAGCAGGCCGACCAGGTGGGTAATGTTGGAGTGGACACCACCGTCGGAGACCAGACCCAGAAGGTGAAGACGACCATTGCCTTCCTTGGCACGCTTGAAGGATGCAACGACGTTGTCTACCTTGTTCAGCTCGCCCTTCTTGAGGGTTTGGTCAATACGGACACTGTCCTGCCAGACTACACGTCCCGCACCGATGTTCAGATGGCCGACTTCACTGTTACCCATGAGACCCTCCGGCAATCCGACGGCAAGCGACGAGGCATCGAGCTCGGAGTAGCCCTGGGCGGTCTTGGAATCGGCCTCGGCAAAACCGGACATGAAGGGAGTCTCCGCAGCGAGGATGGCATCACCATCCTTACGGGAGTCGGGGCCAGCAACACCCCAGCCATCGATGACGACTAGTTGACTGTGTTAGCGATTTGTTTTGGAAAGTCGGATGGCACTGCGGCGCAAATACTTACCGAGGACAACTTTTTGATCAACCTTAGCCATAATGAAACTGCGAGATAGTCAATTCCCGGACAACTTTTAACTAATTTTTGGGGGAATTGAGAAAGGGAAGAATCACTGACCAAAAGGAAGAGGTCGAGTAGAAGTGAGGGTAGAAGAAGAAGGAGGTGGTGGAGAAAAGGAGGGAAGAGAAGAAAAGATGAAAGGATAGGTTGACCGGTGAGAAGCAGTAGTATCGGGTGATTGAAATGGAGGGGGAGGGGTGTTCCGCCGGTGACGCTTTTAGGGTGAGTGTCAGTCAACTGGTCTCCTGGTGCGACGTCACTTTTTCTTTAGTCAAAAGTCACGGGCGGCGACCGGTTGTTCTCGTCCGCTCTGCTTTACCCGTTCCGACTCTTCCCTAAACAATTACCCTGATCATAATTACCTTCGTCTTCGTTCGTCGCAAGGCCATTATTTGTCCCCGCAATGGCTTCTCGATCCCCGGCGGCGGTTACTCCACTGCCAAAATTATCGTCGGCTCCCCAGACACCCATCGTTAGGGATACAACGGCTGCACCGTCAACAGTGCCGCAACCAGTCCCCTTCCCTCCTCCACAGACGTTCGATATTATCCCACCATTGCACGGTCTGCTTCTCCGACTACTCTCACCACAGCCGAATACTGAAGGTGTATCGAATGACACACGAGCCGCCGAAGATCCCGCTGTTGCTACAGCTCCCACCGGTGCCACGTCCACTGCGGCAGGCCAGTCTCAGTCTCACCCACAACACCAGCAATCGGCTGCTGGGAACCAGAACAATGATGGCCATGGCGTAATGCCCACTGCTTCCTCTGCGGCACCAGGGAGCGCCTCCGCTGCGGCCGAGATAGCTGCGTTGAGTTCAAACGCGCCTCCACCGCTAGACATCAAAGACCTTCCTACCGAGGCCAGCTCCATCAAGATTCGTATACAGAAAGCACAAGCTGTGGTGGAGAGCCTGCCTGATGTGCAGCGTTCAGTTGTGGAACAGGAGAGGGAGATCAAAGAACTCGAGCATAGAATCTCTAGACTCAAATCGGTCATCTCAGATTTTGGGAGAAGAGCGGACTCTGCGAAGACCGAGAAAACGGAGATAGAAGCAGCTTGAATAGAGACTCCACTACGATAGGAATGTCTGTTCCACGGCAGTATTCCTATCGTGACGGCAATGGATTTAAACAGGCTTCAGACTGCCTTATAATTTGCGGTCAGTGAGAGAAAACATTGGATCCGTCATGGAATCATAACTTGCGAATCCTGACGATGGCTTCCCAGTGCCAGTCTGGACAGACACATCGGTTTGCTAAGACCTGGCTAAGCAAGGGGGAGTAAAATGTGCTAGATACCTTGGGGGCAATTAATGGATGCTATCTTCCATGAACCCTAATGGCGTTGCTACATGGAAGACCTCGTTACAGCTGTCTAGCCCTGATAACTTTGGAATCCATGTAAGAGACCTGATTCATCCTTCTTAGAGTGGCAAATGAAGGACATCAGAGAACGAAGAATTACAACATGATGGCGGATTCTGCCATACTGATAGTATATCTTGGAGCGTTGCGCCCGGCATGCGGTGCTCTTTGTTGGGGAGGGGTGGCAGAATGTATGTTGTGCTCACCCCTCAGTGACTCCCACGGTCCTCGTCCCCATGTATGAGGGTCATTGTGTATGCCACCAATAGATACACACAATTAACATTCCTTCTTTTTTTTTTTTTTTCTTTTTCAACATAAATTAAGCACCATTCCTATTAGTAATGTAGATAATGAGGAGAAACTCAAACCCGATCTCCAACTGCGTAATATTCGTAAACTTCTCCAAACAAGAAGACTTCCATGGTCTCGTCCGTTCCCGATGGAGTATAGAAACGCTATCGTCATGTGACTCATAGCTCTCCATTAAGTTTTTTTCTTTTTAGGTTACTATTTTTTTTTCTTTCCCCAAGGAAATGAATACTAACCCCAGATGGTTAGAGGGCCCCTCACGGTTCCGTCTCCGGGCGAATCAGTTTCCCGGTGAGGGGAGAAATGAGCTCCGATGTCGTTCCCGGAGGCCGACGTAGTACGAAAAAGTACTCCGTAAGATCCCTGATCGGAGTCTGTTTCTATTGGATATGATAAAAGGTTAAAAAGGCGGGACATTCTTCCTGAGGCACCCAACACCCCACCTAACTACGACCTGGTCTCCATTTTCTCTCTTCTGCTTCTATTTCTTCTTCTTCTTCTCTTCTTCCTTTCACATTCCAATTCTCTCTCTACCCATTTTCTCCTCTAGTATTCTTTGCTGTACTAGCATTATATTTCACAATGGCCACCTACGCTCTGTCGCAGGCCCACCGGGACGTGAGTATTGATGCAGTTGAAATTTTTCGTGCCACAGTCGCTGACTCACGAGGCAATGTAGCAAATGGAGAAGACTCTTGTTGAGTCTGATCCCGAAATTGCTCAGATCATGGTGAGTTTAAGTTCATTAAATCAATATGGTGTTGAACTAGTCTGACACCTTGCAGGAAAAAGAGATTCAGCGTCAGCGTGAATCCATTGTCTTGATCGCTTCGGAGAACTTCACTTCTCACGCCGTTTTCGACGCCCTTGGTTCTCCCATGTCCAACAAGTACTCCGAGGGTTACCCCGGTGCCCGTTACTACGGTGGTAACCAGCACATCGATGCCATCGAGCTCACATGCCAGGCTCGTGCCCTGAAGGCCTTCAACCTCGACCCTGCCAAGTGGGGTGTCAACGTTCAGTGCCTGAGTGGCAGCCCTGCCAACCTGCAGGTCTACCAGGCTCTTATGCGCCCCCACGACCGCCTGATGGGTCTTGATCTTCCCCACGGAGGCCATCTGTCCCACGGCTATCAGACACCCGCCAGAAAGTAGGTTTCACATTGTCCAGCGGTGGTTTAGTTAATTCCCTTGCTAATTCAAAAATTGCACAGGATCTCCGCTGTCTCTACTTACTTCGAGACCTTCCCCTACCGTGTCAACCTCGAGACTGGTATCATTGACTACGACGCTTTGGAGGCCAACGCTGAGCTCTACCGCCCCAAGTGTCTGGTTGCCGGTACCTCCGCCTACTGCCGCTTGATCGATTATGAGCGCATGCGCAAGATCGCTGACAAGGTCGGCGCTTACCTCATTGTTGACATGGCCCACATCTCCGGATTGATCGCCGCCGGTGTCATTCCTTCTCCCTTCGAGTACGCCGATGTTGTCACTACCACCACCCACAAGTCTCTCCGTGGTCCCCGTGGTGCCATGATCTTCTTCCGCAAGGGTGTGCGCAGCACTGACAAGACTGGCAAGGAGATCCTGTACGACCTTGAGGGTCCTATCAACTTCTCCGTTTTCCCTGGTCACCAGGGTGGTCCCCACAACCACACCATCACCGCCCTTGCTGTTGCTCTCAAGCAGGTTGACACCCCCGAGTTCAAGCAGTACCAGCAGCAGGTCCTGAACAACGCCAAGGCTCTGGAGAACGAGTTCAAGCAGCTGGGCCACAAGCTCGTCTCTGACGGCACTGACAGCCACATGGTCCTGGTGGACCTCCGCGCCAAGAAGTTGGATGGTGCTCGTGTTGAGGCTGTCCTGGAACAGATCAACATTGCTTGCAACAAGAACTCCATCCCTGGTGACAAGTCCGCCCTTACTCCTTGCGGTATCCGTATCGGTGCTCCTGCCATGACCACCCGTGGTATGGGTGAGGAGGACTTCAAGCGCATCGCTCACTACATCGACAAGGCCATCAACATCTGCAAGGATGTTCAGGCTGAGCTCCCCAAGGAGGCCAACAAGCTCAAGGACTTCAAGGCCAAGGTTGCCTCCGAGACCGTCTCGGAGATCCTGGAGCTGCGCAAGGAGGTTGCCGCCTGGGCTTCCACCTTCCCTCTCCCCGTTTAAATGTGATACCAAAATTTTCTGAGTTTCATTTTGTTTAGTCTTGCGAGTTCAACATCTTTGCGTCTAAAATGGATTGGGTGTGCTTTACTAGGGGTTTATATCGGTCTGCTTTTTCAACCTTACGCGGGTCACGGGATATGAGTATGTGAACGAACAAAATAGCATTGGATGGCTTTTCAACACCTCTTCAACAGGACAAAAGTTCATGTCTACATTATCGGGCTGGACGTCCAGCTTTTAAATGGATATGCTTGCCATTCACGAACAATATTAAATATACATTAATGAAATTTTTTTCAAGAAGTTACCTTCAAGTATCTCCTAGAACTGGGTGTTCATGAGTTCCAGACAGATGCAGAGAACCAAGAGCATTTAGTTATGGTTTCTAGTACTTCACCCTTAGGGCTTTATCGCGACGTCAAGCTCGATTCATCTCTAGATGCTTAGGCACTGTATGCACAAACCAGTCATGCCATCATATCGACGTGCAATTGATGCCACAGGCGTTTAGTAAACCCCGAATAATACGCGCAGTAAAACATAACGCCCGCCGATATTTATCTCCATCTACAACTCAACCCTTTCCCCGAAGTCCACGACCGGGTCATCCTCTACAGTTCCCTCTTTCTGTTCCTGCCATGACTGGAAAAGCAATGTGGCGACATTCTTACCCATCAGCGCACTCGTTTCCATCGTAGAGATGAAGCTCTCGATCCCACCAGTGTACCAGATATTAGGGGACAAGAGTGTTTCTTCGAATGTGACTCGTGGGTAGAGGAACGGGTAAGGATTCCAGATCTTTTCATGATGCCAGCTGATATCCTGCTTGGAGAGATCGTCAATAGTCGAATTGTTGTTCTTTACAGGATCAGAAGGGCTCTCCAGACCCAAGATGCTTCTCACGAAGTCAGCTGATAGCCGCTCGGGTGAGAAGACCTTATAGACGTAGTGCTTCGACGGTTTCTGGCCTGGAGATGCCAGAGGGTGATCCACTGTTCGGAGAGTGCTGATGCTCCAGAAACCGGTTGGACCCACTCCTGCCTTTTCGGAGCCCAGATCCAGGCCGCTGGGGAGGGTGGTGAGAATAGTTTCGGGAGTCTGGGCATTGGCCTCATGCATGTTAAAGAATTTAGGTGAGAGCTTATGTGGTGAAGAGAATAAGGTCACATGGAGTGTTACAAACGGAACCTCATCTGGCTGCTTTTCAACTGGAGGAGTGATTGAGAGCTCGGAATGCTGCAAGGGACCCGCAATCACTACTTCATCAAAAACGAGTTTCTGCTCCTTCGAGTCGTTGGCCTTGTAAGTTAGAGTTAATGTGTTATCGGCATTACGATGAATGGAGGTCACTGTATGGCTGAGTCGAATGTCGGCTTGCGCGCCCTTCAGCATTCCATGGAAAATTTGCCAATTTCCACCCTTGATAGACACTGCTCCTTCTGTAGCCATGCACACCATGGACTCGAGGCCATGTATGAGACCCAGATTCTGCCCGTAGTTGACTCGTGTGCTGGCTTGTATGATATCGCGAGAGAAGTCAGGAGATATGTTATTCTCCTTAAGAAAAACGTCACCAGGAGTTGAAGTCGAGTCTAGCAAACCAACTGCGGCGGCAGCGGCAGTCAGGGACCTAAACGGAAACATAGGTTCTTCATAGAGTTTCAAGAACTTATTGACTGTGGTCTTCATCAAGTTCTGGGTCCGAATGGGTGCCCAGCCGTAACGCCAGAGCAGCTTAGGAATGTTCCACCAACTATTATTCTGCAGCACGAAGACAAACTGCTTCCCGTCCCAGATGCCGATACTATCATCGGCTTCCTTCGGCCGGGCTGCGTCGGCGCTATCGACAAACAAACCGAGCTCTTTGGATGCGTTCATGAGGTTGTAGTTGACCTTGACAAAGATCGATGCACCTAGCTCCACAGGATATGCCGGATGGTCTAGAACATTTACTGTTGTTGATCGACCGCCCACGTACGAATTGCGTTCGAAGACGGTGATGTTGACTGGGATTGGGGACGCATCTGCATATTTGCGTAGAGAGAATGCAGTGGAAGAACCTCCCGCTCCAGCTCCTGTGAGCTTCATTAGCTTCTGGCATACAAATGTTGGCTAGAGCTTATGTACTCACCGATTATTGCCACCCTCTTGGTGGCAGTATCGGAAGCTTGAGTGAACGAATGCTCCTTGGCATCACTGAAAGATATAAAACACAACGCTATGACATAGTGTATGGCTAATAGCCAGAATGAAGGTTTAACAAAGACAGCCATGGGCAAATCAAAGGCACTAAACAGTGAGGACTGAGTATTAGCGGCACAGCATCCAAGCTCTCATGAACGTGCACTACTGCACAATTCAATCCCCAATAGCCGCCCTATACTGTTCTTCTGATGAGCTGAGGTTGATATTATGATTTAATGATAAGAAGAAAGATGGCAATTACAGACAAGAGAGATGGAGAATGAGAGACGTCAAGACAACAAGGCACAGAGCAGATGACGAATCATAGAGTGGTACGGGGTTGGTATCGGGGCTAGTCCCTAACCGGACTAGTGTATCGTGAACCCCGTATCGCTTATCGGCCTAATCTTTTTTCTACAGTCTTTTTTTTTTCTCTGCTGGACTAATGGAGGGGCTGATTGCTTTTATATGTTGACCTTCTATGCACACTTTATTGTCGACTTTTCATGAATTAATATAGTCAATTATTTTAGACTAGCTTTCTCGCCAATTGTCTCGCCACCATATTAACCTCCAATAAAATGGATCCTTATGACAGCGACTCGTCGGGGTTTGAAGATGAGGACTTCACGGAGACCAGTGTCCTTTTGGGATATGCGTCGGAGGAGCTGTTAGATGACTCGATTAGTCACCTCGGAGGCTGGCCAGTATGTGACTTTTTAAAGTCCCAATGAATATACCGGCAAATAAATACTGATAACCTTGACTTCAGACATGGCTGGACGACTCTACCCCGCCCCCAGGCGAGTTCGCCAATTGCAAAGTCTGCAATAGTCCTATGATCCTCCTCCTCGAATTGCACGGTGACCTTCCCGAACACTTCCCGGATGATGAGCGACGACTGTATATCTTCGGCTGCCCCAGAAAGCCCTGCAACCGCAAGCCAGGCAGTATCAGAGCCTTGCGCGCTACACGGAAGTTGAAGAGCCAGCCAGCACCCAAGAAGGAGGAAAAGCAGGAACCAGAAAAGGAGAAAGAAGAGCAAAAGAAGCAGGCTCAGGCTCCTAAGCCGGATCTTGGAGCAAGTCTTTTCGGGGCGACCTCTCTCACTGGGAGCGTCTCTGCGAGCCAGAACCCTTTCTCGACCAGTTCGTCCTCCGCACAAGGCAGCAACCCGTTCGCTTCCCCTCTTGCAGCACCTCAACCTGCCAAACCAGCTGCCTCATCAAACCCGTCCGGAAATTCCCTTTCCGAATCCTTTGCAGACAAAGTTCGAGTTTCCTCCCCGCCCCCGACCATCAAGCCACCCGAGGCCGCCGTCCCCGCTGCACCTTGGCCTCCGCAGTCTGACTTCCCCTCACCGTACAAACGGTACTATTTAGATGCGGAGTACGAAACACTTTCTCGTCCCCCTACCCCGAAAATTCCCGATAACGTTGTTATCGATAACACCGAAGATGATGCCAATGGTGGCCCGGGCGCGGACCTGAAGGATGCCCTTGAGTCTGAACTGGACAAAGTCTTCATGAAATTCTCGACCCGTCTCGGACATAACCCTGAGCAGATTTTGCGATATGAATTCCGTGGCTCTCCTCTCCTCTATTCTCACACCGATGCCGTCGGAAAGCTTCTTTACGACCCCAAGAACCCACCCCTGGGCGCTAAGGTGACTACTACTGGAGGTCCGAGCCGCATGCCACGCTGCGAATACTGTGGTAGCCAGCGTGTTTTCGAGCTGCAGCTCGTGCCTCATGCCATCAGCATGCTGGAGGATGGTCGTGAGGGGGTGGGACTGGGCCCCAAGGACGATGGCATGGAATGGGGAACCATCATTCTTGGTGTCTGCAGCAAGGACTGTGGCCCGGAGAAAACTGGGGTAGTCGGTTGGCGTGAGGAGTGGGCGGGAGTGCAGTGGGAAGAATCGAAATAAACGTACAGGCTCATGACTGATGTTCTATAATGCTTATGACCGCATAGACAAAATCGACTCAAGTTGAAAAATTCACATCTTTTTCTCGTGTACTGTATTCTATCCAGATGGGGTGGATTATGGAGTATGGTTCACTCAGTATTACGGTTAGAGACATGGTCTCCTACTTTAGTAACGCAAAATGGGCCCAGTTACTGAGAAATCCTCAGTCATCTCTGTTCTATGGGATATCTTCTCGAATATAAAGAAGTAAATAACGGAGAGAAAGAAAAGTTGTTTTTCACATAGACAACATCATGATGATGACAAACATAAGTGATGTCAAGCAAACACGTAACGCCAAATGCGCCAGTCCTGACTTCCCAACCCTCCTCATGCAGGTCTATCCCCGTCATCATCATCTTGGGCTCCGAGCTCGTTTCGTGGGTCTGAAGCGGACATAATCCTTTTACGAGTCTTTTCAATCAAGGAAAGACGCGAAGCGAAGATCCATATATAGGGTAGGATCTTCGAGGCATAATATTAGCAAGAAAAGGAAAGAGACACGGTTGGATTTTCGGTTCAAGGAGACTCCACTCAAGCGGCCTGCTCGAATCCCCGTCTGATAACACGGCCGAACATCTCGACACCGACGTGCTCGCTCTTGACTTCACTGCGGGCCTCGTTCTCCTTGTTGGTGGGAACCTTGACAACGGTGCCGTTGGGGCCGGACTTGTCGACCTCCCAGCTGCAGACCTCAGCGACGAACTTCTCAAGAGCCTCACGGCTCCTCAGGTCGAGCCATTGCTCGAGAACCTCGGCGTTGATCTCACGGAATGCCTTGCCAACCTCAACAGCGATGCGGATGCGGACGAGCTCCTCGAAGCCGGCGACATCGGCGGTCAGATCGGCGTAGAGATCATCGGAGTTCAAGGTGGACCAGAACTGAGCGTACTGGGCAGACTCAAGGAGCGTGGAGAGGCGCGCAAGCTTCTGAACGGATTCAACGAAGTCGGAGGTCTGAGATGCGGCCTGGGCCTCGGCGCTCGAGGGGAAAGGCTGAGTGTGGGCGGGGAGCAGGGCGAGGCAGAGAGAGAAAGCAGGGGATGGGAAAACGGTAAGCGCCTTAGCAAGGATGTTGGTGACGGTCTCAGCCTGGAGGAGGTGGGGGTTGAATTGGTAGCTGCCCAGGAGGCGTTTTAAGTTAGCGAGAACGATGAGAAAGTTCAGTAAACTCATCCAGTGACAGTTAATGATTTTGAGGGCTTTATCAGAAGTATGTAATCCTCGACATCCCTCGATTTGAGGTGTCAGTTAATAGGAAACGTGATAATAATAAAAGTATCTCTCCATCATTGAAGCCCGTGTGATATTACATTTGCAAGGTCGAACCTTCCGGAACAATTGCGTAAACAATCAAGCGCATGCACTCACAGCTTCAGCAATGCCAAGTTGGCATAGCAGTCGAATGTCCTGTCTTCGCACTGTTGTACAACATAGTCCTGGAAAACGGTGGTCGTCTCGGGGTTGTATCTGTCCAGACCGTTGAGGATGGCATCAATGTTGGCCGGCCGAGTCTCACACTTGTCGAAAGCGACACCCATCTTGACGATTCTTGGTTTCCTTGAAAAGATCGTTTGAAAAAAAGTTACCCCGGATGGGAATTTCAGTGTGGACCTTAACGGAACGGGCGACAGCGAAGCGCGTGGTACTAATCGGACTGCGGGATGGCTTTTTTGGTGGGATTTTTCGATTGTGTCGATGTCGATGTGCGGGCACTCGGAGGATCGGAGCCCCAGAACGGCATATTTCTCCGATTGGTATGTAGATCGAAGTATATCCAACCATATTGCTTGTTACTCCGCATTATAGGTAAACCCCGCTAGACACGTTATAAATACCTGTCCAGTGACCTTGAGAGAATGATTTCAGCCGTGAATCCTTTGATCTCTTCGGATGGTGGAAAGCCACCAAGTGGACGTGCACTATGCGACTTCTTATACCTTGCCCTTACCAGCCACTTACCCCCTTGTTGCTGGGGCTGGTAAAGGCAGTAACGACTCAGTCCGTTGATTATTCACAATTTGTCAATCCTTTTATGGGCTCTGAAGGCCCCATGCCCGGGAAAGGCTACGGAGGTGGTGACATTTTTGTTGGTGGTGCTCGGCCATTTGGCGTAACCAAGGCCGGGATTGACACGACAGCTGCAAATTGGTCGATTGCGGTGCTTAACGGTGGCTGGACCCCTGATGGAAATGTTACCGCCATTAGTATGTACCCCTAGCGTGAATTTGCGTATTCACTTGCAAAGACCTGAACTTTTATGCAGGCATGATGCACGAGAGCGGGACTGGAGGCGCTCCAAAATATGGGATTATCCCACAGATGCCTCTCACCGACGTGGCTCCTCCAGTGAATATACTTGATAATCTCACATATAGCCAGCCGAGGGTATAGTTATGCTCTACTTATATCAATAGCCCATAAGTTTACAGATGAATAGGTCGATCAAGACACCGCTAGTGTGGGCTATTTCAAAACTCAATTACAGAATGGCGTTCAAGTGGAATTATCAGCATCTCGCCACGCCGGAATAATGCAGTACTCTTTCCCAAAAGGCGAAAAATATGTCTTAGTTGATATTTCACACGTACAAACTCCTTTTCCACAATACCCCACTCCCATTCCTATGCGTAATCTTACTGCCTTATAGTACCTTCCAGGATCACCAAGTGACCCTAATGGCCAATACTATATCGGTGGAGAAGTTCAAGTCCATGGAGATGGCAGAGAATATAGTGGATATGGGACCTATATTGGCGGTTGGAACAATGGTTAGTTGTCCATATATTACTCTCGAATCTATGCTCAACTAAGGGATAGGCGCCCCTTTCACTGTCTATTTCTACGGAGAGTTCTCTGAAACCCCGGCATCAGCCACTACGTTTACAGGTAGAAACACCGACCCAATGAGACAGTACCAGACCTTCTCGAATGGAGGAATAAGCCATCCAATTTATGGCAACAAGTCAGATACGGCAAGCTCAGGACCTATGAATGACCGAGTAGGCGCACTTTTTAGCTGGGATAATGTGGAAGAGTCACAAATCCGCTCAAGGGTCGGCATCTCGTTCATGTCCACCGAGAAAGCTCGTTCATATATTCAATCCGAAATACCCTCGTGGGATATCAACGACACGGTGAATTCGGCAGTAGAAGAATGGAATCGAGACGTCTTCAGTAAAATAAGGGTGCCTCTTGATAGTACCACGAACCAGACACACGTGCGGCTACTGTACAGCTCCCTCTACTTCATTCACTTAATGCCATCTGATAGGACAGGAGAGAACCCACTTTGGCATTCGGGGGAGCCCTTCTGGGATGACTTCTACACTCTTTGTAGGTTCATATCCTGCTTTAGGCCACTTCTCATGCTAAATCTTGACTAGGGGACATCTTCCGGTGTACAATTAGCTTCTACCACATATTTCAGCCTTCTTACTACGAGTCCATGATCAGGGGCCTTATTGATATCTGGAGGTAAGGGCTCTATCACATGAAAAGACTGAACTTGAGCCTAACTTATACATAGACATCAAGGCTTTCTGCCAGATGGACGTTCCGGAAACTGGAATGGACTGGTTCAGGGAGGCTCGGATGCTGACAACATGTTAGCTGATGCATACGTAAAAGGTCTTCGTGGCGCAATCAACTGGACGGATGGATATGCAGCAATGAAAACAGATGCTGAGGTTATTCCTTACAATACCTACGATCCCACAGACTTCTCCGCAAGTACCAAGGAAGGCCGCGGAGCCCTAGGAGATTGGATTGAGCTGGGATATGTATCGCAAGACCGGAACACACGCTGTATTTCCAGAACTGTTGAGTATAGCCTGAATGACTTCGCTCTCAGTCAGGTTGCAGCTGGCGAAATGCCCAGTGACCGGGAGAAGTATCTCAATCGGTCTGCAGGGTGGCAGAAGATTTGGAATCCCGACGTGCAGAGCTTAAATTTCACAGGGTTTGTGGCACCGAAATTTTCCAATGGTACCTTCAATAGTAGTGGGTACGACCCGTTATACTGCGATGAGTGCGAGTGGAAGTCGTATACTTATGAGGGTACACCATGGGGTGAGTTGGTATCATTGTGGCTGGTTTAAGGGATGATCGCTAAGATCAGGTTGATTTAGAATATTCCTTTGTCATACCGCATGACATGGAGACACTGATTGAGCTCATGGGTGGCACTGACACATTCGAGTCCCGCCTGGACCTTATGGTAAGAGACCCAAGGGACACACTTGACTCGCGCTTACGCGACGAGGTAGTTTAAACCCAACATGTCTGTTCAAGATTTGGGCCCCAATGGTGCCGGTATCACGACACTTATCAACATTGGGTATGTTAATGTTGTAGCACCGGGAAAAAGCTGAATCTAGCTAACTTGCCCGGCAAAGGAATGAGCCTGATTTCGCTACACCCTACCTCTACAATTATATCAACAAACAAGCCAAGAGTGTGCAAAGGTCGCGCAGTCTTGGATATCAATAGTAAGGAGGAGACCAGAAGATATTTTACTCCAAACATGCGGTACTAATTCGAACTTGTATCTTAGTTTCAAAGATACCCCATACGGTGTCCCAGGAAACAGTGACGCCGGAGCAATGAACTCATGGCTTCTATGGCAGATGCTCGGAATTTACCCAGTCGTCACGCAGCCCGTGTACTTGATATCGTCTCCATGGTTCCCCGACCTCAACATGACCATTAACAGAAATCAGACCCTGCGGATCACCGCGACAGGACTAGATCAGGGGTACTATGTGCAAAGCGTGAAAATAAATGGCCAGCCCTGGCAGAAGAATTGGTTCGAGCACACAGATCTCATGGAACAAGGTGGCAGCATTGAGTTCGAACTTGGCTCTGACATGAAGGCTTGGGAGACGGGCAGCGTACCTCCTTCGCCGGGACACATGACGGTGTGAAAAAGCGAAGAGATCTCCTCGAATGCTAAATTTAGATATAATATCTATAAGGAGAATGCCGGTGCCAATGGGCTAAGGCACAAGGTAATCTAACAAGAGATATATGAGAGGAGACTACTAATAGTACGGTGGGGTGGTCGAATCGCCCTAATTCCGTAAGGTGTTCGGATTGATAATTTGAAAGCCGTTGGCTGATAGCTCCCTTTATAATTGATTGATTTTAAGGTTTCGATAACATACCTGTCCTAATTATGTAGGCCTTGGTTAATTTATCCACACTAGCTTCGTTTTGTTCGCGTATTCTCTAAACAGTTTTTGAGTGAGCGAGCACTGTACAATTGGACATGTATCGATGGAACCGTCGATTGACGTAGTGATTAACAATAAGCTTAAGTCAACACGAAGTCAATCAATCAGTGGTCAGATTTTGGCGATCGTCCCTTGTCGAAGGATTCGCGGGCCTTGTTTGCCGAGATTGCGTCACTCCCGCGACTATCCAACATCTGACAATTCGGTGGCATCGGGACAATGTCCATTGTGCCCGCAAGGCTGGGCAAAAGACGACGACAAAGTAACCGAGGAATATTGTAATCAGAACGTGGGGCAGTCGCATATTCTGTAAAAAATTTCCCAGGTTGCAATCAAGAATGTGGACTCACTACTACTCCGATTCGCATCAAACGGCACATGGAAACGGGAGCGCCATCGCACCAATGGCATGCCTACTGCATGTGAATGAAAGATAAAAAAGAGCTAAGACGGCCCATTGAGGTCTCTTATTGGTGGGGAGTCACGGATCAGAAGCTCATGGCCTTGCTTTAGACGATGAAGATCATCGTGAGATCTGAGACCTAGTAAGACGTTTGATTGACGTCAGTGGGTGAAAAGTCCGCACGTCGAAGATGCTGTGTGGAAGGTTCATATAACTTGAGTAATTTTCCCTCAATGGCTATTGCTGTTGTCAGGCCCGTCAGACTCCATAATCGAATAGAAAAAAACTTGCTATCGGTCCACCATCATGGTAAGTCGCGAATGAAGCCCATGGAACCCCCCATATCGGCCCGAACCAGGAACCGTGGATAATCCAGCCTCTGATTATTCAATACCAATAACATTAATCCATGTTAACCTTTTTACTTAGGCTCCAACCTTGAATATACTTCAGGCCCGTCAAAGCTCGTCTGATAACTGTCCGGATAGCATTTCGGGTGGGGGTATTGCTGGAATCGTTATTGGATCGATCGCGGGCACGCTATTGCTTCTGTGGCTCTGGAGAATGTGTTCTTTGCCCGGAGCCCAGGGCGGCGGAGAACCCGATTATGGTTATAGCAGCTATGGTGGTGGAGGAACCGAGACTCGCCACCGACATCGACGTCGACGAAGTCCAACGTACTATGAGTATGTGGAGAAACCGAGCGTGAGGAGACCAGCGAAGGTTTACCTCAGCTGAGATGATATGGAGCACGTGGGATATATAAATATATTTATGGAAACAGTCAATGCCTTGATATTCCTTTCTGGGTTTGGCTTGGATGTCAGGTGTTATGGGATGCCCGGATGCTGTCATTGAACGTATTGAACGAACGGTACGACGTCACGATTCAGGAAAATACCTCCTCCCACTACTCTACCTGTCAGGTCCGTATGGAGATAACGGAGATGGAAGCAACCACCACATGAACTTTTATTATGAACGGACTTTGCGTTTCAGTCTGAACCACACATGGGACACGGTGTAACACCGTGCGAATATTGTATGACCTAAGGACATTTTTCTTTCTTCTTCTCAAGCACGACGCAAGGGATGTTCATGAGAGCCTTACATATATAATAACATTGTCGACGTCGTCACAATTTGTTTCATATGCATGTACAGTACGGAGTACTTCGCTTTGTATGGGGACTGTATGTGTGCAAGTATGTACAATACATGTACTATGTACACTCGAACAACTCCCGGTGCGTAGGTCCTTAATTAGAATTTTCGTCGCATTGCTAGTAAGTAGTACGGAATACACTCTCTTCTAATTATAAAATCGCCCGAGGACTTAAAATCTTTGCCGGGGCATTGCCACCGGAGCCACTCACCGCTGGAGAATTATAACAAAGGTGCCTATGGCATGGCATTACTATTCAATTTGAGAGGCCAAGATAGATGGATCCTTTGTTGGCGACACCGAAGCTAGTTTCACTTACTAGATTCCACATCTTGCATTTTCATTTGCTGTGGTTCAGGGGGTTTTTAACTCGGAAGAGTATTTCGGGCAATTGTGGCACCGGGTTTTGTTGTACTCCAGAAATAATACCAAAAGTTTTTTTCTTTAATTTTTTTTTTTTTTTTTTTTAATTATGGATGATCTGCCTTTGTAGCCGTACCCCAAATTATCATGATCGAGACGTATTCATCCTAAGTTCCCCCGCGTATCACATATATATGACAGAAACACTCGCCTTGATAAGGGGTCCCCTACTACTTTACTAGTAATCGTAGCATCCCATAGTGCGTTTCCGTGGGTTTTTTTCCAGATCAAGTTTCAAGGGCCTTATCAGAACCCCTGCAGAATTTGTATGATTGGCGGTGATAGCCCCAGATTTGTTTGACCTTTTAAGGGCCGGCGTAGTGCTAGTTCGGATCTGGTTAGGGTGAGGGACAAGGACCCTAAGCTACTTACCATATCAGGCTAGCCGACCAGTTGAACTAGCCACCCTCGGCATTAGTGTGCGCCATCCAAGACCGATAGATTCCCAGTTTTGGACTGTTCAAACTTACCCCTTAAACAACTGGAACCACCAAATTAGTGGTATTGCTGCAGATGGAAAGAGAACAGGAAAAAATGGATACAGAACACAGCTTGGCCAGTGCCGACCACAGAAAAAGAAAATGGCAAGACGCTAACAATAATTACCCGGTTTTAATTAAAGCAATGGAAATCGCCGCCATGGTTGTTCTTTCAACCCTCCTCCTGTCGTTCCCCTCTTAATCCCACCGTTCGTCGTTCACTTTCTATTCCTTCCTCCGGGTGGGCATCAATTCCTCGTGCGACGTGATCGCACATCCAATCCTTATTTCGGATATCGTCACTCTTTTATATTTGGCTGTTGGTTAGAGAAAACCGATTGTTCGTCGCATTACCGACTCCCCTTTCCCTCCTTATCTGAGCCGAAACAACTCATCGACTTGAATCCGGGGTTTTAGCTTTTGCGTGTTCCACTCTGTTTTATATATCATCCACCATCACTTCGAGGAACGGGAGGGGTTTCCGAGTCTAATTGTACCTTTCCACCATGTCGCTCTTCAATGTACTGGCCTTGTTGGTGGCCTTCGTCTGTTCGGTGACCGCTCAGACATGGACCGACTGTAACCCTCTCAACACAACCTGTCCCCCAGCGCCCGCTCTGGGTACCAATCACTCTTGGGTCTTCAATGAGACAATGGATGACAAGATTTGGTCGGTTACGAACGGCCAAATTGACTGGAAAGACTCCGGCGCGGAATTCTCCATCAAAAAGAAACTAGACTCCCCGACGCTGCAGTCGACATTCTTTATCTTCTTCGGTATCGTCGAGTCCCACGTCAAGATGGCGAAGGGCGGCGGTATCGTCAGCAGTGTGGTGCTTCAGTCAGCCGATCTAGACGAGATCGACTGGGAGTGGGTCGGCTACAATACCTCTGAGGTCCAATCTAACTACTTCGGTAAAGGTAACGACACCTCGTTCAGCCGTGGTGGCTTCCACTATGTGGAGAACGCTGATACAGAATTCCACAACTACACCACCTACTGGACTCAGGAGAAGCTCGAGTGGTGGATCGACGGCAATCTGGTCCGCACGCTGAAGCCCGAAGATGCCCTGGACGGCAAGAACTACCCACAAACACCTAGCAACATTCGTTTCGGTATCTGGCCTGCCGGTGATCCAAAGAACGCGCAGGGGACGATTGAATGGGCTGGCGGTGAGGTCGATTATGATGCCGGCCCCTATACCATGGTTGTTAAGAACGTGCGCGTGCATGACTTCCACACTGGAAAAGAGTACAACTACACAGACCACTCTGGTTCTTGGGAAAGCATTAAGGTTGTCGAGTAAGTCATTCCCCTGGATTTGAGACTCGTAAGCTGCACCTACGACGTGGTACTGACATTGAAATTAGGGGTAATTCTACCACTGTGGACGAACTGAACAAAGAGCCAGAGAAGTCTCTGGCGGAGAAATGGGCAGACCTACCAACTGCAGCTCACATTGGTGTTTACTGCGGTGCCGCAGCTGCCGGAGTTCTTCTTATCGCCGGAGCAGCAATTTACTTCATCAGGCAGCGCAAGAAGGGACGTCTCGAATACGCCCTTGATGACGCCAAGTGGAACACTGAACGAAATGACATGAACAATCTGCAAACCACGTGGAAAGCAAGCGAATGGGGAAACAAAGGTTACCAACCGGTGAACTAGCCAAAACTTCGTCAGAGATACCTAGGGATACGACAACGTTATCCCTGCGTTGATGATGAAAACGAAACAAAGAATGTTGCTCGGATGTCTTCTGCCACGCCACCTGCACAAGGATCTGCTATGCTGTGTCCTTATGCACGTGGCAGCGGAGGTCGAGCAAAAGGATCTCGCGCCGGCTTTGCTGGCCAAAGTTGCGTGGGTTGGTTTTCAATCTCGGGGTTTTGGCGTCGTTTTGGTCGAGCGTATTGGGCTCATGATTTGCCTCACAATCCTCTTCCCTATTCTTCCAATTTATGTCTATATATATACCATTCACTGACTTTTTGTATTGTGTTTGCAACCTGACACTTCATTTGATTGTATATACGAAACTGCATTGTATATCCAATTCCGCAGCCTCCTCTACTTTTCCCATTAGATGGTGTATAGCATACATAGCCAGGCTTTCAGACTTCCTGCCTAGCATATCACATATGTTTTCCTTGAATAGCCACATCTTGTTTTGCTTACCCAGGGTTGATAGGTGTTGTTTGAATGCAAGAAATATCGAGCTTGACCAAAACACTCTCAAATCGCCTTACGACTTAACGATGAGCATCATCGCCTGTACATAGCATTGAACTCAGGGATTGGAGATGTTCTTTCGTTCGTCTACTAGAGCTCTAGGAGGGAAGACGACCTAGTTACTGAGCCAAGGGCGGGGATAAAGAGCTACTGTGCATGGGCTGATCTGAACGTATAACCGGCGGTCTATAGCCACTTCTTCTCATCCGAACCTAAGGGCTTCGGCATGATATCCCATCCAACCTTAACCCCTTGAATTGAGGCGGAATGACGCACAGCGGTCATTTCACCAAAGCCTGTTGGCCTTGTCTCCAGATATTCCGGGGGCACATCGGCAGTGCATGTATAGTCCTGTGACTGAAAACCATCTCTACCGGTGAATTGTCCAAGCGACCGCAGATATTTCATTACCCCAGCAAGGGAAACGTTGACCTCCCATGAACCACCCTCTGTAGCTTGCTTATACAGAGCAGCTTGAACACCTGACGCGAGGAAGTAACCTGCTGCATGGTCTAAAGCTTGGCATGGCATGGGTCGAGCAGGCTCCCCAGCACCGTAATGTTCCGCTTCGGACACATTCATGCCGGAGCATGTTTGGACCAGTGAGTCAAAACCACGCTTGTCTGACCATGGCCCAGAAGGCCCATAGGCAGAGAGATTGGCACAGATAATACCGCGATGCGAGAATCGTTGAGCAAGTACTTCAGACGAGAGACCACGGGAAGCCAGACTACCAGGTCTATACCCTTGAATGACGACGTGAGCGTCCTCAAGGAGCCGGGTGAGATCCTCACGACCCTCTTCTGTCAGCAAATCAAGCTGCACTGTCCTTTTCCCACGACCGAGATCACGATCCAAGACCGGGAGGTCGGGAAGATTTGGACTCGTCACCCAGAGAACGTCTGCACCGTGAGCAGCCAATGTTCTCCCAGATAACGGCGCAGCTATCACCCGAGAGAACTCCAAGACTCGAAGTCCGCGGAGAGATTTGTCAGCATTTGCTGCACGCATCTCCTGGGGAAGACCAACGGGTGCATCCCCAATCTTCCGAAGGAGAATAGGGAAGTCGGCAATGGCGCGCGCTTGCGGGAGGACGTCCCATTCTGAGTAGCTGCGAAGAGCAGAGATCACCACATTGGCCTCAAACGCAGCAGATTCTAGGTCCACTGAACGCCACGACGCGATTTTGGAAGCAAACTCAGTGCGATCGACATCCGGTCGGCATCCTACAAGAGCCGTTGCACCATTGTGGTGGTTGGTAAAGGAATCGTGCACTCGTACGTATCCATCTAAGGATTTGTGCAGTCCACTCAGAGGACCCCATGTGTCGGGTAAAGACTGACCAGGGAACGAATAAAGCCTCTCCGACTTAAACTCGATCACGGCATGCCGCCGCGGGACTGTTACAATCGGAGGTGATATGGAATTGCGAAGGGCATGAATTTGAGCTGCAAGCAATGCAGACAGACTAATTGTTGCTTGAGCAAGATCTGCTATCTTAAACGATGAGGGAAGGCCAAGCTCATTTCCCTCAATATGCAAAGACTGGAGAGACTCCTCCGGAAGGCCCAGGCCTTTCCAGACGTACTCTACCGTGTCCTTCGCGGTAAAGGCGGTCCTGTCAATGGTAGCCGATTGAATCGAGTAGTTGGCCGAAGCACCGCCGAGGGTGCTATTAAATGTCATGATGCTCAGTTTTGCAGACGTTTTGGTTAAGTACCTGGAGGAATGGAGGACTCGATTCATTAGAAGAATCGACTATTGTGAGAAATGAGAAAATGCTCGTATCGTCAAGTCACGTTGCTTGATGGGCCAGTCACATGCTTCGTCAATATTACTCGTGATACTTCGATTCATCAACTATATTTATACGATGGTTGTCTTGTCCGGAAGAGCGGCACAACTCCATGACTCAATTTCTGCCTGGTTCTCACCTCGGCATTGAGCGAAAATGGCCGAGCGGTGGTGGGAATAAATATACAATTCGACGCTATCACCGCTCGGCTGTTTCTTATCAGCGCCGAGCATAGTCTCCGAATTCCACTGCTTGTCAGTAGGGACACCAAACAGGAAAGAACTACTAAATGAAAAGACCACATAGGCATGGCTTACTGTCTGGTTACTAAGGCACATGATACCTTGGTTTCCTTCACCAAACACAGTATACTGTGCTATATAAAAACTTCATTGGCCTATCAAGACGTACACAAAATAATCAATTTCCAGGCCGTCTCTCTGAAAACCGCGCAGTATCTTGTCGCATGACTGGCGGAGCAACGGTCTGTCTTCCAATAGGTGAAAGACCGCTTATAGACACGAAGATGGCGGAGTATCTTGGTTCCGCTCGTCATGTATCAAGCCGACTATTTTCTGTGAGGATGACAATGAATTCAACGGTGAAACACATCTGATCCTCAACCACAACGCCACGTGTGATGCGGTTAACATCAGTCATAATTGCTGCAAAAGACAGCTGTAAGACGCAGGTACATATATAACCAAGACAGCAAACCTCTGGCAAGAACCGGCGCGAAACATATCCGGGTACCGGTGAGATGTGATGCTGCGGCGCTTGTACAACTGATGACGCCCCTTTTCCTGTACTTGAAGCCAATTTACTTTGGAACAGCCCTTTTCTGTGCTGATGATGCTTCTGGTTAGCGTCGCACAATCACCTAGAGCATAGGAAGTAAAGCGAAACCATCCCTGGTCGGCACTGTACCTTGCCAACGGTAAGGTTGAGAAACCCGTATCTTGTGGGTGGTTCAGCTATCAATGGTTGATTCTTAGAAAAGATTGTAAGACATCCTTCTCAGTAATTGACAGGATCGCCTATACCTTAATATCTCAAACCTTGTCTGTTCTCCCTGATAGATACTGATTGCCTTTCAACCCCTTCCCCTGGTTTAACAAGGACACGTATTCAAGCAGCGTCCACATGCGAAGCTGAGAGAAATACATTTAGTTAGCTGTCACCGATATTTCGTCTCGAGATACTGAGGAACGCCCTAATCTCGGTTTAGCTCGCTATGGAGGACACAAAATTCATCCCAATTCCAGAGCCCAGAGGCCTTCCTCTGTTGGGAAATATTCTGGATGTTGATTCAGAAGCACCGGAGAAAAGCTTCCAACGACTGGCGGAAACCTATGGTATATCTTATCAAGCACAGATTCCACTGCTTTGGTTGCCATAGCTCTGTTCTATCGCATCATACCAAGTATATCTTTTTAGCACCGCTAATGGTACGCGCTATAAGGCCCGATCTTTCGGCTGAACCTCGCCGGAGCGTCAAGAGTGTTCATAAGCACTCATGAGCTCGTCGATGAAATTTGCGACGAGGAACGATTCACAAAGGTTGTGACCGCTGGGTTGAGAGAAATTCGAAACGGCGTTCAAGATGGTCTGTTTACTGCGGATTATCCTGGAGAGGATAACTGGGCGATCGCGCATCGCGTCCTGGTTCCAGCTTTCGGGCCTTTGATGATTCGAGCCATGTATGAAGGTGTGTTATTCACTGCGTAAGACACCACATGCTGACTGGAAGCGTGTCAATATAGATATGTACGATATTGCAAGCCAGCTTGCTTTGAAGTGGGCACGGCAAGGGTCTTCTGCTACTATAATGGCCAATGATGACTTTACTCGCTTGACGCTGGACACTATCGCGCTCTGTTCCATGGGAACTAGGTTCAATTCTTTTTACAGCGAAGATTTACACCCTTTCATCAAGGCAGTGGCTACGTTGCTGCAAGGATCTTCCGATAGGACTTTCCGTCCGACGCTTCTTAACAGCCTGCCTACGAGGGAAAATAAAAAATACTGGAGTGATATCAGTCTTCTACGAACACTGTCTCAGAAGCTAGTTGATGCACGGAGAAATAATCCATTAGACAAGAAGGACCTGCTCAATGCCCTCATCCTTGGTCAAGACCTTCAGACTGGCCAGCATCTCAGTGACGACTCGATCATCAACAATATGATAACATTCCTTGTGGCAGGTAGGGAAATATGCGCAGGTTTGTTATCCTTATGACTGACCATTCGCATAGGTCATGAGACAACATCTGCCACGCTGACATTCCTTTTCTATTATCTGCTTAAAAACCCGCACGCATACCAGAGAGCACAGGAAGAAGTCGATACGATAGTCGGTCAACGGAAGATTACAGTGGAAGATTTGCCAAAGTTGTCCTACATTGCAGCTTCACTGAGAGAGACATTGCGGCTCCAGGCTCCAGTTCCTTTAATCGCTTTTCATCCACACCCTACTAAGAATCATGAAGATCCCGTAACTTTAGGGAAGGGTAAGTATGCTTTAAACAAGGACGAGCCTGTGGTTCTGATAATGGGAAAGGTACATCGGGACCCCAAGGTCTATGGTGATGATGCAGAGGAGTTCAAGCCAGAGAGAATGCTGGATAAAAACTTTGAAGAACTCCCTAAGAATGCGTGGAAGCCATTCGGAAACGGTATGAGAGGATGCATTGGCCGCCCATTTGCTTGGCAAGAGATGTTGCTCGTGGTGGCCATGTTACTGCAGAGCTTCAATTTTGAGATGGAAAATCTCAGCTACGATCTTCAAATCAAGCAGTCACTATCAATAAAGCCTGACGGCTTCCACATGAAGGCGACCCTTCGAAGAGGCCTAGACCCGGCGAAGCTAGCGAACTTCTTGAATAACGGGGGTGATCTTTCGTCTGATGCTCCTCAGATACTCAATGGGGGAAATCAACCTAACACAGATTTGCAATCTCATCTGAAGCCTATGCATATATTCTTTGGCAGTAATACTGGTACCTGTGAGGCCCTGGCTCGGAGGCTAGCGGAGGACTCTATGGGATATGGGTTTGCGGCCAAGGTTGAAAGTTTGAACTCAGCCATGGAGAACATTCCCAGAGACGACCCTGTCATCTTCATTACCGCATCATACGAAGGACAACCTCCTGATAACGCCACCCATTTCTTCGAATGGTTGAACGGGCTAAGGGAAGCTGAGCTGGACGGAGTCACTTATGCTGTATTTGGATGTGGGCATCGTGAGCTACCCGTCTCCGCTTGACGACTGCCACGTAGTTGCTCTTACCTATATATTTGCTAATGAGCTGAGGTTATCAGATGATTGGTCAGCCACGTTTCTTCACATACCCAAATCTACCAATGATCTTATAAAGAAGTACGGTGGAGTCCGCTTATGCGACATGGGCGTGGCTGATGCAGCCAATTCAGACATGTTCTCCGATTTTGATACTTGGAGCGAGTTCATTCTCTGGCCGGCAATCAATTCGAAAATTGGCCGTGCACCAGAGGGAGACGTACAATCCAAGCCTGCCTTGGAGGTCGACATTAATTCGAGTATGCGAGCTGCTACTTTGGGCCTTCAGTTGCAGGAAGGGTACGTGCTTGAAAACAGACTGCTCACAACACCCGACGTCCCAGCCAAGAGAATGCTGCGATTCAAACTACCACCCGATACGACCTATCAATGTGGAGATTATCTCATTGTACTACCCGTAAACCCAGCTCATGTTGTCCGCCGCGCAATCCGCCGCTTTAACATATCATGGGACTCCATGCTTACAGTCTGGAAGCCATCGCATGCTTCAGATGGCATCACGAACATGCCCTTAGAAACGCCCCTCTCCGCCTTCGAGCTCTTTTCAACATACCTAGAGCTATCCCAGCCAGCATCCAAACGAGACTTGACCACCCTCGCAGAGGCAGCTACCACAGATACAGACGCCCAAGCAGAATTACAGTCGCTCGCCTCCAGCCCGAACCGTTTCACCGAAGAAGTCATCAACAATCGACTAAGCCCCCTCGACATCCTCATACGCCACCCCTCTATCAATCTACCACTGAGCACATTCCTCGCAATGTTACCTCCCATGCGAGTCCGCCAATACTCAATCTCATCATCTCCATTAGCCAACCCATCAGAATGCTCCATCACATTCTCAGTGCTAAACTCAACCCACCTATCAATAGTGAACAAACGATTCGTAGGAGTCGCATCAACATACCTCTCCGAACTCCAACCAGGAGACCGCGCCCAGATCTCCATCCACTCCTCAAACAACAGAGGCTTCAACCCCTCCTTAAAAGAGGAAACACCGATGATAATGGTATGCGCAGGAAGCGGCCTAGCCCCCTTCCGCGGCTTCGTCATGGACCGCGCGGAAAGGATCCGCCGACGACGCACCGAACTACTTTCCGACAATGACCATCCCGAGATAGGAAAACCAGCGAGAGCTATACTATACATCGGCTGCTACACCAAGGCCAAGGATGATATCCACGCGAGCGAGCTAGACGAATGGAGTCGTGAGGGAGCTGTCGATGTGCGATGGGCGTATAGTCGCCCGACTGATGGATCGCCGGGACATCATGTTCAGGACCTGGTATTTGAGGATCGTAACGAGTTACTTGACTTAATTGATCAGGGAGCACGGATCTATGTGTGCGGCGGTATGAGTGTCGGTCATGGGATTCGCCAGATATTCAAGGATATGTTTATTGAGAGACGGCGTGAGACACTGGAGAATGGTTCCGGTGGGGATGAGGACGTGACTGCTGAGGAATATTTGGATAGTTTGAAGACTGAGGAGAGGTATGCGACGGATGTGTTTACGTAGGTCGTTATGTCCTGGATGGATAGTTCTGTGTCTAGAGCATGGTCAAATTGAAGTAGAGTGGATGTTGGACTTTTAGTTGGACTTAATGGAAGTTGATTGTGGATGTTGATTACAAGACTTAAGCTCCTCTTATGTCATTCCTCTCTATGCTCCGATCTGTCGAGGGCATTTCACCATCTTCTGGCGTAAGAATAGCTTACAGGTTCGTTAATTACACCTCTAGGTATCGGAGATTACACCAATCACCATCCCATACGAACAGACATGCTCTACAAACCACACGCACACAAGAAACATACAATCCACCAACCACACATTCATTGCAACAACTACAATACACACATCTACCAACCCCATATCCCCAAAATCCACCACTCCCCCAACCCCACAATTCCATTCACATTCAAACTCACACCCTAAAACCCAATCTCAACCCCTTACCCAAGGCACACACACACACTCACTCAGAGAGTGAAAGAGAAATCACCTAAGCAAAGAAAGGAAACGCCCCACCACTAGGGGCAGGGAAACCCCCAGACGGAGTGGGACGAGAGCCACCAGAAGGCTGAGGGAAGCCCGAAGGCAGGGTTCCAGTAGGCTTAGGGCCGTGACCACCCTTGCCATGATGACCGTTACCGTTACCCTTACCTCCATGGTGGCCTTCACCGTGGTGACCGCCGGGGAAACCACTGGGAGCGGCGCCAGAAGGAACCGGACCGCCGCTGGGAGTAGGGAAGCCAGCACCCCCGGATGGAGCGGGGAAGTCGGGCTCGCCGCTGGGAGCGGAGTCGGGGGCTCCGGAGGGGGTGGGGATGGATGACTCGTCGTCGTCATCGTCACCCTCGCCCTCGTCGTCGGTGTCCTGGTTTTGTTGTTTCTGGAAGCCGCCGAATGGGGAGCCGTTGGAGGGTGAGCCCGAGGGAATGGGGAAGCCGGAGGGGATAGGGAAGCCGGATGGAATGCCGGAAGGAATGCCAGAGGGAACTCCGGAGGGAACGGGGAGGCTGCTGGGGTCGGGGAAGGGGAAACCTTCGCCGTCGTCCCGCTTGTCGAATGGCTGTCCGGGGAATCCTGCACCGCCGGAGGAGGCAGGGAAGTCGGGCTGTCCGCTTGGAACAGGGAATCCCGCACCGCCGGAAGGAGCAGGGAAACCGGGCTGTCCGCTGGGGCCAGGGAAGCCAGCGCCGCCGGAAGGAGTGGGGAAGCCGGAGGGGAATGTACCGCTAGGACCAGGAAAGGGGAAGCTACCCTCGCCGCCCTCCTGGGGCTGGCCGTCGGACGGAGTGCCGGATGGGATGGGGAAGCCGGATGGCAAGTTAGGGAGAGACTGACGGTTGCCGCCCTCGATGTGCTTGGGCAGGGCCAGGGCACAGCCCATGAGGCCGAGAGCAGCAGCGTTGGAGAACTTCATTTTGGATAGTAGTTAAGGAGAGAAAAGTAATTAAAGAATAAGATAGGTTTTCAAAAGGAGTGCTTCTAAGGAATGCCAGATTCACTTAAACGAAAGCTGATGAGGTTGGTCTTGGGGAAGGTCCAAAATCAATGGGAGGGTGGAAGGTCTTTATAGACTTCGACCACCGGGGGAGCATCAGAATGCCGATAGGTTGAAGGAGCTGATGAAGAGCGGTTAGCCAGGAGCACCTCATCAAAGTTGAAGGTAGATCCCAAGCTTGGACTACAGGGGTTCGCTTTCAGGCACGCCAAACCTAATATTGAGAGGTGGAACATCCGTGGGACCATATCAGAATCAGGTTGAGTCCTGTGTATCATTCCCCGAATAGGACTTCTTCTCCACGGCCTAGGGGGCGTTCGGATAAAATTGCCTGTAGCCCTAACTGTGGTCGGACTGTCATGGTCGTCTTGCGTACAAGTGCCAGTATTCTAGCTGATGTTGGAATATGATCCAAGAATACGTCCACAGGGTCCAACTTGAGTATACCCTGCGTATACCCTGAGTGTACCCTGAAAACAAGGGTCTTGGATACGGAGGTAATGATGAAATCGCACACCATCCTGCCCAAATCGACATCTAATTCTCCGGCTCATGACGTGATCTTTGGAGCCATCCGGAAGCATTGAGAGCCACGCCCCTACATTGGGCCAGCCAACCCTAAGCTTACAGCATTTCCTCTCATGGAATTCGAGACGGAGATCGTTGTGTCCATGAAAAGTAGACCCACCGAGCGACAATCGACAACCAATGACATTGACAACCCAATGGACTGCTGGCTTAGATCAACACTCTAATCCACCACAAGGCCTAGCGAGCCATCGAATTAACCCTATTGGTGCAACAGACCTAAACTTAAGACGACCTCTGTTTGAGCCCCTGGAAAGGGGTGTGGGACAGCACAAGCGCCAGCATTTCCGAAATCATCTTCGTCGAGTCCACGTCAGACCATGTGGTGCGAAGTCGGCACTGGAGAATTCTTGGCGCTAGTAACCGAAGTTAATCCCAACTAAGAGTACGTAGTCCCGACGATCAACGGCCCCATCGTGAAGCAGCCACTGGACCAATGTGGCTGATGGCCCGACAGGAAGTCCTGGCTAAATCCCGGCCAGAGTATGGAAGAAAACCGATATGGCGGTTATAAAACGGGGCTGTTCTGGCCTAGAAACGGTCGGGACTGGTTTCCACGACCGTTATTGGAGGGAGAAGGCGTGTATGGAGTCGGGAATTCCGAGTGATGGAAATAAGATGGCGCTGGGAGTCAGAAGTAGATTGAATTATGTACATGGGAGCGGAAAAATCACACACGGACGGCTGCCTGAGCCTTGAGGCCTGAACCGGGATCCTTCCAATAGCCCTGACTCAGTCCCCTGGTATGATATGTCGCTTCTAATGCCGGTACCGAGCTTAGTGGCCTTGATTCGGCACATATAGCCTTGTGGAGCTTCTGGATAACCGGTTCATTACCTATGAACTCGGTTCTAACAAGGATGTGCTACCCAGGCAGATGGACCTCCCATAAGTTCCCAATTATTGCCTCTCTGCCACCGAAAACCATACCTTCTGCTCCATCGTATGTTTCTAGATCTTCACTATATACGTGATATAGTAGTAAAACATTTCACAGAGTATGCAGCACAAAACGTCTCAGCCTCCGTAAGCGCCATCACATCCGCACAATTGAGTACAAAGACACAGTCGTCGTCAGCTATATGTCTCCACTATTAGCTCAACAATGAAACAATTGAATTGAATTGACTTCCCGCCATCCCCTAGGCGAAGTGCCCATGTTCATATGAACGCTAAGTTAATTTTATGCTAACTTCTTATCAGATCCGCTCAAGCCTCCGCCAAGCCTCTGGAGTCTCATTCTAAATGGCAAGTGCCAACAAGCAAGGCAATGGATTAGCCTAATTTCGGGACTTAAGGTCTGGACTATTGGATCTAAAGTTGACGGACCAATGCTGAAGTAATGGCCGTTTCGGATTTATTGCAGAGAAGAGTAAGGATCGTCGAAGAGAGACGATCGTATAGGTGGAACGCTGAAGGTTAAGAGCGTTTAGCACGGATTTAGATTTATGCACGGGGAACAGGTACTCTCCCTCGCTAATTTGGTCTGACACGCCGGTTCTATCTGACGGCAGTTGGCGTGCTTGCCAGCTGGTGTGGAGTCAAATACCGAATAAGCATATGCAAGGTAGAGTTTTCCAGTCACATAGCATGATGTGAATGTCGGGACATCGAATCAACGATCTCTTCAGGGAGTATTTCAGCCCTTCTAGAGATGATGTGAGTTACATATGTGAAACTCGTCGTTTTCTCCGAAACGAGTATGGTTCCGAGTGGGATAGTCAGTTAACGAAGGTCAAAGGCTGGCCTGGAGGCTAGCCTGCTAGTGTGGGTTAGAATTGCAGATCAATACACCCAATAAGGCTCTGGTCTGATATCATTCCCACAACAGACCTCGGAGCATTATCGGCTTCAGCAGTATGTCATCACCAAACAACAAATCTTGTAAGGTGGTGAATTGCAGACTTGCTTTGATGGAGCTCAGTACAGCGAAGCATTAAAAATAGAATTGTCACCACACCTAGCTGCAACACCATTGTATTAGTATCGGGTTCAACCAGTCACTTTTCTCCGCTGCACGGTAGAAGCTCGGGCCAGCCATTCCACCCGAAGCGCAGCAGAATCTGAGATAGATTGAAGATTACGCGGCTTAGACAACACACCACAAACACTGGATTGTTTTAAGTAATCTACCTTCCTTCACAGGATTCACGGTGTCACTTACTGAGAAGGATGTATCACAGGCGGAGATTACCACAAACAACTTGCGAATGGGACACCACTGTCTGCCGCCACCTTAGAGACCTGTATCTTTGTGCTGCGTTCATTGGAGCACATTAAAATTGGCATCGTGAAAACACAGTCGGCTGGACAATCCTGATATTAGCCGGATCTGTAGCACCTTATTTTCTTTTTTCCATGTACCAGATGTGTTATGCAGGCAAATAATCCTTTCCCTGTGATGAAGATTATAGTAGCTTTTTGATGGAAGGTAGAAGTCAACTCGGGCGTCAATATACGCTGTGACGTCCAGTTCGCCGTAGACACCCTCAATAAGCCAGTGCTCAAAAGGTATATCAGCAGATATACTAAAAGAGGTCTTTTTATGACTCATTGTGTAGCATGGATTATCCTTTGTTGGCTGCTGGCGAATGTACTAGGGCGTATGGCATAACCATCGGAATAGCTGATTTCTTTGGAGGGGAGACTGGGCAAGGTGAAACTCCAAAATGTTCTTCTTGAAAAAGCAAACTAGAAAAACCTTTCTCAATTACAAATCCTCGATGGTCTAACGGTCATGATTTCCGCTTGTCATTCTGATATCAGAAACAAGCGCGGGAGACCTGGGTTCGACTCCCAGTCGGGGAGATTTTTTTTGTCACTAGATCAAGCCCCCTGGTCGCTACATTTTTTATTTGTCGAGCTTATATGTATAATACACGTCCTTTTTATTGCTAATATTAGTTTGGTAATAGTTTCTCTCGTACTGCATTAATTTAGTGCTGTAGTATACTAACTTGGGCCTGTGGCGAATTTATTTATATACAATTTGACACACCTCCGTGCAGAATGCAACCAAAAGACCACGAACCCACAGTTCTACTGTAAAAATTTCCCATCGCATACAACAAAAGGACGAAGCCCTCGATCAGGATGCTATTGAACTCATGTCCATCATCGCTATTGTCGCCTTATACCCGAGGAGACCTTATCCTGTCAGGACTATAGGAAGTCTTAGAGGATTGAACTTGTTTATATATTAAGTGAATATTTGAAATTATGGAGTATCATCATTTCATATTTTAAGGTATCTAACCATTCCGATGTAATCAAACTTTTATAGGTGCAACATGAGAACTGCATGTTTAAAACCGCAAGTTCCATCCAATTTGAGGCCCGATCGTGGGCAATCCATCAGCTACGCTCTGCACATCTTTATCTCCGCGTCCACTCAAACACAGGACGATGTCCTTTCCGGGTCCCAGCTTCTTGGCAGTCTGAATGGCACCCCACACGGCGTGGGATGTTTCCAATGCAGGAATAATGCCTTCCAACTGACTCAACAGGCGAAAGCCCTCAAAGGCCTGAGCATCGGTGGCCGACAGGAATGTCGCTCGCTTACTCTCCTTCCAGTGAGCCAGTTCGGGTCCAACTCCGGGGTAATCCAGCCCGGCAGAGATGGAATGAGTATCGGAGATCTGGCCGTGCTCGTCCTGCAGGATATATGTGCGAACGCCATGCAGCACTCCTACAGAGCCGCCCGTCAGCGTAGCAGAGTGTCGGTCCGTGTCTAGCCCATCTCCGGCGGCTTCTACACCAACCAGCTGGACGGAGAGATCCTTGGAAAAGGGGTAGAACATGCCAACAGAGTTAGAGCCTCCACCAACACAGGCAACAACGGCATCCGGACTCTTGCCCAGCTCTTGCATCTGCGCCTTCGTTTCATTACCAATAACACTTTGGAAGGTCCTGACCATAGTGGGGAAGGGATGGGGCCCAATGGCAGACCCGATGATATAGTGGGTGGTGTCCAGACGGACAATCCAGGCGCGGAAGGCTTCATTTACGGCATCACGGAGGGTACGCGATCCCGATTCGACGGGGATTACGGTGGCACCCAGCAAGCGGATCCGGAACACATTCAAGGCCTGCCGACGGACATCCTCCGCACCCATGTAGATAGTACATTTCATGCCAAATTTGGCACACACAGTGGCAGTCGCGACACCATGTTGACCGGCGCCCGTTTCAGCGATAATCTCCGTCTTACCCAACCGGCGAGCGATTAGGATCTGACCCAGGGCGTTGTTGATTTTGTGAGATCCAGTATGGTTGAGGTCCTCCCGTTTCAGCCAGATGTTTGCACCGCCGACGTGTTCGGTCAAGCGCGTCGCTTGGTGAAGGCTCGACGGACGGCCCATATACGGATAGTACGACCGATATTCCTCCCAGAAGGTCGGGTCATCGAGAGCTGCCTGGAAACCGACCTCGAGTTCAGCGAGACATGTTGTCAGGGCCTCGGGAGCATATTGACCACCGAAGATACCGAACCGTCCTGGTCCATCGGTCACCGCTGCCTCTGCGTCATTGGTAGGGGCGAACGCCTTCGTTTCGGTTGTCCCGGAGATAGAATTAGTCGATGCATCCGCAGTGACTTTCCTTTGTGTGATCTTTGAACAGTAGTCCTCGACTGCCTGAGCGGCCTTTCCGGCCGGGGCGTCAGCCAGGATGTTAATCACCTGACTACCAATGACAGCACCGTCGGCGATGGAGGTCACGCTCAGGAAATGATCACGTGTGCTGATTCCAAACCCAACTGCCACGGGGACATTGCCGGAGAGTCCCTTGACGCGCTGGATGAGGGCGGGAAGCTCTGTGTTAAGGGTTCCCGTAGCGCCCGTCACGCCCATGCGGGAGACGAGATAAATGAAAGAATCGGCCATACTGCAGAGAGCCTTCATGCGCTCTTCTGTAGTAGAAGGAGCGATCAATGGGACATAAGAGAGACTGTCAAAAGAGTCAATAAACTATTACTTGAATTTTCCCTGTTCAAAGAGGGTAGTGTCACATACCCCATCTTGGTACAGCCATTGCGGAAGCGAATCGCGTCTTCCGGCGGCAAATCAACAATAATGAAGCCATTGACCCCGGCATCCTTGCAGTCAGCCAGGATTTGGGACTCCCCGTAGCGTAGAAGGGGGTTGTAGTAGCCCATGAAGAGGACGGGGGTCTTGAGCCCTTTTCGGCGGGCCACCCGCACCATCTCCAACATGGAGGTAATAGTAACGCCATTTTTGAGGGCCTTCAGATTCGATTTCTGGATGGTGGGACCATCTGCAATAGGATCGGTGAATGGGAGACCCAACTCAATAATATCTACGACATTTATCAGGATCATCAATTCGAAGGATGGAGCTACCATGACTCACCGGCTCCTCCGGCCTGCATGCCCAGCATGATGTCCGGGGTTTCCTCCGCCGTGGGGAAACCGGCCGTCACATACGTGACCAGCGCTGGACGGCCTTCCTGTTGACATTGAGCAAAGGTTTGTTTGAGATGCTCCATGGTTGGATTGATTGTCTGGGGATGACAAAAATTGGAACACGAGGGGGGATACTTTTTTATGGGGACCAAAATTGACTAGGGTCCTCCGATGAGTCAATGGGGTCAGCTTGCGGGACGGTCCATTAGTACTTTATCGGCCCGTCAATTGGTCCCGCTGCGATATCGGGCTTGAATAAATGCAATCATGAGCCAAACCCCAGTAAGCTCTCCGCTAGTCAAAAGATTCATACTGATCCTCGATTGAACCGGATCAACAGGGACCAGTATATTCTTCTCATAGATGGAGTGACTACAGAAGATATACCAATCTTGCGGCTTCGTCCTTAAGAAGACAAACCGGAAAGTAAGCATTTCGACTAATCACTATCACTATTATATTCTCATCCGCAATCCGCCAGGACGTAGCAGCCTTACTCTTACCAATGGCCCTATTTCCCGTGACTGGAAGAACCCTGAACATGCCTTGCTTCTCTTAGTACACGCCTCGCCCCTATTGTTCGGCCCCGTCGGCTAGCATGCATTGATGGCACCGTTTTATGTGTAGAGGACGAAAGCCCCAGAGTGATACTAGGATAAACTTCCCCGGTGGATAACAATAACGTTATTATTTTAATTGACCAATTCCAATGACGAAGGAATAAGAAATCGGGGGTATTGAAGGGAGTATGAACTCCTTTCCGGCAAGATAGTTAGGTGGGTTGTAATGAGACACTACTATACTATACTTATACTTGACCTGACAGTACAGTCAGACGCCAGTCCAAACTAGGCGGAAGAATAACCAGGCTATTTTTCTGGTGTTTAAAAATAACTTTCCATCAACCATACAATACCGTAATAATATCAATTCCAGTTCCATCCATCAAACACGAACAACATCCTAACCTCGAAGTCACTGACATATAGTACAACCAACCAATGGCCCAATGCTGCACCTCATCAAACACCTAATCCAGCGCATCTGGAGAAGACCCGCGACACTCGCCTTCTCCTTCGTCACCGTCTGCCTCATCGTGCCTTTATTCCTCTACCATCTCCTCGCCTACTACCTCGCCAACGACCCCCGTCTCGTCCCCAGCGCATTCCGCACCGCTAAGAATATCCTCCTGGTCACAGCGCATCCAGACGATGAAACCCTCTTCTTCAGCCCGAGTATACTCTATCGCAGTGACGATGCGACCGTGACCCGGGCTTTGCTGGCGCTTTCGTCCGGTTTGTATTCATTTTTATCATTCTTATACTACTATAGTCCCTACCTATCCATCCATCCAGGAAGATATAACCAACTAACAAGCAACAAAACTAGGCAACTACGAAGGCATCGACGACATCCGCCACACCGAACTCCAACGCAGCTGTGCCGAACTGGGGATTGGACCCAAGAGATGCGTGAACCTCGATCACTACGAGCTCCAGGATAATCCCCAGAAATGGTGGAGGGAAAATCTAATCGAGGAGCTTGTGGGGCAGTACGTCATATAATGGAAAATTGATTTGGTGGGTCTATTTCATTACTTTTCTAGACCTAAAGGATTATCATAGTTCTAACTGATATTGTATAGATCATCACGTTCGATAATGGGGGTATATCCGGCCATGTTAATCATCGGGCGGTTAGTGCTGGTGTTAGGTTGGTTATTCTTCTTCTTCTTCTTCTTCCTGCTTTCTTTCCCCCTTCTACTTTGGTGATCTGGATGATACAATATTATGATTTTGCCATCGCGAAGGAGAGTATACTTGAATTAACGGTGATATAGTAAATATATATCCAAAATCCCACAAAGCCCACCGGCATACGCACTGCAGACAAAATGCCTACTACGGAAGTACGCCGGTCTAGCTGATTTAATTCCGACATCAATGTCCTTTTCAGGACGCATTCTGCGGGCGCTTGTATCGGCCCCACCGGAATATGAGGGAGTCAAAGTCAAAATCGAGAATGGGAAGAGTGGTAAGATGCAGGATCCACATGAGGATAAGGCGCTGTTGGTTAGTAACTGGCGGACGTATTTCCAGGCGCGAAGGGCGTTTAGTCAACATGAAAGTCAGTATTGTTTTGATCGGGTTTTTTACTTGGTGATTAGTCGGTATATGTGGGTTAATGATTTGAGGAGGTTAGTCTAAGTAAACTATGGGGTGGAGTGTAGGGTATCCTTCGAGTTGAGTATAAATGCCGCTATGCGGATTACCAGAGCTCATATGTGGATACTGTATGTACATTTTGCGAGGCTGTTTCGGTGCTCATAGTACAGACAGTATTCGCGACAAAAGAATAAGAATGAAGAGAAAAAGACAAAACAGTATAAATAATCACACAACCTTTTCCAAAACCTTAGATGGTGACGTTGACGTCTCCAATCTGACAGAACGTCGTTGGGCCGCTATAGACCACGAAAACACCACACACCCACCCACTATAACGGCAGAGAGAATACAATATAGGACTGGTCCTCCCACCCCCTCAACCATCCTCACAAAAACCGCATCATTCGCATGCCACGACGACGTCCCCAAATGCCGGAAGAGCGGGGTATCCACGAACCCATTCAGCATATGCATATTCGGACGATCGGGCGGACCGGACAAGATACGGAGGGACGTTCGATTCGGCTGGGTAGTATAAATCGTCCTACACAGTACACCAGTCAGCATTATATCATACAATCAAACCCAACAAGACAGAAAAAAGAAACAGAAAGAAAAGAAAAAGGAACTCACGACGCATAATGACACCCAGTACTAAACATAACCGTAACATACGGAAAAAGGAACCAGCGACGCTTGAAACGGGGTAAATTATCAATCAAATCACGGACAAATGAGTTCTTCGGACTGGAAAGGAGCATGCCGATAGAGAAGCCGGCGGGATAGGCAGCGGGCGCGACAAAGTCGAACCTGCGCAGTGGTTCGAGCGATCGCTTACAGACGAGATCAAGGTCTAAGATCGCACCTGTGAGAGAAATGCGCGGGGGCGCGCAAAAAGTCAGTCCCATTTACAATTTTTCACTGATCCGTGTTATGTACAAGTCGCGTCATGTTTGGGAAGGGCGTGCGCACCTCCGTGTATGTACAGGATCATATAGCGTAACGCATCTACCTTCTGGACGAGGTATGGGTAGTTGTTCCAGGTATCTTGGAGATTGGGGAAGTGGTCCCGCACGAATTGATTGGCTGTTGTGTCGTCCCAGGTGTGTGTTTTCCATCCGGGATGGATCCGCAGACATTCTTCCCTAGCGGCTAGCCATTCTGGTCGGAGAGCTGTGCCTCCCAGGTGGACGTGATGGAGCGTCGCGGGAATTGGAACCGGATGGTGGAGTTCTGAAGGGGGTTGTTGGCCATCGTAGGCACGAAACGTGACATCGAAGCCGTCACGGTCATGTGAGATAATGGAGTCGGCTGCAGAGGTTTGCCAGATGAAGGGCATTTGGAGGAGTAGACGAAGTTGGGCAGCCAATGGTGAGGTGAGTAATAGCAGGAGCGACGCTAGAAGGAAGAGAACGAGTAGACGGACTCGCAAAAAACACATGGCTGACACTGCCTGTTCACGGTGGAAGACTAGGCTGTTTAACAACGGAGACCAGTTTAGTAGTAACAACTGTCAGTTCAGGAGCAATGGCGGGAAATGGAGAGAAAGGAAAGAGGAAGGCTGTGGTTGGCATGTTGAACTGGACATTGTTGCACAGCGACAAAGAGAAACTTGACATTTGGACGTAGGGAAATCTGCACCTTCTGGACGATGTAAGCATTCGTAGATTGGCTGGCAGTATAGAGAAAGGCAGCAATGTTTCCTAATAATCCAGGGTCCCACCGACCAACCACTCCAGTGTAACCGTCATGGAGGCGCGACCCTTTGGACCCCTTCGTCAACTAAGCTCAAGCTAAGCTTTCAGACAGCGTGGACCCTGTTACCTCACCATGGCTAAGACTCACGTTCCCAGTGTATTTCGTTTTAATTTCGCTTCCTTCATGTATACACATGTTGATTCGTGGGAACTAGGGTTGGTCTATTGTGTACGATGTGACTACGAATGACACCAGGGTTACTCCTTGTCTCAGCAGTACGGAGGGAGGCTAATTTTCCGAACTACAAGGTACATCGTAGTACAGCACTCTTTACTGGTCATCAGGGAAGGAACAAAGCTCTTTCATTCGAGACGGTACTGTCATGGGGTAGAGAAATGGGTGAATTATCACACTGCCGTTATGTATCTGGGCAGCCACTTATTCAATGAATCTCCAAACAAGGTAAACAAACCCTAATGCCTGTATTCTAAGTGAATTAAGCATGAAGACTAAAAATTAGTTACTCGGAGTACATCCCCGAGATACACTATACCAGATATAGTAAGGGTCAGGTCAAGATTCAAAGCTTAACCAGGAACCATACTGAAAATGCACTAGTTTCATGGCGCTGGCTGTTTTCTTCAGCAATTGGCCAATCACAATTGGATGGCAATATCGATAACAACGCTAAACCTTTTCAGGTGTGAAACAGCAAAACTCTGCTCGATTTGGTGCCTCAGGAACACACATGAATAGGGATTGTTCGGCGATTGCATGTATATAATAATGTATGTACTATGAACCTATGCGAGGCGCTTAAAGGAGGTGGCAAAACACCTGCAACTAACTACCAAACTTCTACATATTGAGGTCAATTTGATGCTTACCACCTCTACAACCTCTTAATCTCTTATCTTGCTCGGTGAATGGTCCCTGCTGATGCCATCGGGCTCGGTGTTTGCATCACGATAAGCCAAGAGGCAAAGACCGGAACGCCGACCAGATAAAAACCCACCACCACTCGGTATCTCCACTGGAAGATATCAAACCCCAAAGATGTCGCCGAATAAAAGTGTCGCTGTCGTCGGGACTGGCCCTGCTGGTGCCATTGCAGTCGATGCGCTAGTCCAGGAGAAATCCTTCGACGTCGTCCGCGTGTTTGAACGGCAAGAAAAGGCCGGCGGATGTTGGTATGCAAAGATCTCGAACCATTGACGGTAATACCGATGTGATTAACGGCCAATAGGGTGTCAAGAGAAAGTGAGAAACCGGTTCCTCTGGACATTGACAACCTTTCTGCGAGGACTGCAGATAGGCCGGTTCCAATCCCCGCCAATATACCCGGATATGTTCCCACAGTGTCTCAGCACCGCTACTTTGACTCGCATGTCTACCCCACTTTGCACGCCAATGTGGCTGCCTCGGTCATGGAATACTCTCAGGAACAGATCCCGGAAATCCTTTCCGAATGGTCTGTGAAGATCCACGGCCCGGACACGCCTTTCCGTCACCACACGGTGATAAGGCAGTACATCGAGGATCTCTTGAACCGAAATGGATATCAAGGCCTCGTTGAGTACAACACGACTGTTGAGCGGGCCGAAAAAGATGCCAAAACCGGTAAATGGACACTAACCTTGCGACGTGCCGGGGAGCCGAATGGCTTGGATTACTGGTGGACCGAAACCTTCGACGCTCTGGTGGTTGCCTCTGGACATTATGCAGTGCCGTATGTCCCTGCCATCAAAGGACTAAAAGAATTTTCCGAGAAGTACCCAGGCAGTGTTGAGCACACAAAGCAGTACCGTGGTCCTGAAAAGTATAAGGGCAAGGTAAGATGCCTACCACCTGCAGTAAAATGCAGAGAATTACTTGTCTTTAACCAAATAGATGACTAACAAGTCAACAGCGGGTAATTACTGTCGGGGCCTCTGTTTCCGCTGCAGACACCGCCGTGAGTCTGGTGAATCACGCAAAGGGTCCCATTTATGCTGTCGTGCGAGGAAAGTACAACACTTACTTCGGGGACGAAGCGTTCAAGCACCCTCAGATTGAGCGCCGCCCACCCATTTCGCATATAACCATCGAAAATGGGGAGAGAACGGTGCACTTTGAGGACGGCACGTCAGTGTCAGACGTGGACCACATCATCTTTGGCACCGGCTTCACATGGACGCTGCCATTCTTACCTGATATTCCAATCCGAAACAACCGTGTACCGGATCTCTATCTGCACGTGTTTCACCAGCGGGATCCTTCCCTAGTATTCTTAGGAGCGGTATGTCTTCCCCTAAGTGTATTTACTAAACAAAACCAGTGACTGACTGCAGTAGGTTGGTGCCGGGTTGACTTTCAAGGTCTTCGAGTGGCAAGCCGTAGCCGCCGCGCGCGTTCTGGCTGGCAAGGCACAGTTGCCATCTCTGGAAGAACAGGGAAAATGGGAACAGGATCGCATCGCAAAGAAGGGCGACGGTCCAGGGTTTTTGATGATAAACCCCGACTTTGAGACGTATTTCGAACAGCTTCGACAGCTCGCAGGCGAGCCTGCCGAGGGAGAACCAGGACGGAGACTACCACCGTTCGAGCAGCAGTGGGTGGATGACTTTAATGCTGGACATGAACGGCGGATCCGCATGTGGAAGAATGCCAATGAGGCTGGGAGGGCGAGCAAGTTATAGAGATAGATGTACATAGATGTACATAGATGAGATGTGAGCCTAAATGTGTATATATAAGAGCTGAACCTATTCCATTGATTTGGATTACTCTCATCTATGCCAGTCTGTTAGATATGTTCTAGTACGAGCCTATATATCTCCAACGATAGTTTTTGTTCTATGGTAAACATGCTGACAAACTTGAGTCCGCCCTTTCAGTGGGAATAGTTAGAGCATTTCTCAGTGAAGATTCTATATCATTGCCTGTAACACGGCTAACGCCCCGAGATGTTTTAAGAGTGAGCAGGCCAAGGCTTGGAGGAGGAACGCGATGTTGTCTGGTCCGGCCCCATTGCGGGTGCGATACGAGGTCTATGCGCAACCGCCAGGGTCTATAGTGGCGCTCTCAACAAAAGACTACTCTGGTATCAAGTGAAGTTCCAACGTTAACACTGGGGTAAGCTTCCACGAAGCAGACAAATACTTGCCACTATACCGTAATGTAGTCAGAGAAGTAATCATATATGCCTGCTAGATTTGGACAAAGAGGAAGAAGGAAGCCGACAACGCCGGTTTAACATTTCCTGGGCGCAGGTGCGGCGTATAGCTAGGGCTGATATGCAACAACCCTTAATCTACTAGTAAACAAAGGGGCGTATAAAACGTATTATAATGCGGTTTACTGTATTTTAGCATATAGAGAGGCCTGTGATAAAAGAGATTTCATTGTAGAAAATTATACGTTGAAATTTTTATCGTAAGCTGAATAATTCAAGTTCATTCTGTAAAGCTACCCTGGCAAAGAAAAACTTTCTTTAGGGGATATTACTTGATTGTTTATCCTAATACAGCATAATCACCGTCTGAGAGCTGTACAAAAGCCTACTTCGCAGTGCAGTTATTTTGAAATGAAGCTGGGAGTTAGCCATAAAGACTTGTACGTGCTACTAAGGACTAGGGATAAAAGTCTGGGCGTGAAGTTTACTTGCATCTCGTCTCGTGAACCCTCGAAATGGCGGTCTGAAGAAAACGCTATGTATACTCCTCAATCTAGCTGCAGCCATGTTCGACATCTGTGCCTTCTCTTTTCTTGAGTTCTTCTATTGCAATGGATGCTTTCTTGAGAGTTCAATATCATTATAGTATACTAACCGTCACATGATCATCTAAACCCTCTCATAATCCTTGAATTGTCTAGGCCCGCCCTTGTAACGTACACCTATGATAAGTTTAGTAAACAATGGACATACAAACATAGTCTAATGAAGGCGAGGGGTACCACATCTCATCAACAGGAATAAGTTGGGCTTGACAAATGATAGACGTCAACGTGAGTTCGAGGTATGCTATGACTCCTGCTCTGTTGATTACATATTTTGAAAGCCACCAAGCTCTCGCGCATCAGGGAAAGCTTAAACCAGAACAGTTCATTCATTGTATGAGCTATAATATTCACCGCCGTGGAGTACCAGCAACGTCCGTTACACAAGCATTCTTAAGCCCAGAGTATATATATTTCACTTGCACGCCAGAAGTGTGATTCAGTACCTATTTTCCGGGATACTCCAGCGAGAAAACCAGTGGCTCTTCTTCCGTAACTCCCACAAAGCCAAAGCTACAAGTGGCCATAAGTCCCAGTCATAGTCCCTCCTTATCACAAATCTCAATATGACACTCATCTCCAGCTTCCAAATTAGTCCCTAGGTGCCGCTTTGGGTTCACCGATATCATGTTAAAAGTCCACGCCGTTTCTTTGACTCCATCATGTAAATAGGATCTTTCGTATTCAGGAATCAACATCGATGAACCTTGTAAATAGTTGTTGTCCATATCACCACAAATCGTGTATTTACCCCCGCTAAGAAGACGTCCTTTGTTGTTGGTGGTATCGACCGTCCCGTGCACATTGAAGACTGTGTGAGAGTCGCCTCCCAGAAAGAGACTGCGCCATTCTTTGAAATTTTCTTGAATCCAATTCTCCACAGCGGGGGTCGATTATATTTTAGAGCGTGCAAATCATTATAATTGAACCACCTGCTAATTGTTAACATAATGTCATGTCGCCACCTTTAGCCTCCCACGTCAAGCCCACGTTCAATGAACTATTGCTATTCTCGTTCTTGTTCGTGTTCGACGATGCAGAACTAGTGATAGCAGAGGCCTGGAGAGATCCCTTGTCTCTAAGCTGCTCAAGAGCTTTCTCGCATCCATTGGAGAGTTCCAGGCTGTCTTCATCAAATTGGAGGACAACCCGAGGGAACTAGTCATCTATGCTCACAGTTAATTGATTGATTATACTCATCATAATGAGGAACTTACGTTGTAAGTGATTGTCATGTGTTTTGTATCTTCAGCTTTCGCTTCAGATGTAGATTCTGCCTCTTCATTTTTGAAGCCAGCCTTAGCTCCGGCGCTGTAACCAAAGCAAACCCCCACCACTAGTTTGGGTAGCCACATATGTCTCTACACATCGTTAGCAACAGTAGAAGTTTTTCTTACACAGCAACTTCAGCGGCCAGTGTATTCTACTCATCTATTTTGCCCCCCTCCCCCGTCCCCACACTCGTGGATCTTCTCTTCTTCGTACTATCTCCACTATGTGTATCATGTGTCGTTCCCATCACCGTAGATGTGCTGGTGACATACAACCACGACCTGGATCTTGATAGTGAGAACTCTATATTGAAAGATATCAACTACCGGGTCGATTTCAGATTGCATCATACAGACACTGGTCGAGATACTCACCAAGGATTTCTCGGGATACCTGGGGCAGAGTGCAGCAGCCATGGAAGGGTTGGTTCACAGCGATCTGATAATGTGGATATAGGGCCCATCCGTGGGCCCTGAAGAAGCATATGTCAACCTTAGGGAAATCCTTCAGCAAGTTGAATATGGCAAGGTAGATAAGCTATCTATTCGATTCGCTACGATTAGTGGGTAATAGAGTTCAGAAAGATACCATCAGCTCGAACCCACTCTCAGCTGAGGTGGCATATCTATTCAGCTGAACTGTGGAGAACTAAGGAGTATGTATAGCTGAATGAATTCCCCTCGTATCAATAACATAAATGCGCTACTAATTTCTCCTCCAACATTCTCAGTCTAGGTTTTTTTTTTCCCCTCTATTACTTCTTTCCATTCCTTATCGAAATTATAAAACCAGCAAGCGACCGCCCATTTGAATGCTTCCAGGTTCGCATACCGGACCAATACAGATGGCCTCAGCGCTTCCGACCCCGGTGCTGAGGGTTGTTGGTAGAATATAAAAGAGAGTTACAGAAACGTCCTCGAGAATTCTTAATTAGCGGATAAAAGAAGCCCGTGAAGCTTACCACACTGAGGAAGAAAATAGTTTAATTACTTTTAATTACTTTATTCATTGAAACTCCCTATTTCTGATAATCATCAGTTAGGATCTTATATAAGTTTCTAGGAAGAGGGAGGCGCAATCATAGGGTAGCAATCGGTGTGCAATCCGAGTATCAACAACATTAAGTCACCCAGATTGCTAACTCAGTGGAAAGTGGCTTATTTAGTTAAAAGGGGGCATTTCAATGCTTCACTCCCCCATGCCTTTAAGGACGGATACTGCTTGGGTTTAAAGTGGTCCATTAGGTCGTATTTAGGTTAAAAATTTTGATATTTAAAACCAAAATGATCCACAGTACATTTTGATGTCAGAGCTTTCTTTACTTGTTACATAAACCGTTCCATTAGAATGAATTTTAAGGTAGGAAAACGATGGTTCTGGGCTTTCCGCAGTTACATCAACTATACTGATTGTGATGTCACCATATCGGAATAAATATCTGGGAGCTAATATACAGCATACTCCTCCACGCTTATAGTGAACTCCTCAGTATCTATTAAATTAGGTTTATATTGATACTTCAGTTGAAGTTTCCGAGGGTTGGTGCTGTGTGCAGGTTTCAACTAAGATAGTGTACGAATGCACCGCCTGGCATTCTGACCTTTTGCAGGTGTCGTGTACTATATTTCTAGATATTGTAAGTGCAATCCCCAGAAATCTCCTACAGAAGTCGTTGCATCGCGAGCAGAGGTTCCGAAGAAAAAATGGAGAAGGTGAAATGTCGTGATAGGCCAAGACTTGTAATAATTGTAAATCCAATGAGAGTCAAAAGTCGTAGTACTTCCACTCCGCACCTTCATGGAGGGTTACATCAAGGCATCATTGACTTTTGTCTGATCGGAATACCCTACGAAAAGATCTATGCTACTCCTGGTATAGGTAAGTATATTATGTCATGGAGTCTACTGGAGGATCTAGTTAGCTATAAAGTCAATTGGTGAACCCAGACTCCAAATTCTCTTTTTGTCTCAAAGAAAGCCTTCAATATATCTCCAAGACGACCATATATTTGGCAGTTACTGACCGCCATGCGTCTCTTCTCTCTTCTGGCCGCTGCCACAACGGCACTCTTCGCAAGCCCTAGTTTTGCAGGCAGTCCTATTGCAGGGGTACGTTAATTACTAGCAGTATACTATCCATCTGCATCTCATAAAATGGGAGTAAAACCACTAAAAAAGATCAAAATAGGTTGAGATAGACACTATCCGCCCAGATAGGTATCTTGCTAAAAGTCATGAGTGTGTAACGGTCGACCCGACGTACGTGGACCTACGATCTGCAAGTGAAACGATACTAATGCTTCACAGTGTACGGTTCCAACCCGTACGCCATATAGGTATTCGGCCAATCAGTTCTGGTATTGGGGTTGAATGTACATTTTATAGGTAAGATGCTCCTGTTGTCTCACCCGCTTGAGAACTACTATCTAATGCAAAAGCAAGGGACCCTCACTGTCATTCAGATAACGATCCTGATCATCCTGATTCGTATACTCTGCACGAAGGTAGCTATAGCTTCAAGCGTCGCTTCCTTGTTGGGGGTTTCAAATGTGTGGAACCGGACAGTGGACATGAATTCCTGTGATCAGCCAAGCAGAAATCAAAGGAAAGAACAACGTAGCTGCATTGTGTGTAAGAGTAATGGAGGTGCTGATATAGCTCAGATTTCCTCTAATGTCTTTAGGTAATCCAATATATGCTCTTCTAATTAAGACGTGCAACATATTCTCTTCGTTACTTGTGTAAGGAATTGAATCTGTAGGACTCAGCCAAAGATGGACATCTGCTGGTTATTCATTGCCAGCCGAACCAGCTATTTTTGGGGTCGGGGTAGCGCCAGTACCGAATCTACTGAGTTAAATTATCAAATCAGTTACAAGGTTTTGTATTGTCGATCAAAGTATACAACAACTAGCGCCAAGGCTCAACTTAATATTTTCTCTCAGAATACTCGACAAGCCCCAGGAGGGTACATCATCAATACACCTTGACTCTTCGATCGATCGCCTTACTTCAATGCCAAGACCATTGCTGCATTATTTGCGCCAATCGATGTGGCAGATCCACATGACTCATTTATAGTCATGATGATCCTGCATGGGCCATTTTGTATACAGAACCAACATAGTCAGTCTGCCAACCAGAAATAGCACTCTAAGATACCGTATAAAGACAGCTTGCGTATCCGGAGGATTTAGGTAGTAGAATGGGATAACTTATCGGTCCAACATATCCTATCGCAGTCTCCTAGAAATAAAGAAATAAATACCTCGGCTTCAAGTCTAACCTCAACGGAATGAACCTCTCCCTCCACATCACAAGCCAAAGTCATCCAGCTATAGCGATGGATCAATATAACACGACAGAGGATGTCCTTAAATTAGGCATCGTCGATCCCGAGCTCGAAGAAGTAAGTAAGCACGCAGCATTTTCCAGAATATAGCATCTCATTATCAAACTAGGTTCTTCAACATAGCCCACCTCCTGCAATGGACTTTTCATTACCCGTGGAGCAAATGCGCCAAATAGTTTCGGCAATGGAGAAGACAGCATACGAGTCCTGTCCAACATTCGACACCCAGGAAACTATGATTGATATTCCGATGCGTGATGGGTATCAGAGCAACCTTCACATTGTCAAGCCAGGCAGCTCGTCTGGAGCAAACCCCGTGGTGGTTCTTATATTTGGCGGAGCTTTTGTGATGGGTACAAATATCCAATCGATTGTCTGGGCCCGCGCGATCGCAGCTTTGTATGGTGCTACCGTGGTACAACCCTCGTATCGTCTCGCACCGGAACACAAATTCCCAACGGCCCCGAACGACATATGGGATAGTGTACAATGGATAGCTGCCAATGCGTCGATACTTGATGTAGACTTAACGAAAGGGTTTGTGATTGGTGGTGGATCAGCAGGCGGAAACCTTGCAATTGTCACAGCACATCGTTCTGTGAAAGAGAATCTCTCTCCACCAATCACGGGGGTTTTGGCCAGTATTCCAGTGTGCATGAGCCAAGAGACTGTGGCGGAGAAATACAAACACCTTTGGGTATCTCGGGAGCAAAACGCATGTGTTCCTGGGAATCCTGGTCTGGACTCAAAATCTATCGGAGGATACGAGGCTCTGTACCAGCAGGATTTCTTGTCGGAAGACTTTTCGCCCTTTAACTCGACCGTGCCATTCTCGGCTCTTCCACGGACGTATGTTCAGGTCGCAGGGCTGGATATTCTCCGCGACGACGGCATTGTTTATGCAAAGGTTCTGAGTGACAATGGTGTGGAGGTGAAACTGGATGCTTATCCTGGTATGCCACACGGGCATTTTAATTTATGGCCACGCTTGAGGCAGTCATTCAAGTCTCAAGAGGATACTATCTGGCATGCGGGATGGCTTCTGGGTCGCCAGGTCCCAAGGGAAAGGGTGGAAGAGCTTGTAGCTGTGATTCTGAAATGATGTTTCTTAGGTAAAAATAGAATATCAACTTTTCAACCCCTCAAGTCTTTTAAACTGGAGCCGTAATAGTAAATGCACTAGAAGAAAGAGTCCGAAAAGGATGGGAATGTGCCAAAACCGTGATTGCCCAAGCAATCGACGAAGGTGGGGGGAACCGATTCATCGTCAAGGTAAAGTACAATAGTAGATAATAAGATGCTTCCAACTAATGGAGAAGATTGGAGGATATATACTTAATCCTTATGTAGTATATATAGCACATATATCTAGCTGATAGTGGAGTGGGAATATGTCTGAACGGCATCGCGCTGATACAGTAGTCTCCCGGGATCTGGAAACAGACCAGTTAGCCCTAGCTACTGATTGCATGGACGTATAGATAACCTTGTTTCTAATTATGTGCGTATTATATATTGATTGTGCTCCATTGATATTGCCCACACCACTAAATCAATAGTTATAGTCGATAAATCCCATCCAACAGTCTTTTCAATGAATACTATTCAATGCAGTGCCAGCTCGAAGCAAGCCGTCCCCATAAATGAGAGAACATCCACTTCTACAGTAGGGTGCTCATCTACACAAAATATATTTTTCGATGGTTAGTTTGATGAATACATGTGGTCACATAATTGCTAAGCCTTCGCCTTAATTATCCAGAAGACAAGATATGATACTGCAGTCGATTTAAGATATAATGAACAAAAAAAAAAAAAAAAAAACAACCCAAAGGTTGAGCCCACATAACCCCAAACCAGCAAAACTCAACGTGATGAACACCAACAAAACCCCCAGAATCAGTACTGAATACCACATAACCACCCCAATTTACCCCGCATTCTGTCAAAATAACTTGAATGTAACGTAATCGGAGTATCTCCGACCGAGATCTACCCCTCTCGACGATCCCAAAATGCAACATATGCAACATCCCCCTCTCTTCACACATCCCAACTCACCCCAAAACGCAAAAGCAAAAGCAATGGACTCAGTAAAAGGAAAGGTCTACGCCGTAACCGGCCTAGCAGGCATCGGCCTCGCTGTCGCAAAACAACTCTATAACTACGGCGCGCGTCTCTCCTTAGCCGATATCGACGAAACAGCTCTTTCGTCTGCTTTCGCGGAACTCAATTCGGATAGTGAGAATGTGCTCACGACAAGGGTTGACGTGGGGTCTTCTGCGTCCGTGGATTCATGGATTGAGGCTACTGTTCAGCGCTTCGGGCGACTAGATGGCGCTGCTAATATGGCAGGGATGATTGGGAAGAAGCATGGGACGGGGAGATTGACGGAGCAGGATGATGACGAGTGGGATCGGTTGTTGAGGGTGAATTTGACGGGGACGATGTATTGTGTGCGGGCGCAGGTGAGGAGTATTTCTGCGACTTCGGGGAAGGGGAGTATTGTCAATGCGACGAGTATCCAGGGCATTAGGGGGTTTGGATTGCATGTGGCTTATTCGACGTCGAAGCATGGGGTGGTTGGGTTGACGAAGAGTGTGGCCAAGGAGGTTGGGCCGGATATTAGGGTTAATGCTGTTGCGCCGTGAGTTTTTATCTCCTCTTTTTTGGGATAACGGTTTGGGAGGTGCTAATCTGCCTATAGTGGATCTATTCAGACACCTTTGCTCGACAAGTCTATTGTCATTCAAGGTGGTTATACACAGCCTCCGACGATCATTCCTCGCACCGGGACGGCGGACGAAGTTGCTCAGTCGGTGTTGTTCCTTCTCAGTGATGCTGCCTCGTTTACGACTGGCACGGTCCTTCAGGTGGATGGTGGTTGGGATCCATGAGTTGCTTGTTTTGGTAAATTGGTTGGAAATGATAGGGTCCATGATGGTCATATCTGAAATGTAGTACTATATATATGTGTACACGAGTGTCGTCCAGCGACGCTTGGGGAAACAACACGAGGCCAGGCACCTCCCTAAATACATATGCAACTCAACCCAATATGGCCGACATTTTGTACATGGAAAGGGTATAATAGGAAATCAAACAATCATCAACATCCAACATCGCAATATCACCCATGGAGCCACAGAAAGCCTGTCGTGACTAGGAATATAGATATAAATATGAGTTTCTGGCCAGTAAAGCGAGCTGGAAGTAGAATCAGAGCCAAGCAACACATACACAATATGATAACCATAGTGAAGGTGTAGTCAGGCTGCAGGGTGGCTGCAAAGTTCTTTGATCCTCTGCCAGAAAACTATTAGTGCCATATCCTCTTTCAGTGTGCCTGGGAACGAACCTTGCTACAGGCCAGCCATCCTCGTAGTCGAGGTAGCTCCAACCCAGTAAGGCTTCCTAAATAGGCGTTATTAGTGGTTCAATTCGGATAGTTCACAATGCACTCACGCCATGCAAGAACCCGACACTTGTGTTAACTGAGAGGGTGGAATGTTAGCCAGGCCATGAATGGAAAAATGATCTCAGCGAACATACGATAATGATAATATAAAGTTTCGGGATCCGTGGTTGTGGCAGGCAGCACTCCAACTCCACCCGGAGCATAGACGATTCCATGGTTCGAGTCGTAGACTGTGGTGCCGCCTCCCTCTGTCAGTTCCTTTCCGTGCTTGTCCACAAATGGGCCTCGCACATCCTTCGACCTTCCAACACGAATACTGTACTCCTGCCCCATAGATGGGAACCCTTTGTTAAAATGACAGCATTTTCCATGACTAAACCACAGATAATAATAGGGGTCCTTGAAGCTCATGAAAGACCCTTCATCCGGCTTTGGGTTTCCATCCGGTACATATACCATATTCTTCGCGTCCGGCTTCTCGGGGTTCTTGACAGACAACAGGTCATCCGCCAATGGCACTTGGAAAATGCCATGCCAGTAACTTCCGTATAATAGGTACGGCTGTCCCGTTTGCTGGTCTACTATGAACGAGGCATCGATGGCATTGGATACCGTATATGGCCAAATATGCGATAAAGGCCCTTTTTCAGTATAGATTAGGCCGCCATGGTCTTTCCAAGAGCTATTTTCGATCGAGTCCGTGCTTGCGACGCCGATAGCGCTATTGCGAACTCCGTCTTGGCTGACTGTGTAGAAACAATAAAATTTCCCTTTCCATTCCACCGTGGTTGGAGCCCAAGGGCGTGTTCGGTTTTGTTTTACGATGATCGTGGGACCATCGAGGACCGTGCCAATCTTCGTCCAGGGCCCAGACAGGTTCGATGATTTGAATATTGGAATTTGGATTCCTCCTTTGAATAGGTAGAAATTATTGTCGTGCTGCACGATATTGGGGTCATGGACGTCGAGGTGGCCTTGATTTGGCAAGGGGTATTTTTCCGTTTTTGAAAACACATTAGGGGGGTGAGGGAGTTTGGAGTTTTCCGAAGGCGCCCCCTGCACCATGCCCAAGAGGCAGGCTAAAGATATAATGTAATTGCGAAGCATTTGCGATTGGGTTGTTCTCAGCCGATAGGAAGCCCGAGACCGGTATGAGATAGCAAATGTGGTCGCGCAGATGGGGGGAACAGCTGGACAATAAGGAGCCGCCAAAAAGACTCGCAGCAATTGACGCTGCCTGCTCGAGATGTCCCGAAGCTTGATCTCAGTGGCTTTAAGACCGATAGGCAGCCACGATCTTCGGAGACCCACCCAAATAACGCAAGGGTCTCGTCACAACACTATTGAGCGAAAGAAAGTCAAGACGCGTGGCAGTGCCCATTGCGGAAAGCGTGAAAAAGTAAAAGTCAAAGCGAAATTGGATCGACGTTTCAAGTGAGTGTGAGAGGAGGCGCAGTGGGAAACAGAAAGCTAGCAAGGGACCCAGAAAGTACTGAGCATTCTGATGCAGATCCCCACTAGGGTTTATCTAATCATCCCGACAACTCCCCCGAGGGCATGTGGAGTCAACGATTGGCTGTCAGTTCGTGACCCTTCCAGGCCCGTGAAAAGCTTGGTAGAAGCTAATTCGCAGTTATTAATATCCCCTCCGTCAGGCTGAAAGGGTCCCTTGGACAGGGTAGGTGGTATGGACTTGCAAAGCGGGTCCCGCCACTTCCAAGTCACCTGACGAAGTGGAATTTGACATTACCCCTAGTATATAAAATATTTAAATAACAGTAAATCTATTAAATTTCATTATCTTATTTGATTTTCTTATTCCTCCCGAATTCCTGAAGGCGAGTTTTCAAGCGCTTAGTAATTACTTAATAGCTACTTATAATAGACTCTTCATTTATACACAAAAATCCAGGTTTTTTTTTACAAGATGATCTCTTGCGATCAATTAAAAGTAGAGTTGCACGCGGGTCGGGTTTTTGATAGGTCTCTGTTACGCCCGGGGATTCGGCCAAGGACTCTGCGACCAGTTAGCTATCTTGGTTAGACGCGACTTACCTGACGACTAGAATCCACTAGCGACTAGTGACAATGAGCGACCCGATACAGTCTGAATGATTCGATGGCACGATATGAACGATACTGCTGTGAATAGTCCAAGATAGAAAGGCCAGGCCAATTGAGTATGTATACTCAATTGTTAGATAGTGCGAACGAGTTGAGCTGGTAACAGATACAAAAGCTAGGCTTGTAGTAGGATATAGCTATCAAGTAACAATTTGAAATTGATCACGAAGAACTAATCTAAGTATATGAATAAGTGTCCTTATATATTCTTGGTCCCTGAGTACTAGTCTGATCTATGGTATACCATGTGGTCTATATATACTATGATAGTACTCGTATACTATTGCTTGGCAAGTATATACCATTTATTCACGTGACTTCCGTGGGTGTTTGCTTGTTTTGTGTCAGATATACTACGCAAAGGGTATATCCGTGTTCACCAAGGTTGCGTTCAGTCGGTGTTACCGTGCTAACACCGAGGGTTCCCAATATTATTGTTCTGGTAATGCTGAGGTCCCTCCACATTATTGTGGTCGTAATATTCCGTTTCTACTGATATTCACATGCTCGAATGTTATGGGTCCGATAACATTCTGCCAGTGGTAACATTTCACCGCTTATCGTTATCGTAGCCTTTATATTATCCTGGTCATGCCGCACTAGTCTGGGTCCGTAACAGTCTCCCCGCACCCGACCCAAAACCCGCTAGGTTTAGGCCTCCCCGACCCGCGGGTTCCCCGCCAAAATTAGCCTAAACCTAATTAGGTAAGATTTCGCTTATTAATCATAGACCTTACCTAAATAAGTCTAGTATAAAAACTGTTTAAGCTCTATATCTCTACCAATTCTATATATATAGAATTGATATTAAAAATATATATATATATATATATATATATATTCTAGATCTATATAAAAATCTAGAAAAAATCTAGAAAATCGATATTGTAATGCCAAGAAAAACCCGCTCGGGTTCCCTGCACCCGGACCGGGTTGGGGCCCTAGAACCCGTAACCCGGAGCGGGTTCAGTCTTCTATTCCCGTCCCCGACCCGGAGCCGGGTTGGGGCGGGTTCGGGTCGGGTCCAGCGGGGAACCCGTGCCACTCTAGTACTTTATTACTAGATATTAATTAATTATTAATTACTTTAGAACTGGTTATTGACTAATTAACTATTATTTAGAAATATATACAGGAGATTTATTAAAATAATAATTAGATTTTTATTATCTGTATTCTTAAAAATCAAGCTGAATTGCTTCATACTTTATCTTCTATTGAGATTGATATATCGTATAAACAAGTCCAATCAAAAGAGTTAAAGAAGATAGTATTTACTATATACTTAATAGATTAAAAAAAAAGTATATATATTTATCTACAACTATTTATTAAGTACTTGCTAATTACTTCTAAATTAGTTATTACTCTTTGCTATGTCTTTACAACAGAGGATACAACTGTCTCTGTCGTCCAGCTTCGTCTACTGCTGGGAATAATTCTCGCTTGGGCGGAAAGCTTGATCGGTGTCTTATTGTGGACCGGTGGGTGACGATACACGCGGGCATAATTTCCTGCGCTTCGAGCGTGTCTTATTCTTTAAGCCATGGGCGTCCTTCGGCGCGATGCCAGGGTCAGCGCTGGCGCCGAACACCAGGTCAAGGACCCTCCCATGCCGGGAACAAGGGAACATGGCTCTACGAACATGGCTCTACGAACATGACTAGGAGCACCACGCAGACAAAAGCTACGAGGCAGCGCTGGAGCATTTGATGCATGGCACAGAGTCGAGAGATACCAATCGTCCTAAGTGTGTCGAGTGTCGCCCTTGAGCAGTGATGGAGACGAGAGAACAGGGCCTGCCGGCCATTTTAGATTAGTGACTAGAGTTCGAGCTGCATGGCCAGTTCTATTGACACACCCGCTTGATATATGGGATCCGGGGACGTAGGAAATCTGAAATCCATGATCATGGCCTGTTCCCGTTGTTACCATTCAAATATCCCTTGGGTTGGGCTTCTCAAACTTAAGCCACTTCTCCGGCACCTCATGCATCTGTTCTGCTTCCAACATCTCCGAGAACCACCGACTAAATTCTCGAAACTCCCCCTTCGTCACACCCGATCCCGGGCCCAAATCGAAAAACCTTCCATCTTCGGTTTCGAATCCAGATGGCACCACATCAGCAGTACATACATCATTCAGAATAGAAACGCCGCGACTAATCATGGCCTTCATAGTCTCACAGTAACGCTTCCCAAAGTCGGCAGGGGACTCGCCTTCTCGTCGTGGGACATGATTGCGTACTTCGCTTTGCAAGATGACGGAATCCGGATCGGCGCCCTCGGCTATGAGGTGGTCGCGCTTCTGGTGCGCCGAAGTTGCGTAGTCCTGGGGAGTCTCGTAGACCATAGGTTCGTCGTCCGAGTCGTGGGGAGCCCCGTTGTTTTCATGGCCTTGAGATGATTCCGAGGGTATCGCACCCGAGCGTCGGTCGAGGTTTTCATGTTCGGAAATCATAGGTGTTGCGGTAATTTCCTTCATTCTCAAGTCGTACTGGTCTTCGTAGTAGACTCTCTGTGCCGAAGAAGCTAGACAGTGGGTAAAAGTCTGTTGAAGCACAAAGGAAGTCTGGTATGAGGGGTATAAATACGCTGTAGGCTGACTAAGAGAGCTGAACCCTGGGCTTATTTTCTGTCATATTGACATAACCCGCCTTTCAGCTCTCTGGCTAACGAGAAAGCCTCAGTGCAACCAAGGCTCCCACTTATTCCGCTCAGTGAGTTCTGCCTAGCCCAACCGGCATCATATGATTGCTGGTCGCCGGAGCCGTAAGGTTTCACATCCGGCATCGTTAAGGCAGTATCTCGAGAGGGTAATTTTCCAGAATATGGAAGGGATATATGCCAGCAAAGTTGACCAGGATATGAATCTTGTGTGATTTGGTGATCACAGATTGTACTACTCTGTCTACAGCTTGTTGATGAGTGATGTCGCAAGCCATGTATTCCGCTTTCCCGCCTTCTTTGCAGATGGCATCTTAAAGTCTCGGATCATGGAGGTCGAGCAGCACCCGCGATAACAACGACTTGGCGGCAACCTTATCAGGATAGATTTTGACCGGTGGAATGTGGGCAGCTCGTGGGAATGCCTGACATTGTTATAACTGGGCGAGCACAAATTGAAAGGATGGTCTTGCTGTGACAATGACTTAAGATTTGGAAAGCTTTGATCTTATATATCTGTTTGTTTCCCAGGAAATCCACCCCCAATGTATGAGCGCAGCTGACTCCACTCATCTGGAGCTGGAGGGGGGTTCGGATGTGCCCTTGTCGCATGTAGCTTCAGAGATTCGGCAGCGGATCTATGGCTACGAGTGCCGGCTTCGTCCGTTTCCGGAGATCCCCAGGACGATCATGCTGGTAGTTGCCATTGAGACTACGTAGTCTTCTTAACTCAAAAAGCTAGACTCCCGCATGGGCCAAGACATAGCTTTTGTCCAAACACCACGAAAGAATAGAGGAACGCGATGCACGTAATCATTGTTGGCGCAGGTGGGTGTCGTTCTGTCGGGGCTCCCTCTACTTCTCCCAGCTCTACTTCTACCACTGACGTTTGAATCTTTCAGGTCTTACTGGCCTTGCGATTGCCTTGGGACTTAAAAAGAGGGGTATATGTTATGTGATTCTGGAGCGTCAGCTCGAGCGAGACCGATCGTGGGCAGTGACCATCTCGTGATCGAGACCAAACCTTGAAGAGTTGCTACCTTCAGAGATTCTGGCAAGGCTGCACGAGTGCACTCCCGACCCCTCCTGGTTATTGAAAGAAGAAAAAGGCTAAGAGGAAGCCATCGTTCTCAGCGATGGTCAAAATAAGGAAACGCTGGTGAACATACCGTTCCCGGGAGTATTCCGACTGAATATCAAGAAAACCAAAAGGCTGTGGTCCAGTATGTTAACATCAAAGTTAGTATCCAACTTAGCTTTTCTGTAGGCAGCAAATATCGTATTGCGATACCAGGCTACGCTTTTTGAACGATATCTGCAGGAAGGCAAGAGGGTATCGTCGGTAGAGATGACGCCCGATGGCCCCATGGTCGTCTGTGATGACGGTTCGCGTGAGCACGGCAGTGTTGTCATAGGCGCCGATGGCAGCGGCTCGCATATACGGCGATGGCTTCTTGCAGATCTGGCTGAGCCCGAAGTCCTACCCTGCACGGTGCTAAATCTTACTGTCCAGTATTCTGCGGAACACGCCGCTGCACTTGGCCGCATGTTGCACCCGGTTATTGACATTGGTATCCATCCAAAGGGAATGTACATGGGCTCTTCCTACTAGACAAGCCAGATCCACGGAAGCCTGAAACATGGGGCTACTATATTCTCTCTTCATGGCCCGAAACATTCCGAGTTGATGGGGAGAAGGACTTGAACCGCTTCCAGTTGTTACAGGCACGGATGGATGATTGGGCGGAACCCTTCGCATCCGGAGTAGGCTGGGCGCCCAAGAGCCTCGAGGTTAAGGAGGACGTCATGAAGATTTGGTCACCGAAACCATGGAACAACTATGGTGGCAGGATCACCTTAGCTGGTGATGCTGCACACAGCATGACATGGCGTAAGCAAAATTGTCCTATTTCTTCAATGTTATCCTAGGCTAACAGCTGTAGATCGCGGACAGGGTGCCAATATTGCGTTCGCAGACGCTTTTCAATTTGTCAAGGCTATTGAAAGCGTCGTGAGAGGAGAAGCGCCCCTCCAAGCGGCAATCGAAGCATACGAGAAGGATGTGATCGCCCGCGGAGTCAAGGAAGTTGCGATCTCCAAAGCCCAGATGGAATCTTCCCACAACCATTCCAGCTATAAGAACAGCCATGTCGCGCGTCACGGTGTAGATCCAGTGGCCTAACCAGCACCTGTGCTGGTGAGGAAGCAGGATTCCGCCGCAAACGAGCTGGGACTTCTCTTCTGTTTTCACGAATGCAATTACATTGTTATTTCCCTCGAAAAATCTGAATTTTGATTAATATATCAATGTTTCCGACGATGCTAGAGCTATCTTGCTAGAGAAGGAAGTCGAAGCGGTAAATTGCTTCCGAGGCAACTGAAGTAAATCCGGCCCGTGTATCAGAGCGATTGTTCACAAATCTATCGCTTCGGGTCTTAAGGCTGCTCTCACTGAGGCTATCGCTAACTTAAAAGGGGAGCATACAGTCGCTCCGACTCTAATATCAAGCCAAGTGGCAGACACAAATTGAAGGCTGATCGCAGACGCCGTTGTCATGAACTTACTCTAGTGAGGTTATCTTCACGTAGTGTTGTAAATCCCAGTCCTCGCTGGATAAGACGGAGTTAACGCTGCTTTCGTCAACACGTGGTAGAATATATCTCAAAACCTACTGCGGCATCTTGTATTGGAATTGTCTTTTTATTATTGTCCCGTCAATAGTACATGCAGCAGGCAGACTTTGTCTATCAAGAAGTGACAGTTCCAGAACAAGGTCTGTAGGGCGTATCCCACACCAAAAGCCTCAAGTCGACATGACATCTATTAGCGTCGAGGGATCATGGCAATGTTACACATTCTTCGACATCAAGACGGCTTGTGGATGATTCAATGAGTATGTACCCCGCTACCATTCCAGAAGTCTGATACACACTCCTAAATTGACCATGAATATCGAGAAAATGTATATTCCAGTCAAAGTACGCGAGGCCAACCCTAATTCGACTCATTATACATATGCCTTATATCCGCCAACGCGTGCAGCATATATCGAAGCCATGACAGATGATAAAAGAAAAAGGCTCGCTATCATAAACTCGAGTTTCGAATTTGCCTGAACCCAGGCGTTCCACCTTCATCACTTGTTGTAGGCCCCAGGTGGCAACTCCGCAACACTGTACTCGTTATGGCCCATCTCGACCGGGGGCGGAGACTGCATTTGTGGCACCGGAGCGTACTGGTATGACATCGTAGCCTTCAACTGATCCATCTCCCTTCTGGCAGAGACTGACTTCTTTCTCTCCCAGGCACCCCACATCAACGCAGTGCCTGCAATGATGCCCAACGGGAGACCGAGTCCCAACCCGATGGCAAGCTTCGTGGACTGGTCGTCGGACTTCTCCGGTTTCTCTGATAATGTGTCGTTGCTATTACCAGCAGGAATAGTGGCGCTAGAGCTAGGAGAAGATGTGGAAGCCACGGATGCCAATGCAGCGACACCTGGAATAACGGTGCCAGTTGGGACAGGGAACGGTCCATCACCCGAGCACGTGATTCCGTCCGCCGCGGAGGAGTTTACGACAGAGCCGCAGCAAAACTGGTGGTTGGCGATATCGGCGTTGACAAGGGGGTATCCGGATGTCGGGTTTGCGCGGGCTATGTTTCATCATGAAATTCAGCATGGTGCGTCTTTTAGGGTGAGGTTTAGTTGGTAACAAGTTAAGGCGTACCACATGGTCTTGCAGCTACGCAATCACCACCCCAGTTTATATCGGTACAACTGCCTCGTGATAGGACCATATCGCCGGTACTTTGGACCCAACAGAGACCGTTTGACATGCAGATGTCATTTTTGTTACAGCAGTGGGTCGTCTCTTTTGTGCTGCAGGGAACATCGTCGACGGCGACTGTCTCTTCGTCGACCATATAACATGTTCGGTTATCCGCTGCTGACGCTGTGTTTGATAGTAATGATACGAGGAGTATCAGGCGAGAAACTCCAAGAATCAAGGACGATTTCATTGTATCTCAAATGTTCTTTTTCGACCGCAAGAAAAAGCAGTGTTATGGTTCAAACCCAGAGCCCCGGAGTTCCATACAACGGACGAGCGAGAAAGATAGGGGAGGGAGCAAAGCAGAAGGGATATTCTCCTTTTCTCGTTCTTCGTCTGACATGACTGGAGCTAAAAAAAAACAATGACAGCGCAAAGGATTGCGACCGTGTCGAGTTAAATTAAGGGACAAATAGGACGAGACTGGAGGGGTTTGCAGAATTGTTTCCTGCTGGGGCCAAAAAGTGTCTGTTGGTTAAGTCGGCTGCCGATCGTGCAGCTGTGTCGGCAGTCATGATTTCGATTCGCCATGAAACCTGGGATCTTCATGGAGAGACCCTGTTCAATCCAGGTGGATATTGCGATCGGTGCGTTTAGGGCGACCAAAACTACTTCGCCAATGCGCAGCTAGTCTGGAAACGGCTAGATATGGGGTCTCTTCTTCAATCTCCGACCCTGCATTGGCCTGACGTTATAGTATCAAACCTTAAGATAGTCTTTCAGTGAAAGGCGAAGTGCCACAATATATAAAGCACAGTAAAAGTTCTTGATCCACAGGTGGTCGCTAATTCCCCACTGGCCAGGCGGCTCATGAAGACCCCCTGTCTATATATAGGCTGCGGACATTCAATGAATCATTGAATCATAACAGTCGCCATACTGAGAACATAGTGACGGTGGACTAAACCTAAAGATATGTCAAGCTTCACTTATGGCTGACTCACCCGGACCCCGTAGTTAAGACTGCTAAGTAGTTCGTTATACCTTAGCCTCTCTCATCTTCCAGTCCTGTCTATTATCTGGAAATCGTGTCTTGAATGCATTTAAGCTCCAGTTTGACCTAAGTCGACGGAATCTAGCTCTCTTGAAAAAGCAACCAAGGCTTATGGAAAGCCACGTAAGTCATAACAATGCACATCCAAGTATTCTACCTTCATTCGGTCTAACTGATGATGTGTGTGTCCAGGCCACTAGAGTCCCAGAGGGATGGACCTGTGATCCGGACGACCTGCAGAGGTTCTTTAACCCCGGAACCGCGGAGTGGGAGATCGCCCAGTACTACGGGCTGACTGACCCCAGACTGGTACTTATGCAGACTCCTAATAGCGGTGAAATGGGGTACATTCTCCTTTCCAAAGGACGATACTATGGTGGGGACTTGATGTCGGATTCTATGTTCGAGATAACAAGGCCTGAGACCTTACGTGGAATTATGCGCGCCATTGGTGAAGAGGACTTTCAAGGTCTCAGAAAGAAGGAACTCAAACCTATGGAGTTGACGATGGAGGAATGTACCCAGGGCGCTGAGGGTATTTGAAGGAACAAGTATGCAGTCCTGTTGGAGCAACCAAGCGGAACTTTTACCTTCCGCTCACTGCTGCTTTCGGACAGTGGTGCATGAAGTTCATCGTGGTGACCTTGAAATACACACCTAAAGTGTACCAGTGTAGCTGGAACGATGGAGGGGAGAGGATATGCCGTCGTTCTAGGGTTGGAATCTAGGTCTGGAACCGGGTCGGGGCGGGGCGGCTGCAGCGGGGAACCCGATCCACTCGACTATCAAATATGATGTTCTCCAACAGGCGCAGCAAAGTTCACAGTATCAAATACATCGAACTATATCAAGACAACATAGTCAACATGAGTTTTGTCCCTTGTCATTGTTTTCCAGTGAAGACTTCTTCTTCTTCTTCTTCATCGTAACGAATCGACGCGGACTCCTGGGGCGAATTAGTAAATCCTGAATTCGCCTCGTTCATATGCGGAATCGTGAGCCCTACAATAATAGACTAATTAGAACAGGCATTCTGAGATATCAGACAATGACGTAGACGTAGAGGCTAAGCAATCGTCACATCTATGTTCTCAGGGGATAAACTGATCATCTCGCTATCGTTGAAAGGCGCTGAATACCGCGCAGCTGTCCGATTTCACCACAGCAGACAAGTAGCCAGAAGGTGACAAGGTCAAATTGAAGCCTCTCAGACCTTTCTCAGAGGGACGATGGTAAGACAGTTACCAAGTTACAATGTTTTTAAGCACCTTCTCGCAGCCTAAATTAACGCTCGTTTACTAGGCCACCCACATAGTAAACCTTAGTACTTTGCACTAGCCTTGGATCAGCGAAGAGGCTCCATACTAAAGTCTTATGAGCAATATATAAGAAGTAAAAAGTATCGTAATGATAAAGGAATTAATCTATATTATTTCTTTCTCTCTTCTAAATCGAGTCCCTCATAATGTCTTTGTATTTCCACAAAAGGAGAACCAGTTTGAATAACCATCTAAAAGCTAAGTCAACAGGTGAGACGTATAATAACATAATTAATTTGAAAAACTGTCAAGGGTTGGTAACACAAGGCTACCTAGGCCAAACTGACTAGAGGGTGAATTGAGTGAGTCTTGGATATATTTGCTTTGTTTTCTAAAGCAAAAGGAAAGAAAGAAAGGATACATATATACAAGAGATACCAGGCCATCTGAAAGGAAAATCTCGAGGATGTGAACTGGTTTGATATAGATCTTGAAAGTAACCGAACAAAATATTACTCGAAGATTTAGGACGCTGGTATTGTAACATGGGATATCTAAATATTGGATTACCCAGGAGGAAGCCTAAGATATAAGATCCCTGAATCGGTAGGTTGATAGAACTGTATACACTAGTCATGCTGACTGGGTAACAACGTATATATTCACTCTGCCATTCGAGTCCTAGTGTTTTCCCTAGGTCTTACCCCGCAGAATCGACCCCCAACTTTCTTCATTATCCCCCCTTTGTATCTCCTCCCCTCACTTCTCCCCACATCCACGCTCATCTCCAAACGATCCTCCCATCCACAAACTTAGTCTCTCTCTATTATCATCTTCGAATCCTCAACAATGGCCAGTTTCATCAAAGAGCGCGACGTTAGTATAATCCCAAGCTCCTCAACGTAAGATCTCAACTAACAGGAAGCCAAAGTTCGGTCCAGTTCCCATCTTCGCAGATGCTCTTGGCGAATTCTATCTCAACGAACTTACTGCGATTGAAGAACAGTACCACAAGCTCCCCGATGTAGTTCTGCTGGATGCTAAGTTCAAAACGAGCTCCCTATGGCTGTCAGTGGCCCTATGCTATTCAAATGATCGAATACTGATAACGTTCTGGGACTAGCACACTGCCACTGAACGGACCACCAAGGAGGAGAGAAAGACCGCATTTGCAAATATGCTTAGAGTGGCACGGGTTCCCCGCTGGACCCGACCCGAACCCGCCCCAACCCGGCTCCGGGTCGGGGGCGGGGAACCCGAGCGGGTTTTTCTTAGTATTACAATATCGATTTTCTAGATTTTTTCTAGATTTTTATATAGATCTAGAGCTTAAACAGTTTTTATACTAGAATTATTTAGGTAAGGTCTATGATTAATAAGCGACACCTTACCTAATAAGGTTTAGGCTAAGTTTGGCGGGGAACCCGCGGGTCGGGGAGGCCTAAACCTAGCGGGTTTTGGGTCGGGTGCGGGGAGACCTATCAAAAACCCGACCCGCGTGCAACTCTACTACTAGATAAGATTACAAGTAGCGGTATATTATAAGAGGTAGAGAGTTACCGACTTTCTATAGGTCTGGGGGGTAGCTATGGTCTTTATATATATATTGGGTCAGGCAGCTCTTTTAGTGGATCTACAGGGTTCTCCTACACCCGGTAGCTCTCCTACATAGCAGTACATCGTAGCCACGATCACAAAGTACTTATACATTACTTTTCTAGTACCTCTCAAGCCAGTCTTCAAAGAGTTGCTACTACTAATTTATTTAAATAATCCCAGAGTACTGAGGTACAGAGACTAGAGAAGAAGTTAAAAATTAAGAAACTTAAAACTGAATTACTTACAAAACAGATTAAAATCAGAAAGAAAGAGCAAGAGTTATATAAATTAGAGTTAGAAAATAAAGACTAGTTCATTATTAATCAGTTTCCAAGTAGTTTAGAAGTAGTTACGAAGTAGTTACGAAGTAGTTCTATTAGTATTATTTACCTGTATAGATATATATATAGTTATATTATATACACTATGTTGTGCCTAAAAGCACCGAGAGTATTGTAGAGGAAGTTGTTTTGTTCATTCATCTATCTAAGCAACCGATAAGCGGCCGCCATACCGCCTTTCCTACCGCTTTCGGCAGAATACATGAAAGCCACAACACACTACATTGTCACACTACTCAGCAAAATTAGTTATAGAATTATTCGAATTATTAATTTTTATTACTTAATAAGTACTTTACAAGCAGTTAAACTACTATAGAAAGCCTACCAAGTAGTTTCTAAGTAGCTTTGATACACTGTTTTCTTTTATAAAATATTTTGTACAGACAGATAGTAAAGGTATTGAAAATAAAAAAGTGGAAAGAAAAATACAAGTATATCATAGACGTGGAGTTTAGGGCACGGGCCATATTCCACCTGCCCAGCTGCCTGAGGCAGACTAGCGCGTCGAACCCAACTAGGTGTAACGTTCTTGGTGGTAGACGGATCAGGTCCTTGCAGAAACTTTGCATTGCATAAACGCGCGTGCTACTCTGTACACTCAGATCCAGGAGCTCTGCCTACTAGTCAGGGATCCTGAGTTACAGAGTCTTAGGACAATTCGATATCTTGTCTGAGAGAGCTATCACACGTGACCCGCACGTTGTTTAACTAACATAACGTAATCCACGGCCGAGCCGGCAGGTTTTCAAACTATCTACCAGTATTTGAAGCTTTTCAACAACAAACGCCATTAAATTTGACTTATTAAAAATATAGAAAAATCGCTATATATTAGGACAATTTTGAATAGTATGTCTGATGATCCCACAGCCGCTGCAGTATTGAGGAGCCCGTCGTCGAGGCACAGGTGTAGGTTGCTCAGGCTGTTCATTAAACTGTGTATTAAGCTGCTGAACGCGATTGTCTTCTTCCTATACTATTAAAAGGCTATTGTTCCCTATTATAGCGCGTTTCCTAGCTTTTTTCTTATATTTCTGCTTATTCTCAGCTTGTACAGCCTTGATTTCTTGTTGTAAGAGAAGATTGGTATATATAGCCATTTGCGCAACTTTTTGAAGGTGTCAAATATAAGCAATTGGACTGCTAGAGAGCTTCTGTTTTCTATTAAGACTGTTTTATAGACTGCGTACTTTCCGATCTAGCTGGCGAGTATTCTGCGGAGTCTGAAAAGTAGAAGATATTGAGCCTTCAGCTAATGGTGGTGTTGGTATATGTAGTTGAAACGTGAGCTTGGAAAGAACATATTCTTAATTAAATAGCTTAAGCCTTGCTCCTGCAAAACCACTGCAGATCTTTACTGAAGTAGCTACTTTAGTATATATATCGGAATATAAAGATAGGAAGTCTTCTTTATTAATATAATTGTTGCCGGCAACCATATATTCTTCAAGAAGCTTTCTATACACGCTATTAAGCGGGCCAAAAATACCTATATCAAGCGGTTGGAGAAGCTGTGAAGCATGAGCAGGCATACAGAGACATATTATTATATTCTGTCCACAAAAATTATTAAATCAGCAGTTAAATGACTGCTATGGCCATCAAGAATAAGTAGTCACTTAGTACCAGTCATAAAACGGTTATAAAATAGTTCAAAGATATCCTTTAGCCTTTTAAAACCAATTTTATTGGTTGTCCAGCTATTTTGACTAGTTGTAATCTACCGGTCTTTAATAAGCTTAGGCTCTTGAAACCAGGCAGCTTGTTGATAGCTTGCCTTCAGTATAGTAACTGGTGGAATAGATATATCTCTTGAACTGACTACTTTAATAACTGTAACCTATTTACAATTGCCCTAAATTATTCTGTGTGGTCGCTCACTGCGCTTAACTACAGTAATTACTTTGGAAGTAGAGCAGAGTCCCATTGCAAAGCCAGTCTCGTCAAAGTTCCAGATATCACCTTTATATATACCATGTTCTTGAATAGCTGCTTGTACAGTCTGGAACCAGGGTATTATAACCTTTAGATCATCTTGTTTTGCGCGTTGATATGTCATTCGTCTTGTATATTGTGTACATAGCTCAGGATGGCGTTTAACAGATTTATAAGACCGGTTGATTCCAAGAGTTGGTGTTCCTGAATCTACCTTACGTTATCGGCTTCAAGGCCATACTGCACGATCGAAAACAAGCGCCAATAGTCACAAACTGACTGAGTTCGAAGAAGAATCACTTAAAAAGCGATTATTAGATACAGATAAGCGAGGATTTTCAATTCGACCCGAGTTTCTATGTGGAATGGCTCAAGTACTATACTATAATTGTTTACAAAATTCTACTGCAAATATCTCAGCAGCTTGTAATTTTGACTTAATCTTCTGACTTTTGTAGGCAGAAATGGCCATTTCAATACGCTTTTCTTTAGTATAAGGCATTTTCTAATAAAAACGATATTTAACGCGTTGATAAATGTTGATTAGATTATTTTATGGGGGAGCGGGAAAAATTCGCAACTTGGTAGTCGATTACGTTAGTTAATTAAGTTACTAGTATGAAGGGCCTACAAAGCAGTCATGGTGGTGCCTGTTAAGATATGTGACAATACTGGCTACAGGGGATGCTCCCATCATTTATTGTTTGAAAGCATTTTGCGATCTCTTGATTGCTAACAAAAAGCAAAGCGATCGGATCATGGCTAAGGGCTTACTGTACAGTACCTTTACCGTATACAACGCGTGGGAAATCTCCCCCACACTTTGTCTTTTTTTTTTTTTTTTTTTTTTGGACAAAATACAGACAGTCCAGATACCGTGGTTCTCACATGAGCAAACCCTGAAACAAAGAATGGAAATACAAATCCGACCCAAGTTACCCTGGCGTGCATCTGACACAATCCTGCTGGTCTGGCTAGAATACGTGATCAGCACGGTCACCATCTGCATACCCCTACACCTGTCTTTGGCTCACACACAGGCCTTTACTAATGTCACCTAGGGCTTGTTTGTGTCCTTCTGGCCTTTGATCACGATCGATATCTACCGAAACTGGCGCCGTTCTGGGATGTCGACAGTTAACCGTTGTCAGTATATTGCCATTTTTTGTTTTACCAAGTATCATCGAATCCTAATGCATTAGGTATAGTATACGGACTCCTTAACCGAGAAACTGAACCTAAAAGCACACATGCAAGAGGCAGATGCACGTGAACGGCGGATAGAGTGGGGTATAGAGACCAATCCTTTACGGGAAAGGGATGTTCATTTCAGGATTCTGGTGAGGTGGTTCCTTGTCCGCGGTTAGGTTCTTGAGGCTAGATATAGCATTCTGTTTACTGTCTAGGAGGTTGTAATCGTTGTATCTACCATAAATATTGCCAATACCTATATATGTTCATCGCTTGAAAATGTGAGACACATTCAGCCCAAATTCATTGGTGAACCGCTTATCCATCTCAATTGCCTATATGACCGTGCCCTAATGTGTTAGTAGAGACAGAACCAAATACTCCTGCATACGCTAAGCATGGAAACCCCATTGCAACTAACATTAGTGAATGAACAGATTAACTAAAGATAAATTATGGTCAACAGTATGTTCCTATGTTCCTCTACTTACACAGCTTGTGCTTCTATACGATACAAGTCTTGGCACTTCTAAAGATAAAGCTGCGAATTGTATATATTTACTTTCCTATATACTCTACTGCCTACCTCCTCAAAGGTTAGATCTCTTGTCTCTGTTACAGATCTGCGGAGTCTTGGGATGACAGTCTCTCGCTCATGTTGTGTCAGATGGAGAACGCATAGCTCACGACCTGTAAGCTTCTAAATGACATGGTGAGCCTTTGTCTAGACGCCCCTATTAAAAACCAGAGCAGGTAATATCGGAGCATCATTATGGTGTGTTTGAGAGAAATAGCATTGAACATATGGAGATAGTGCCAAGCTTAGAGAACATTTGTAGGTATTGCGGGGTTGTTGGAGAAACCGTTCTAGACTAAGAGGGGAAAAGCGATCTAAAATACGATCACATAATAGTTGCGGGGAATGGTAAATTCAGCAAGGACATAGAAATACTTCCCCCCTCATCTCTTTCATTTATCTCGCCAACATCTGCAGATTACACAGATTGACCAAGTACCTTCATATTCCCAATTGCCCGTATATTTGTCTTTTCGTGGTAAACAATGTCTCGTCCGACTCTCGATCATATAGTGATTCTCATCCCTCATGACGATCTCCTCACTCTATCCGACCGCCTCCAACCTTACTTTGTTATAGCGCCAGGCGGAACCCATGCCGATGGACTGACCTCGAATAAATTGATTCTCCTCCCGGATGGAGTGTACATCGAATTCATCGCCTTCGCCAAGGATGCCGATCCCGAGCAACGCAGAAAGCATCGCTGGGGAAATTTAAAGGAAAACACGATCATCGACTGGGCCCTCACATTGCCGAGCGAGAGCGACTTTGCTGCCGTCCAGCAGCGAGTTCTCGACTCGAGTGCTGGCTTTTCCTACCAAGACCCGATTCCTGGAGGCCGAAAGAGGGAGGACGGAGTCAGCTTGGAATGGGCCATCAGCGCTGCGAGCGATACCCAAGGCAGTGCAATCATCCCAGGGCATTTGCCGTTTTGGTGCTTCGACAGGACCCCTCGGCACTTGCGGGTGCCCTACCAGGAGCAATTCGAACTGACCCAGCATCCCAGTGGGGTGTTAGGAATATCTTCGGTCTCTGTGTCTGTTCCGGAGGCACGGGTTTCCGATCTATCGACGGTATATGATGCGATCTACCCCTCCGACGGTTCAACGGGGTTGGCGCCTCGAAACTGGCATTATGAGGTTCCCGCGGGATTGCAAGAAGGAAGGCACACTATCTCGCTGTCTGCAAATGAAGGGGAAGCAGCGGTCACACTCACCTTGTATGGGGAAATGCAATGGCAAGTTGAACTTCTGCCAGGGCTTACAGTTACGGTAGAGAGAATATAGATATGTTCCTCATTTGTGTGATGTGTACGTTGGGAATAGAATTCATAGCAAAATAAGAGACGACACGCACGTGTCCGCCAAGAAGAAGACAGCCATGCCGCCAGCTTCGGCTCTTTAGGTACCCGAGAGTCGTAGAAACTTACATTCGTACGAATTCCAAGTTGGATTTGCTCAATACCAACGCAAGCACCGTGAGGTATAGCTAGAGTCGAAACCAGTTTAACCACTCGCCAGTCTTCAGTGTTTCCTGAGCCGCAATGCCAATTAATACTTATTTATACACCTAAGGAAATGATATTCATTTAAAAGACGGAAGTGAACCTATACACCTGTCACCTCCTCGCCCGACCATGACATTCCGCCCTTCGATTAGTAGTGCACAGACAAATAAAAGGGAACTATGTAAACAAGCATTCACAAGTAACTATTATAGGACGGACCAATTTATTAATCAGTGTTAAATGATTCAAACCCCAAAAAAGTTGGCGTCAATTCAGTGTAAGAGGAATACTGTACTATTGCCAATTATTGGATGATCATGCAATATTCAATGCATTAAGTGTGTTGTAGTCACGCCACCGTCACCTGACTATTTGTCGTGAGTTGAACAATAGAACTGTTAGGGTTATCGATCGCTTATATTAAAAGTAGACCCGGTACTATAGACTCAGCAAGTCTCATCCTATAAATTGTGGTGTAGGGGGCAAATTATTGCTATTATTGACAACTTACCATACTAAATCGGTAGGTAAATGGTGTTACGACTCTGTTGAAGTTGGATATAGATGCACAAGCTTATATCACCCGTATCGTGTAACTATAGCAGAGCAGAAACAAAAACATGAATAAATATGATATCAAGCTGATAAGGGTAGTTTTGTCATGCTTTCCGCTAATAATGGAACCAGTACCCGCCTGTCTTTTAATAATATAAACTATGGGGCGAAGCAAAGAAAATATAGCGGTGTGCAACCGGCTAGTTTGCGAAGTGTGCAGTATGCTCTGCTGTAGATCACTAGCAGTGAAACCCATAGAGTTCACTAGTTTCGTTAGAATAGTCCTATATGTATAGAGCAAATAATACTATTTTCCACTCATCTAAGCGGAATATAAAGCGCAAGCATATATCCCTATAAATGACACTCTACACAGGCAGCTTGAAAACTTCATCTTCTCTTTTTCACTTTCCCTCCTCTCTTCTACACGCAGAATACGGTTCCGCATAGCTTGCCACACATCGAAAATTCTTCAAATATGCGGCTTTCATTGGTCATCATTGCCTTCTTTTATGGCGCCGTAATGGCAGCCCCGATTGAGAACGGTCCGGGTACGAATCAAGTGAAACCTGATGGTCCAACGGGAGGTATTGGCCAAGCTTTTGGTAACGCTGCTTCGAGTGTTGGAAAAGGCTTTGGTGCCGCCGCTTCGGGTGTTGGCGAAGGTATTGGTTCCGCTGCTAATTAAAGACATGGAAGGGCTTCTCGGTTGGTAATATGTGAGTGGCTTTACTTTTTACTGTGTCTTGTTAATTCTTTTTTTTTTTTTTTTTTTTTTTACCTGCGCTCCGAGAGTTTCCCATATATCTGCCAAATTCCAATAGTGATGTTAAGATTAACCATACGTGGTATACTCATTAGGCTTGGTATTATAGAATTGTTTGGCGACGGGGATATGGTTGTGGGAAAGGATCCAGTTAGAAGCTCTAGTTGGGATAACTAGAGAAGTGGATGGTGGCGCCACCAATTTCCGGAAGTACTGTATACTCAGCTTCCACTGCCGTTGAAACGGTCTTCAGGTTGAAATTTGTACATTAATGCCATCATATATACTTCGTCCACCCGGAGCGCTGGGAACCAAGCCCAGTAGATTTTGGCATTGGGAGGAAGACGCTGCCTTTGGTATTCTTGCTAGACATTCAATGTATTAGATTCGTAGTTCTCGATTGAATTCAAGCGGAATAAATTAACCTTTCTCTCAAGCTAGCAACAGGAGTCTTGTTCGTCAGTGTTATAGTCTCTGAAAATAATACTTATTGGCGCTATCGATCTAGAATTGTACGTGCATCACGTTTATACAACCCCCCTCCAGGTGGCCATTCCATAGCCCGTCACATTAGCGTCAGGGCCATGTGGATCTCAACAATGGGGTCATATCTCTCACTGTGTGAGTGTCTACTCCTGGTATCACCTTGAGTACATCCTCCCGAAACTTGAAGGATGGACTAAAAATAAAGATCGATATCTGGATGGGTTTTGGTCTCTTTAACTTCTATGTGGATGTTCATGCCCTTGTGAGATTCAGGTCACCCATGTATGTTTTAATTACCTCACCAGCCGGCGGGACGGACGGAGTAGTAGGATTTGGCTGATGTAGGAGGTCAAAGGTTCACCATCGGGGTTTCAACTCATCCATTAACAAAAGCCCAAGGTGTATACAATTGGCAAGGGACGCCACTCACGTTGGCTCCTGCTTATTAACCTCACGAGCCAAATAGAGAGATTGAGCTTTTCAGCTGGACATAGTTAAAAAAAATATCAGATAACTTCTGGCCTTTTGTGAAAGGGTAAATGAAATATTAAAGTGAGTACAATCAGAAACACATGGGTTTTACGCGTCACTCAAAGACCAGCATGTTGGCATTTTACCAGCTGATTGAGCTTCTTGTGTACAAGATGTCCGCCATTGAAAAAGCGCGGGACAAAGGGCGGCCAATAGCTTAGCCTCTAGGAGGATAAACACCAAGCCGGATATGGCCGGAGTCAGAGCGCAGCATGTCACAAGGGATGGTTCTCCACCCGCAGAATACGCCATGGGCTATTACCTTCCCTCTCTTTGCTGTCAAAAAGTTTTGACAGAGAAACACTGAAGATAGACAGCCATTCTCAACAATACTAACATGGTATTAGGACTCCACTCGCGGTGAGTGGTGTCCTAATACCATACTGGAAGTACCAAAACACAAAGGCTACATCGACTGTGGATTACTGTTTGACTGTCGGATTGGTCTGGCGTACCTTCCTTTGAGGCTTTAACTTTTTGCCAATTTGTAGCCGGCTTTCTCAGATCACGCAATTGTGAAAGGCTATTGGTGGTAACTGAAATGTAACACATTGGTGCCTAACGCAATAATATCAAGCAAACGTTATCTGAACAAATGGGGGGGGAGCATAGGTATCCTGTAAAACGTACATCAGTTTAATATCCTCAGCGCATATAGAGCTCGCCACGATGCCTAATTCTTCATCGTAGCCTTCAATCCCATATCTCGCTTTTATCGGCGTTGGCGGAATATGGAGGGATCGATCATTCTCCCAGTGAGAAGCCTTTGAGCAAAGACACGGCCGAGTCAATCCAAGGATCAGACTGTAGTAAATTTGGGATACACGTCTTCATTGCCGGGGGGTTAAGATCCCGGATGTTCTCAAAAGGAAAGAACAAACACAGGACAATAAATAATCTCTGCCTATTGGTGGGGAGTGATGACCGGGGACAATGTTCAGTTTGGACCTCTTGAGTTGTGATATATGATAGAAGCGGTGCTCTATTTCCTTTATATTTATCGGGTAAGCCTAAATATCCCTAGTCTGGATATTGCTTCACTTTTAGTAGAACACAGCTGGAGGTTATTCATTGTACTCTTCTATGTATCTTAGAAGATGTCTAACTGAGTATCTCCCCCCTCGAAGTAAACCGCCAACGGACGATTAGACGGTGTGAACCCCACATTCCAGACAGCATCTGCTCCTGTCAGAAGGGCCTTAGTCGCTCCAGATTCATGATTGACTAAATACACCGAGCCATTAGTGTTCCCAATGAGAATATTTTCGTCATCTGCTACCAACGAAATGACACTTCCGCCTTTCTCTTCAGATATAGTCCGACCCGACGCTTTATCCAAAGACCACACTTTCACCAAGCCAGAACTATCCGCAGCGATAAGAGTATCCTCTCGTAAGAGTAACCGGCTGACAACCCCACTGTGGCCCGAAAGAGCTCCTAGACAAGCTCTAGGAACGTGGTTAGTCGACTATCGTGGAGCAAATAGATAGCAAAAAACAAACCCTGAGCGGGGATCCCAAACCCGGATAGTTGAATCCAAACTGCCTGTGACGATACGAGATCCATTAAAACATAAATCATACAAAGCCCCCGTATGACCTTTGAGCACATGGAGACATTGCCCGGTGTGAATATCCCAGACCCGCGCTTCCCCGTCATAACCTCCTGAAACGAGCACCCCGCCGTGCATTTTGAGGCATCGCACTGTCTTTGTGTGCCCTTTTAGAATCAACTTTGGATTGGTTGCATCAGAGTCCAAGTCCCAAATGCAGATGGTCGAGTCGCGACTACCGGAGATAAGCGTGGTATCATCTACTATCAGGAGGCTGCGGACAGTTGCAGTATGACCCTTCAGTGAGCGCATGACCGACCTAGAACAAATTAGCAAGTTTTATCCAGGATTGCTCGGCTCGAAGTTAGTCACTTTGTCTCTATGTTCCATATCCGGAGCTCCCCCTCTGTTCCACCCGTTATTAAGAGATTCTTATCTTCGCGTAAGGCGAGAGACCAAGTGATATTCCCCTTCTCTTGCAGTGTGGTTAGGGAGTTATCAGCAAAGTTGAATATGTATAGAGCAGATTCTTTTGCGATCACGAAGTACGTAGTTCCCATCTCGCACGCTGTCACAGCCAGGCCATCGCGCGGAAAGGTCTTGTGGATGGTGGGCTCGCAAGCCTCGGTTGGAATGCTGGAAGCCATGACGGGTCGAAATAAGAATGGTTGATTTCTATACTGCCGCAAATAGACTAAGGGGATATCATAATTATAATAACTGCGGGCGAACAAGAATAAATAGACGGGGTCCAGAAGGATGCCTTGGGGCCAAACTCAGCCTCAATCTCACGCTGACACCGGTGGGGCCACCATTGCAGATCTTTGAAACTTTAGGTTAAATAAACCAGGATGACATTCCTTTAGAATTTGCTTGAAACCTGTTTTGAAACTACCCTTATAGGCCGCAACTCTCAGATCTCCTTGACACCAGGAAGCCGGCACACCAATGAGCCGGATATATCTATCAACCGATGAATGGCAATGATATTTCTGATCATTCTGACTCGTTTAGATACAACGACAACTACCCAGGACTATGATACTATCATAAGTTTAAACTGCTAGATTTGCTCTGCGTATCATTCGTTATGGAATTCAAGAGGTGCTGCGACCTGAGTACGACTTCATTAAAGTAGGAGTTATTCATTATTATATGTCTATTAGGCCATTCACAGATAAAGCCTCAAGCCAGCCTCAACTAAAACACAATGTAGAAAGATATCGCCCCAAAAGCAGCCGTTGAAGACCCGGAACTGTTGCCATGGATTTAAGAAGCACAAACTCCGACAAGACTCTTTTTCAACCATTCTACGCTCTTACTATCACAACCCTGAACTTGACAATGGAAAGTCCCTCTCGCCTTGAGACTCATAGTAGTGCTGATGTGCTGTAGGAACGTGCTTATATGTAATAGCTCGATTTCCTGGCCGCAAGACATATCGAAAATAATTTCCTCAATCTCATGCTTCTTCGGAATAGCCTTACAGGCAGTTCTCCACCTCTTTTCAAGTATAGACATGTTCGGCCCTTTAATAGAGCCGTATTTCTCTTCCAGAGTCAACTGTTTTGACGAAATGGGACGTAGGATCCTGAGACGTAGTTTGCGCATCCCATTGCGTGTCTCCACATTTTCAGGAATGGTATTTTCGAAAATTTTCTTTAGTTCATTGGGATCTCGAAAGACGAAGACATGCGTTGACAGGGCTTGTCGAATATCATCTAATGGTATCTCCGTGGTGGCTGAAATGACTGGGTCGACGTTAAAGCACGCAACGTTTCCAAGACTGTTGATGGTGATGAGCACTTCGGTAGCCATATTGTATTGGTAGGGTGGAGAACTAACAGTGCTCGTTAAGTCGGCCGTCCACTAGATAAGTATTAGATAGTGTGGTACTTAAGTCTGATCGAAGGGAACATGACCTGGTATATGTGGACAGCCAGGGCTCTACATTGAAGACATATGGTGGGTAGAGAAGGGCGGGACCCAACTGAGGAACCAGAGAAGATTGACTAAGACATTGAACCACTATACAATCTACAGTATGATTGTAACTAGTGCATATATGGATGGGTATATGGATGATGATCAGTGACGTATCGCAAGGGGAGAAGAGAGGGGAAGGGAGTTCACCTTTTTTACGTTGGTTTGCCGGGCTCCTTATTCATGCCTCAAAGTGATTACTGGGAATATGTTAACAACTAGGACAGATGTCTATGATTTCGCATTTGCATGTTATTAGCTGGAGCTCCTTCCGTCTACTATAGTAATCCCGAACAGGACTCATATTGGCTGCTCTATCTATCGCTATGCAGGGGGGCATGCTTTCTAGTCTATGCAGGTGCTGCACTGGTTCTGCTTCGTGTAACTCCACACGATGTTTCAACTGAATCAGAGCGACAGACAGGAGGCAATACTCTTGACGAGGCTCAAATACTTCCGGGCCCCGCTTCCTACTGGTCCGAGCCAGATATGTAACAGTTAAGATCTGCCTTTGAACCTTGGCTAAATAGACTAGTAGAGTTAAAGATATGAATAGATCGATGATATATGGATGGATGAGATACAGCAAAGTCAGGACCAGTTCATCCTTACGATGTATGTTTAATAAATTGTTGTAGACAGACAATTATGTATATATTTCATAGAGCTGAGTTGCACACCACCTCAAGGACGTCTGTGGTCGTGTCAGCTGTCGCGTGTGCGAGGCGCACTGCTTTCTCTTCCGCTTGATACGCATTGATGACCCTTGTTTCTTCAAGAAGCAATTTCACAACATTGACGTGTCCATTTCGTATGGCGAACTCCAAAGGTCCCGAGTTATTCTCGTCCTCCAACACTGGATTAATATCGTTTCGGTCGAGTAAGATGCGCACTACCTGGTCATGTCCATTTTTGGCTGCGACAGACAGGGGTGTCTCACCGCATACATCTTGAGCATTGAGGTCAAGGCTGTCCTTCGCAAGTAAGAACATGACAACGCCATGGTGTCCATTTCTGGCCGCATGGTGAAGTGGTGTTCGGCCGCTTTTATCCCTGGAGTTAACCCGTATGCAGTCGTGGCTTAATATCGAACTCAGGATTTTTTCTTCTCCTTCTCCAGAGGCCCATGCCAGTGGGGTTTGGCCGAGTCGGTTTGGATAGTCTAACTCAATCCCTCCTGTCTCAAGTAGTAATCGAGTTACGTGGAGGTGGCGTTTATCAATCGATAGCCAAAGCAAGGATCGGCCGGGTGCATTTGTAAAGCGCAGATTGAAGTGCTCGGTTTCGAGCAGCACTTTGACTATGTTGGCATCGCCAATTTCCACGGCTTCCCACAAGATACTTTGACCATGGCGATTCCGGTAATCGGAGCAATTTACTCCCCGTGCGATGAGGGCCTTTAGAGCCGCCGAAGACCCAGAGTTGACCGCCGGAAGAAGAAAGCCAAGTCCCCCATTTTGGAATGACTCGAAACTAACATGACGATTGGCAACTAGGGCTACAATAGCCTTTTCACTCTTTCTAATAAATGCTTCCAAGAGGAGTCTCTCTGGCCCTGGGTACTGATTTGTGAAGTCCGTACAGGTGAGGAGTTCATGAATGGATGAGTGCGCATTTCTCGTCGCCAAAGCCAATGGTGTGCAACCATTATCATCCAGCGAGTTGGGATCAGCATCATGAGCCAGCAACAGCTTCACCATATCGGTATGGCCCTTCTGTGCAGCAACATGAAGTGGTGTACGGCTATGGTTATTCACAGAGTTAGGGTCAGCTTTATGAGCAATTAGCAATTTCGCAACATCGGTGTTCCCCTTCTTTGCAGCCACGTGAAGTGGTGTGCAGCCATGGTCATCCACAGCGGAAGGATCAGCGTTATGTTCAAGTAACAGCTCCACAACATTGGTGTTTGGCTTCTCTGCAGCAATATGAAGTGGTGTGCGGCCATGATTATCCAAAGAGGGAGGATCAGCATTATAAGCGATCAATAGCTTCACAATATCGGTATCTCCATGCAGAGCAGCCATTTGAAGTGGTGTGCAGCCATAATTATCCGAAGCGTAAGGATCAGCATTATGAGAAATCAGTAGCTTCACAATGCTGGCGTTTCCCTTCTGTGCAGCAATGAGAAGTGGCGTGTAGCCCCACCTGTTCCTATGGTTGGTACTCAAATTACGGTCACAGAGAAGCTGCACAACCTGCTCGTGTTTATTACGCACAGCAGCAAATAAAGGTGTCTCGCCCCGAAAGTCCTCTGCTTCAATATTGACCCCTTCTGAGATTAGTAACTGTGTAATCTCATCACTTCCACGCTCTGCTGCTAAAAATATTGCATTTTTCCCTTCGTCATCTTGATGGTTTCGGTTGACTGAGGGTATGGTGAGTAAGAGCTCCACGGCATCATTACATCCCCAGCTTGCTGCATGAAGCAATGGTGTCCGGTGCCTTTGATCCACTGCATCTGGATTAGCACCTTTTCGAAGTAGCAGTTCCATCACTCCACGATGGTTGTTTCTAGCTGCATAGCTAAAGAGTGTTCTGCCATCCCTTGTCCATGAATCGATGCTTACAAAATGGTACCCCAGGAATAGATTCACAATCTGTGTATAACCTACTTCCGCTGCTACTGATAATGGCGTGTGGCCTTGGTTATCGCTTGTATTTGGATCAGCGCCTTTTTGGGATAATAGCCTTGCAATGCTCACACGTCCTTGCTTGGCTGCCCAGAATATCGGTGTTCGGCCAAATGAATCCTTTGAGTCGAAATTATGACCTTTAATCAATCCTTCAACAACTGCATGCAAGCCATGATATGTAGCAATATGCAATCCAGACCCTCGGTAATTAGGTGAGTAGGCATCAGACCCAAAGCTTGTGCTTAGCGGTAGTCCGTCTCCATGACTAGACAAAAACGCGACAACTTCCTGAACTGATGTGGTCGCACGTTGTGCATGATATACCCATTTTCTTGCAGCATAGTTATACTTGTAAGATTCCCTAGAGCAACATTGGCGGGGGTCATGCATGTGAAAGCAGATCATGCAAGGAGGGTTTTCAAAAGATAGGTATGTGATGCAAACATTCGTAATATATGCTTCCGTTTCAGAAATTAAAGGCTCTGTCTTTTCGGATTCAAAGTATTCTTGTGCAGTATAATGGATGAGGCGGAGTGTTCCACCCTCCTGGTTGTCAACAATAACGAGCCCCAGACACACAGAAAGCATGTCCTCAATCTGTGGGAAGTTTCTCTCATCGACTTCCAATTGACCGGGTTCCACGGCTAAGAGATAGCGAAGCTCATTTGCAGTCAATGGTGATTCAGCCCAGGTGATCCACAAGAGGACCTTTTTCGCAAGATTCAAATGATCAGACCCCTGGTGTCGAATCCTTTCAATAACTTGATCGTATGCCTTGGAAAGTATTGCTTCTTTCCCACCAGACACGCTATTCTGTAGGCTTCCGAGTTCTGCAAGTGCATCATCGATATCCCTCTCTGTTATCTTAAACTTGAAAGTCTCTAGGTACAGCTTCGCTAGGAGAAACCTGCTTGAGTGCATTAAAAACATATCTCTGCCTCTCTTGTGGGATATATACATACATCCCGTCGACCAATTCTATGATTCCATCTTTGACTTTCTCTTGCAGCCTCAGATTACTTCGCAGTAGTATCGAGTCAGCAAGTTTAATATTAGCGTCTAGATATCGCAACACATCGTCTTCCATGGCACGGATTTCCAGAGTAATACAATCGTTGAACTCACGGGTGATGCTCTCAATGAACCTAGATGTGACAAATATGTTTGCTTGCTGTTCTGCTCGAAGCTGGAAAAGAAGTGCAAGAAGTTCTGATCGGTCCTCGAAGCTACTACATTCATCCACAGCATCGATGACAATAAAGGTCTGCGAAAATTGGGCGATCGTTGACCATAAGAGAGTTCTAATTTCAGCAGACGATGGCCTTGTATCCCGTCTCTGATGATCGAAATGCAGCGTTTCCAACTCACTTGTGGATTCGGATTGGCCTAAAAGCTGCTTTAGCAAGCTCAACGCTGGCGCATCCCCAGCGATTCTGTCTTGTTGTTGGTAGGACAGATACATATACGCAATTCCATATTGCGGTCTTGTAGCGTATCGTGTGTGCAGGTCACGAATGACGACTGCGCTGAGAACAGTCTTCCCTGCCCCTGGCATTCCCGGACAGAATAGAATTTGTCCGCTGCTATTCAACCATTTTTGATACTCTTGTGATGCTAGAAACCATTGGCCAGTCTCAGGTTGGTGTGCTTGAAGGTTGCCATAGTGCTGTGGGCCATATTCAACATCCGTAAGCCAGTCAAGGATTCTCTTCTCCTCTTGTTTTCTTAGACCAGAGTGTATCTGTGAAACATTCTTTTGTGTAGCTGACATAGTATCTAACGCTAAATCCACGCCATCAGTATGCGTGTCGTCCGCGCTGGGGTTGGATGAACTAACTCTGATCGAGTATGTCCTTTATACGGTGGGATGATTTCACCTCCACTGGCAGAACATACTGCAGAAGCTCTTTGGCATAAGCAGCAGCCATGATTGCCGCATAGTCATGCCAGTCATCATTTTTGGTCGAGTCAGCATAATCACAGATTCCTCGTACCACAATGCATGGAAAATTATACAACAGGCCTGCTGCTTCCATTTCAACGCATAGTATCCTCCCATGAAATGTCCTGTTCAGCTCATCGCGCCGAACCTCATCTTTGATCACTTGATTCCCTGAGGCGATAAGGCCGTAGTGGATCTTTACACTTTCATTTACCTGCCTCTTCTCTGATAGTCCAGGAGCCCTCTCTATACTCTCTAGGGATGCAGAGCCTTCTCCTTCTGAAGGGCGGGTGAAACGCTTCGATAAATGGCACCATTTAGCTTTTGCCTCTTCGATGTATTGCTCCATCATGGGGCCATTGAACGGACGGCGAGCAATCAACTTGTTTACTGCAGCTAGCAAGGTATTAGGTGGGTTGTTGAGGGCACTAGTTGGGAAAAACCCAGTGCTCTCTGCCTTGCCCAAGTCGCTTTGAACAACCCCAGGGTGTCCGTTCCCAGGTGTGCCGACCACCACATCACCAAGTCGGACACCTTTCTCGAAAATGCCACCGCCAATTCCAACCATTAAGCCAAATCGAACGGACGGAAATTGCTCAAGCATTTGGGTTCCAACCACTGCGGCTGGTGTTGTGCCATATTTGCCCATGGGTAGACAAGCTATCACAATGTTGTGACCTCCGATTGACCCGAGCGTGTATATGTTTTGGTCATTTCCGCGACTGGGGAGATCTGGGTGTATATCATCCAGTATAGCCATTGCTGCAGTCAACTCTTCGGCTAGGGCACATACCCATCCAATCGTATAGTCCTCATAAGTAAGTCCCCTCTGCCGTTTAAACACCGTGGATGGTTTCGTACTATCTTCATCTTGATCTGGTATATGCCCCCTCTTCATAACGAAAGCGTAACATTCACCCCACCGTTAAATATACGAGATATGGATCCTTGACAACAGGATATAAGCTGAGAGAATGTTGCAACGGAATGATTGAAGCTTGGGCAGAAGAGAAGAGCTTTTCTTACCAAAACTCTGGATAAAGAATACAAAATTCGATGCGGATCTGACAGATGATATAGCCAATATGATACAGAAAGCCACCTCTTTACGGGGCGAGGCTGAACATGACAGACAAAACCATTGCTTTCTTGGTGTAAGCGACGTGGACGAAGGCCCAATCGCTTTCGAGACTAGGCATTTAGCCAGGCGCCTAGCCACAGTGAGGCGCCCTAATATATAATGCTATTCGCTTAGCCCAGAGGTCTGCTACGTATCTTTAGTTCTCAGGCCAATAATATCCTCTAATTTGCCGCTAATTCTCTCCAGCCTCGCTACTATGGTAAACAACCCTTGGGGCAGTGCATCATCCTTGTAATATTGCCCCAGCAACCCAACACTGCCTGTGTGGCTATGACGAGGCTGCCTAGACCAGGCCTTGGCTTCTATTCAGCAACTTACGATATCAAACCAAAGTGATCTTTTTCTTCTCACCAAGCCACAAGCCCAAGCTTTGACATGCTTCAGCCGAGCCTTTCATGCAAAAATACCCAATTCGGGCATAGGAATCAGGACCTTGGCCTGGCGGTCGTCTTACAATCAATCCGTACAGACTTTGATTTGTTTCCGTAATTTCCGTTCTGGATAAAGCGATGATTTCGCACCTATCACCCTCCCGTAGGTCATCCGTTGGATCGTCTCTAATCCACCAAAAGGAAACATCATATCCGTTAGACGATGTGTAGTCATGCAACTTGATGGGCTGGCCGGAAATGATAGGGGAACCACCAGTTCACTGTGCTTCGGCACAATAGGCTTGAAGTATCAAACTTGCCGATACGACTTGTCCATAGGGATTTGCGTCATCCACAAGATCCAATGTGAAATCTACCATGTCTGCAATTGGCTCTGTTGAATGGAGTTCTATTGATGTCATTGGTATCTGGATCTCGCAATCTATAGAGGCCCAGCTCCAAGTCGGAGTCTTGATCAGTCATCCGTCCCCCAGTGAATACCTGTCTCTTCTTTGAGGACAGCTTTCTGGATAGGAGATGACTTTCCATGGTAAGCTCTGGGGTAACTGTTTCCAAAAGTGGCCTGCAACATATTCGCTATGGATGAGGGCTGCCATTTCTTTGGCAATCGCTGAAAATGCTACCAATCTGTCCTTTGCGGGAAATTTTAGATGGCGGCTCGTATAATGTTGTATCAATTCATTCCAAAAGGATCCTTGCTCGTGAAAGTTCTGCCCTGAAAGGGGCCATAATCGTTCTCTCGAGCTCAGGTCGAAACTGCCCTCGCGTAAACTGGAAGGAAAAGATTCAAATGCATTAGACAGCTCCCTACAGTTCCAGAAAACCTGACCGTGGCCCAGACTGAAGACTCGTGGAGAGAAAAATCGCTCTTGAAGAACCCAAGCACGCTCATTAATAGGCAGACTGACTAGATTCCGATCAACGAAGCTTTCTTCTATAACTAGGGATCCTTCCGCACTATCATAATTGATTAACACCCGTCTCTTCCCCTTGACCTTAGTAGTCTTATTGTTCTTGAAACTCTAGTTAATCTTAAGTCTTTACGCTTGTTTCTCAGCAACGAGATGAATATAGACTGAAATTAAAGTATACTTAAAGAGATCTATACAAAAGATGCTGTATGTTTATATTCTTTCCCTGCTCTTTATGGCTGTAGTGCTAACAAGAGAAGTATTAGTTCTTTAAGGTATATATATTGAGCATTAATAGAGAGAATTCCGTAAATAACAAGGATTTTACCCCAGAGAATTATATTGATCTAACCCCGGAGGCACGGCATAGTTATCTAGCTATGTATTAGACATCATACCTGACTGTGATAGAACTCTTGAGGCCGTAGCCAAGGCAGCTAACAGTAAAACTGAAACTATAGCTCTTACCGTTGTCTCTAAATGCACTCCCACCAAAAAGAAAAAAGAGAAAAAGAAAAAAGGTAAAAACGAAGCTTGACTAGTTAACCTTCGGGCTGGTCTGCAGGCTTTTCTTGATTAGGTGGGAAAGGGTGTTAAGCACTGGGGCTTCCTTCATTCTACTCCGTCACTGGCCAACTTGAAGGGCTATAGACAAGTGATAAGTACCAAGCAACCAAGAGCCAGCGCTAACAATGATTTGCCGCAACAATAGAAATACTAGTATATCCAGAAGCCGGTATGAAGAGTTTGATTGAATGAGACAACCGTAAGATCCATGCTGTGCAGCCAGATCGCTTGTCATGACACTAGTGGTTCAATTAGAGCGAAGGATAGCGGCGAGCATCAGATCTACCCCACCGCGTACAGACTTGGGGCTGATAGAGTTCTTTCTAAAAAATATAGCCACTTAACCTTTGTAAAACCATAACAGAAAGTAGTGGGGAATTCGCCACTAGAGGAAGCTAAACTCTACCTCTCTACCTTCGTTTGCCGAGGCCCAGACTGATAAGATGGATAAATAATCAAATGCCTCGGCAAACCGAATCCAATGTATCCAAAACCGACTCATCTCCGGCAAAACAGATATTCTAGGGCATTGGTATAGGAAAGTATCATTGAGAGTCGTCTCAGTTAGTAGAACTACAAACCAACAGACCACATAAAATTTGAATGCAATTAGGGCGATAAATCATGGGTTTCGTTACGTCATGTGATGTAGACGAATTACCACGACAATCTTCGAAGACGTCGAGGTAATCCGCATGTTGTTATTTAGCGACAATCAACGTCAATCCGGATCCGCCACTCAAGGACCCAAGGATTCCCAGCGTTGCATCGTTGACCTCTTTATAGCCGGCACCGGCGATCGCAGACACCATGTCACACGTTGCGCTTAGAAAAGGAAGGACTTTATTCAGCGCATGAACACCGTTAGTGAATGTATGTGACACTGAGAGAGGTTACATGAAGGAAAAACGTCAGAGAGGACTTACCACTTCGTACTTCCTGTTGTTTGGCTATATTTAATCGAGGAATGCCGTTTAATTTAGGACCTCGGCTAGTGCGTTGATATGTAATCTTGATATTCTTTGTCAAAGAAATAGAAACCATCAAGAATTGACAGATGGTGGCAAGGAGAAGAGCATGAACGGATGCCCGTGCTATCTTGGCTTTCCACTTCGATGGGATCGTGAAAGCAATGGTGGAGAGCTAAAGGCCATTTCTCTGTTCAGTTTTATCTCTGGACGAAGATGGATGGACGGTTCAATTTGTATAAGAGGAAGAGAGCAATCTCTCAACTCACGTAGCTAACAAGATCTCCTATTGCGAAAGTTGTATATCCAAGTGCCTTAGCAACTCTCAAAGTCCGGAGAAGAGCTGGTTCGCTTTTACAACAGATCGCATCCCCCATCTGCTGTAAATGCCCCGGCACAGAACAGATGCGAGTGAGCTTGACCGCGATTCCAATCTCCGCACGAAGCCGCATAAAAATTGATTTGTCGAGCCATCGAAGTCTACATTTGTATCTCCCTGACAGTGGCAGGGACAAGAAAAGCCGAATCACATTTTGAACAACTTTTAAGAACTTATCCTGGCCAGCGCTCGTGTTTGTGATAGTATCGAAAAACGTGCGCATTATTGGGGGGGTTGGGGGGAGGTTGTATGGGAACTTCACCGGTCAAGAGAATTACCATAAATAAAATAAATTGGCCTTTGAGACACCGCCATTAATATCGGCATATCGGCAGTATTGGGCTAGGCGTGGCGGCCCGCAAGTGGAGTGAATGAAGCAATAGCACGCCACGAACGGCAACGGCAGCGTCATGGCCCGGGTGAGATGCAAAAGTCGTCTGTGTGGGTCGCCGATTGCGGCGACTTATTCGGACATTTGGAAAATTTAAACACATGGTAAGGATTTTAACGGCATTAATAAATGTAGATATGCAGGTTCCATGTCGATAGACCCTGTGATACAGTAGCTTATCCTCATACCCTAGGTGTATATACCCCATTTTGAAAATAAATATTAGATATGATCATCCACTTAAAACATATTAATCATAGATATCCCACTAGAAATCAGTTCAAACCTAAACGACCAGGTATTCTAATCCTTTTATTAATTCTTTATTTTGAGAATATTGAAAATTAATTGAACCAGTAAGTTTTATATGCTTTGGAGAATATATATCCCAATACTGACATCCTATTCTAAGAAGGTTACCACGTGACCGCCGAATATTTGATTTAAGAAAAGATCTTGCATAGTACAAGTACATCCATTTTCCCACTTATCATGTAGTACAATTAGAACCATCTATTGTAATTTGTAGAGGAATGGCATGGACGTAATATAGTTCATAGCTAACTAGTTCACCCTGATAAGATAAGCGCCGTGATCCGACCGACCCTAACCCCACACCTAAGGCAAGCAGGCAACATCGGGCTGCCTATAGAATACGCTAAACCAACCACTAAAGAAAGACCCACTTCAGAGAATAAGTAGACTGCTCTTTCGTCCTTTCCGCCATGGTCCGACGATCCTTACCCAGTATCTATAACTATGGCTCTATTAACTGATCTGCCCATCGAGATTCATCATCGTTTCCTGTCATTCGTGCATTCTCATCGCGATATTGCCGCACTCTCCATACAATGCCGCTCACTACACGCCCTTTGTGACATGTCCATGCGCAAGAAATACCGGCGAGTGCGTATTGACAACAACGACAAGAGCTTGAATAAAGCATTTGCTATGCTCATGGAAATTCTCAAACGGCCCAGCCTAGGCCGATACGTGCGTCATATCGAATGCAGCAAAGGTCCCCCGTGTTTTGATGACTACACAGAGCGAACGAATTCGCTACGAGACCTAAATGACAAGGAAATGCAGCTCCTTCGGGCCGCAATCTGTAGAGCAGGATTCACAGGCTCAGAGACGGGTCGCATTCTCAATATGGTTATGCAAACAGAAGCCGGCGAGGAAAGGCCATGGCCCCGATACTTGTAATACGCCACCCAATAATTGAGCTGTCGTCGCATAACATGCTGACATTCCATATAGCCCTACTATGAGCCGAGGGGTCTACATTGCACAAGCCATGACTGCTCTGCTTATCTCGGTTTCGCCGGATTTAGAGTTATTAGCAATGCCCCCGCCGTTCTACAACTACACTGGCTTTTACTGGCCTGAACAAAGCCACGATTACGAATCAGTCAAGTTCCCACTGGAAATACTGCTTCGTCAGGTTAATTCTGACCCGAACAATATGCCATTCCTGCAGAATTTGCGAAACGTCTACGTGATTAACAACGACCTTGACGAGGAACGTTTTTACTTGTCTATGGACTTTATGGGAGCTATGCATCTTATTCATTGTTTGCCATCTATAGAGATGGTTAGCACAGATATTTTACAAGAGGATGAGAACGGGGCGCCAAGGCTGGAACCCGGATCATCTAACATTAGTCGATTCGCCATCCATCATTCGTCGCTGGATATATTTTACCTCGCCAATGTCATATGCTCGTCCAAGGTTCTGAGAGAGTTTCAGTACTCTATTGGGGGGAGGGACGTATTAGGCGGAAGTTACTCGAAATTCAATCCCAAGACATTTTTCTTCACGATCTTGCCACACAGAGAGACACTAGAGATATTGGATGTGGATGTGGAGTGTAATATTGGTGAATTCAACAATGAGGCTGTGGAATATGAGGAGTTGGATGATATTTTTGAGCAGTGGGGTGGTCGACGTGATGCGGAGCATGTTTGGACAGGGACGCCGGCGGAATCACTATGGGGGCAGAGCGGATCACTGCGGGAATTTCGCGCATTGAGACGATTGAGCCTCGGTATTCACACTCTGATGTATTATGCTCAGGGTGTCAACCTGGCAAAGAGAGAGAGCTTCAGACTGGCTGATTGCTTGCCGCCGAATTTGGAGTATCTGCTCATTCGGGGGTATCAGAAAGGTCAGGACGAGATGCATGACGCTCAGATTGACTTGCTAGTAGCATGGAAAGATAGTGGACTATCCAGCCTGACAGAGATCCAGGGAATTACGGAGTGCATACCGCATGCTGAGGATGTGGGCAACCCTGATGATGAAGATGCCCCATTGTGGGAAAGAGACGAGGAATGGTCTTCGGATTCTGATTGAATCACTCGAATGAACATAAATAATATATCAAATTTCAAGGTACTCGTCTTAGCTTGATGTGCTTGTCCTTTTTTCAGACATTCGGTGAATTCTGAGTGCCTAAGAAAAGCACAAGTCGCTCAGATTCCATGTCTAAGATACTTAGTCCTTGGAATACATTATAATAGATATCCAATAATGAGAGATGTGTGGTAGAAACATAAAGAACAGAGCTATTGGAGGATCATTTCGACCTAGGGCATACAAGTTATCGAACACTACAACGGTCCGTGCATTTCTCGTCTTGTTCACCGCCAACCAATCATGTTTGAGCAGTGACATGCCCTTGAAAGTCTTGGCATTGGCCATATACCTTTTTTTCTTTCTTTTATAATCCATGTTATTTTGTTTCATTTTTCCATCTTATGTGCCATACGCTTCTCAATGCGATCTAGCTTTTGTATAGGGTTAGCATTCAAGACCGGTTTGACGACTTGCTCCCGGCAACCTCGACTACCACGCGTTAGATATACAACAATGGCACAGCCTGTTGTTGAACGGTTAAGAACGATGGATACACTTGAGAATATCCCTCATCGAGAACATTTGCCAGTTCATATATCTCAATCTCTGGCTTTAACAGAGAGTGAAGATGATTCTGTCATTCGACAAAAGTATCGCCCATTCATTTTGAGCAACACAACAGAAGAGGACTGGGTCAGCGACCTAGAACTGACGACCGCCTTGAAAATGGCCCAGAATGACCTAAAGGATACGAACCAAAGGCTCAAGGTCCTGGTACTGTACGGGAGTCTACGCAAAAGATCATATTCACGGCTTGTGGCATTGGAAGCATGTCGTATCCTCTTCCGACTCGGTTGCGATGTCCGCGTTTTCGACCCGGAGGGACTTCCAGTGAAGAACGACGTTGACCACGGTCACCCCAAGGTACAGGAGCTCCGTGGTCTCAGCCAGTGGAGCGATGGACATGTCTGGGTCTCGCCTGAACAGCACGGTAACCTTGTCAGTATCCCTTTTCCAAGTCTGTTTCATCCCATGAAGTATTATTTTCACCTATTAACTCGTGTTCCGTCTTTAGACCGCAGTCTTCAAGAACCAGATAGATTGGATCCCCCTTAGTACCGGAAGCATTCGCCCAACACAGGGCCGAACACTAGCTATTGCCCAAGTTTGCGGCGGATCACAATCATTTAACGCGGTCAACTCCTTGCGCATTCTCGGTCGCTGGATGCGCATGTTTACTATTCCCAATCAGTCGTCGATCCCGAAGGCATATACCCAGTTCCCAGATGAAGGTCAACCGGGAGACCAGAGGCTCATGCCCAGTAGTAACCGGGACCGATTAGTGGACTGCATGGAGGAATTTGTCAAGTACACGATCTTGATGAGACCTCATATGGACCTTTTTGGGGATCGCTTCAGTGAGAGGGAAGAGAAGAGGGCGAAAGAGGCGAAGTTAAATGGAGCTGTATCCATGTAGGATACTGATGATGCGTACCTTCCAGACATCTTTTTTGTGCACATATCTAGAGGCGTGCGAAGTAATATATTAGAAAGAGATCTGGTCAACGGACTGAAAGATTTAATCACTTAAGCTAAAAATATAGCAAAATAACCTATCTCAACCCATGTAAAGGGCGACACCCTCGGTGATACAGAAGGATTACATCAATAGTGATGCTTCGTCTATCCGAGCATCTAGACTCAAGCCATAGCTAGTTATAGGCTAGTACTTTATCGATAAGGCTTGCAAAATAAGGTACTGCCGGTGAGCCATGGATACTAGCTACAATAACAGCCAGCGGCCTCCTTGGGTAGATGGGAATGAAAAACGAATTATTTAAAGCCCAGTACTTGCTTCGTAGGCTTCATTCCGACCGGATCCCAGGCGAGAAAAAAAAAGAAAACGCCCAATGCGGGGCTCGAACCCGCGACCTTGAGATAACAGACTCCATACAGAATAATCTAAAAGTCTCACGCTCTTCCAACTAAGCTAACCGGGCGGTCTACTTATCCTTGGCCGAATATTTCCCTATAAATAGAACATCTTAAATATAGAGACGAATTTCCTCAATGGTATTATCTATTGATTATCGCTATTTTCAATCCTCCTATTCCTGATGCTGAGAACATAATGGCTCAATGTATGAAACGGTTGAAGTGCTAGGAATTGCTTAGTCAACTGTCAACAGTCTATATTGATAGACTCAGTCCTACCTCCTGGCCTGAAGCGCCTTGTTGGTGATAATATCAGAATGGACTGCCTTGCTATGAATTTCTTCCCAATAAGTGGAATATTCAAGAGTAGATACGCCATGAAATGACGCCGGTTCATACAGAGCCTGGGCCTTTTTTATTTATAATTGATATCTGCTCAACCATCTATCCGCGTACAAAACCTCCGGCAATGTAATTTACATTTCGAACTACCTCTCATCACTGTCATGCTCATCACCCAGTCTGCGTTTTTTAATGGTAAGAGAGGCAATAGTCATGATACCACAAATAGCTGTATAAAAGATCCACATATTACTCAAACCAGCCACGAAAGAAGTGCGGTCGACTGTTCCTCCTCCGTCATTATCCCCGGCCTCTGCATTTGAGCCCGAGTCCGACAAACGAAGGTCACCTAATCCACTTTGCGCCACCACACCCCCGATCACTAGAGATAGAGACGTTGCTAGATTCTTTAGAAATGCCAGAGCTGCATTCCCGGCAGCCACGTTCTCAGGCTTCAGCGAGTTTTGAAAGGCGATCATCGGGGCCTGGAATAGTGGTCCAGAGCCAATCCCAGCAATGAACTGGTAGACCACAATTTTCCATAACACTAGGCGGGGTCCAAAATCGATGAACAATCCTGTTCCTGTCGTCATGATAAAGCATCCAATCCAGATCACTGGGCGGAATTTGCCTGTGCGTTGCACGAAAAATCCGCTGGCGAGCGTCATGGCGGATAAGGGTAGCACCAGGGCAAATAAGTATAGGCCGGACTGAATGGGGCTGACGCCAAGAATTGTCTGAAAGTAAAGCGGGTTGAAGTAGCTATAGGAGATGAAAGTGAAACTGTGACAAAAAGCTGTCAGAAGGCAAGGGACCGTTGACCGACTGACGAGACTGCGGAGGGGAATGACAGGGCACTTGGCGACAGCCCACTCATAATATCCCCATATGACCAGAATCAAAATTCCCCCAATGATTAGGCCCAGGGTAAAGGCCGAGTCCCAGCTATGTTCGTTGCCGTTCCCTGATTCGAGTCCATATAAGAAGCTGACAGTCCCTCCAACAACCAAAACGGAGCCAGCCCAGTCAAATGAGCGGAGGGTGGCAACAGATGTGGTCACTGGCTCAAGATGCAGGAAGAAAAACAGAATAACCAGTGAGAGGCCATCGAACGGCAGGTTAATATAGACTGCGGTTACAATGAAGTAATACGTTAGCAAAAGTCACATCTCACGGGGTTCGGTCAAACAACTCACAGCACCAACGCCAGCCAATTGTTTGTGTGAATACTCCCCCCAATATAGGACCGACACCACTGGAGATAGCCCATACAACCCCCGTCAATGCATAATATTTCGCCCTTTCGCGAATGGGAAATAGATCAGCAACTATTATTGTCACCATCACAATAATTCCCCCACTGCCCACTCCTTGTAACACTCGTCCTCCGATCAGCATGAGAGGGGTTCTACTAAGCGCACAGACAACGCTCCCGCATAGAAAAACAACATTGGCAATCATTAAAATCATCCTGCGGCCCCAGATGTCTGATATCCTCGCCCAGAGGGGAGTTGTGGAAGTACTAGCGAGGGTATAGGCGCTGCCAACCCAAGTATATTCCGATGTCGTCGCATGGAGATGGCTGGCTATGACTGGCAATGCGGGTGCAACTATAGTGGTGTCGAGTGCAGCCAGAAACAGACAGAGAAAGAGTGAGACAATCACAAGATGGGAGCGAAATCGTTGTCGCCAAGGTATGGACAGAGTGGATGGTTGCAATCTGTTTTCCTCAACATCACTAGTCAATGACTTCTCTGAAGCCATGGTCGTACTCGAGCGATTAGACTCAACAGATATGTATCTGTGTAGGCCGAGTCTTTATGGGCAGGAGACTGCGAAATCCACGGAGTTTCACCCAACAGGGTTTTCAGCACAACAGACCGGGAGGAGCTGAAAGGTAGTCAGTGCAAGACTACCCAGGGAGTAATGCTCCATTCACCAGAATACTAAATCTAGAACTTTCAACTACTGAGGGTTATCGCGGCTTGGCACCGAGGATCCCTTCGGGGGCCCCCGAAGGATGTCTCGGGTCCAATCAAATGTCCCAGTTTCCAAGGGCCACCTTACCGAAAGATAGCAATCTACTGGTGATTAATCTAGGTAGAGTCATAATTGATTATTATCTCTCTTTCGCGTGTACATGTTGATCAACATGGTAAGGACTTCTCAACCCATGGAACTCTTCCGCGCCTTCTAGGGCGACTTAGACGCCCTCCATCATACCTAGCCCACACATCATGACCCTACCATAGTCTTATTATTCATCTATAACGGAATCCTTTGGATGCTTCCTTCATGGAGCCATCCCTGGGCTGTATCTCCGCCAAAGGCTACCCTGACAAACGTGCAGAATATGCAATAATAAAGATAGCTGACAAATGGCTACCTGCCCAGTCGTATCGCCAGACCAGTCATTCGACACTGGCTCGAAAAGTAAACTAACTACACCCGACGCACTTAGTAAAACTTTCCACTGATAATAGTTACTCCACACGAGTCACTTACAACGGAGTCTGTTGATGGAACACCATTTCCCACTGCTCAGGGCCTATCTTCCGCCAGACACTGGAACACAGCGCATCAAAGCTCTGGGAGTCACGATCGGTCACTCGCCGGGCTGAAACCTTATAGCAGATCAACGCAGATTGCGTACTCCCGTCGAGGATCCGCGCCTCGCTCTCAAGTATAGTATACGAGCTCCACGGGGTGAACTCCCCGCTCGTCAAGATGGAGCTGAGAGTTGGGTGAGATTCTTTGGATAGCTTCATCCCGCCCGGAAAGACCATAATGCAATCGTCCGAAAGTAGGGGGAGGAGATTCGACCCCGAAATGCAGAGGGCATCCCAGGTTTTGTGCTCGAGGGCGAGAATCTCGTTGTGGTTCATGGTAAGGGTGGTGGCTGAGGATGGTGCGGAGAAGTTCGTATTCCTTAAAGTACTGGAAGGAACGGGTCAATTTAATCGAGGTCCTGGACACTAGGCGATTTCTTACCGAAACCTTGACGCTTTTAACTATATCGAACCACGCAGTGACTTTTTTAATAACACAGTCCCTATACTGTATAGAATATACTACATATAATATATGAAGCTTAAACTTATTAATTCAACATAAAGCTTATATATATATGTGAATTGACCCTATAATACTAGGAGCTTTAAAATATATAGAGGGGGTTGTATTGTCCTCAATTAGTTGTACAGTAGTAGTAGTGGTGGTGGTGGTGTTGTAGAAGATATCCTGAGATTAAGCCCTAAGCTTAGGGGTCATGGTGCCCCATTTCTAAAGTTAGCGTGAGTAGTATCTAAATGTAAGGGTCAAAGTGCCTTAAACTATCATAACTGGTAGTTTATAAAGTAGGACCTGATTAATAGATCTAATTGGCTAGATAATGGTGTTGTTTCCGTTGGTAAACTTGGTAAAAATAGTTGGTTGACCGTTAAGCTACATTTCGTCTGCCGTATAATCCTTTCTATCCAGATGATAGTTTATATCAGTAAGCTACTGAAAGTTGGCCCGGAAGAAACCTTTAGCCGTCTGCAACTGGTGCTTCTCTTCAGGCCGACCCAACGCATGTGCTACGATTCTTTTCAGCTCAGTGGCCGTGTTGATCTCGCTCGCCTCTTCACCGAAGTAACGGCCCCCGGTGTTCTGAGTAAAACCGAACATAAGCTTGACATCCTCCAATTCTGGGATTCCATGGGTGTCAAAGGCCTCCCAGTTGGGCAGTATCGGTTCGAACCGAGACTTTTGACCAGTAACTGAAGGTTGAATGCTGTCAGTTGCGGAATCTAAGCGCCGCCTGAGCCTTCAGGTTCCAAACATACCTGACTCAAAGGTAGCGGTCAATTGATCAAATCCAATGAGATCGCTTGCTCCGTGAATAACACGACCGTTCCATCGGGTAGGTTCCAAGAATATGCCATGCACGATGTCACCATAATCTTCGGTGATATTCAAAAATGGGACCTGGTTGTCCCCGCCCCAGTGAGGCACGCGGAATGTCAGGAAGCCCTCAGAGTCGGGGAAAAATGGGAAGCCTCCAAAGACTGGGGCAACCTCCTTGACAAGGAAGTTTTCGAAGTACCAGGCCGGGTTCACAATAACAATCGTCTGGAACCTTCCGGTCTCTCTCGCATATTGTTCTACCCGATACTTCACTGCTAGCATTTAGGATCCGATCTCATTGTATAAAGACTGCCACTCTACTTACTGTCCATTGCTTTCATACTCACCTTTCCACCGGTCAACTCAGTGCAAGGCGGGCCACCACTGTAGACAAAGGTCTCCACACCCGCTTCGATTGCTGCATCGACGATTGACTTTCCAAGATCGAATTCAGTTGGGCCAGCAGGATCTCTCCATGCCTTGTCGTCGGAGTTGATATTCATGTACAGCCCTGATGCTCCTTTCAAGGCTGCTACCATCTCTTCATGGTTGAATCCGTTCGCCTGGACAACGTCCGCTCCAGCCGATGCCAAGGACTGGCTGGCGTCAGAGCTCTTATTGCGTGTAACAGCCCGGACTTTGAATGATGGGTTTTGGAGTAGCGAACGGGCCACAGACCCACCTTGCTTGCCTGTGGCACCTACAACAGCGATGGTTGAAGCCATTGTTACGAAAGAAAAAAAAAAGTATATATATATATATAAAAGAAGGAGTGATAAAGAGAGGATTGAGTAGGCGTGGGACTAAGTTGTCAAGATAATGTATGCTGTGAGCGTGACTTCAAGTGTCAAACTAGGGAAGATGCGCACTGGGGCGACGGCTTTATCTGTCCTCTCAGGCTCATCTGGCTTCTCGCATACGGCTTGATGCACACGTAATACCTGAATTGGATATATATAAACCTTGTAAAACCTTTCCTCAGCTCTAGTGCAGATCTTTTCCCTTCATGTTCTTGTTCTAGCCGATCTACCGAATCCTTTCGACTTCGAAAGTTCTAGCGGCCCATCAACTATCTTTTTGAAAAAGTTTATTGAAAGTACTACTGTTATGTAAGGCAATTCTCCACAGGTCTCCACTTCCACATATAGTCCCGAAGATACGAGCGCAGATATCTTGGCTATTCAAGGTGGGCCCCCGAACTTTCCGCATAGTCTCCGGGTTTTAAGCGAGAGCTACCATGTGTTATTACCAATAGCGAAAATCGGCAAGTTAAGGTCGATCAGCCTGTCTGATTGATTTTGATCGATCTTCGTCTACCCCCTTTTGAGCAGTCGGCGTGGCGTGGTCGCTTGTACCAAGGCCTTTGTCAGGTCATTCGGTGTATGCGGAACTCGACAACATGTGGGGAGCAATAGAATAAAGATCCATTCCAAACAAGAAAGCGCTACTGACAATTGAGGCAGGATGCTTTGTAGATCCGGGTTATGCTGTTGTCTATGCAGTGACGCCGAGAAAGTACTGCGCATACACATTGACTGCTCAGCACTGGACGATATCCTTAATGATAATCCCAGACTACGGAGCGGCTTCCTGCTGGTGTCTCTCTAGAACTATGAGTAGCTTCCGAGTGGCGACATAGAGTAGCTGCGGATCATGTTGTCACTGAATCCCCGGCTTCATGATGGTTGTGAAAAATTTCCACAACTCGCCGGTCGAACCGATCGTATTCCCACGAGCAATGTGGGCCAACATCGTATTCAGGGCCTTGCGATGGAATCATACTTTGGCAATGGATCCACCCATCGCCAAAGATCTGGGAGAGGGACTTGGGCTTGGTGGACTGGCAACATTTTGACTGCCACGTAGCTTTCCAAGATGTGGCGGAGGCGAGTATTGTAGAATTCAATCTCCCTTCTTCACGCCACGCATCGCAGAGGGAAATACAAAGCGGGATACTGGGTGCACCCCCTGAAACCTCTCTTGAGACCGTATTGCACTCTAGTCAGTGAGTCGACGCCTACAGCAATCAGCAGAATAAGATCGATCATGGTGAAAGAAAGAGCTCGCAAGGGAAAGTGGCCTCATCTCAGCCTTCAACGCGAATTGGCTAACAATAGAAGCCACACACCGCTGTTCTTCAGCTGGATGAGAAAACCCTAGTATTGGCCCGGAGTAGTGCGAGATCTGCGATGGTGGAACTCAGAGCTCCATACACGGGTGGGTCCCCTCAGCTAGTCACGGGTGTTGACTATCATATTATAGGAGGCCACTAATGATGATAGTACGGAAAGTGAAGGCTGAGCGTCGGGTTGCTGGAATATCGTACATAGTGGAAGGGACGTAGATGGTTCGGGGGTTTGACTTTGATGCAACACACAGCTCCACTGATGGAAGCTCCGACGTACAGATAAAAAGATTTTTTTTTCCAATTCACCAGAGTTGGTCTCCCCCTCAATCAGAATATATAAACACCTAGTTCCACGTAGACATATGATTAACAATAGCGTTCGTTCTTGTAGTTGTTCTAAATAACCGGACATACCCGCATCATGCCTTCGGCTGATATCAGTCCTCAAGGGGAGTACCAACTTGCGGTCGAATGCAACGAAGGCCTAGGTCAACTCTTTTTTGAACAGGTTCGACGACAATGCTCGTCACTAGCGGTGGTTGACGGCGGCTTCTCGCTCACATACGAGGAGGTACACAGACATGCTTGTCGAGTGGCGAATAGACTCTCTCTTACTTCTTTAGCCATCGAGGAGCCTGTTGGTATCATTGTCAACCATGGGCTAAACGATGCACTGGCACAGATGGGAACAATTTATGCTGGCGGGACTTGTGTCCCGATGGATCCAAACCTTCCAGACCAGCAGATTCGGAACCGATTGGAGAAGCTTCAAACGCGATTTGTCCTGGTTGACGGCCCAAACAAAGCCCGAGACCTGCCATTCACCCAAATCTTACTAGACGATATGTTTATTCCGGACACTACTTGCAGTACATCGTGGGACGAAGATCGCTATCCTGTAGCTACAGATCTATCTCACCGGACGCATATCATTCATACTTCCGGGACTACCAGCGAGCCGAAAGCCGTACAGATCGCCGCGCGTTCCATTTTGCAGGTTGTCTTTCATGCACCATTCGAGCCTGTGAATGCTAAAGATGTTGTTGCCCACGTCAACAAGAGTAGCTTTGACGTTGCCCTGTTCGATATATGGGCTCCGCTGCTCCGGGGAGCCCGCATTGCCGTGTTGAATACTCCAGTTCTGTTGGATCTTCGCCTTATGGCCAAACATATCGACCTACTGGGCATCACTGTCATGGCCACCACGACCGCACTGCTTAACCTAGCTGCATCGACATTTCCTCGCGCTTTTTCCAAGCTACGCCTTTGCTTTATTGGTGGTGAAGCGGCGAATGTTGCAGCCATCCAAACAATCTTTAACGAAGGGCCCCCAGCTATGTTGGTCAATGCGTACGGTCCCACAGAATGCTGTATCTTTTGTCTTACTCACCAGATTACTCCGAAAGACCTACATGCGGGCTCTATCAGCATCGGTATGCCAATCGGTCAAACAGTTGCTTATATTGCCAATGAGGCCGGGCAAGAAAGTGATGAAGGTGAACTCTGGATAGGAGGAGCCGGTCTTTCTCCGGGCTATGTCAACCAGCCTGAGAAAAATGCAGAGTCATTTGTTACAGTTGAAAATGCTGCCGCAAGTCCCAACGGCCCCCTTCGGCTTTATCGCACTGGTGATCTGGTTCGCCGTCGCCAAGATGGCCAAATTGATTATATCGGCCGCAGCGATCATCAAGTCAAAATCCGCGGATTCCGAGTCGAGCTCGGAGCCATCGAATCTAGTCTGCTCCAAACTGGCTACTTCTCTGAAGTGGTCGCGATGAAGGTCGAACTGCCACAAGCCGGAGCTGGCTCACTGCTGGCTGCATACGCCACTCCTGCGGATCCAGACAGTCCTCCAAACATTGATTCTGTGCTAAAAGATCTCAGAAATGTTCTCCCAGATTACATGATCCCTCAGCTGGAATTGATCCCAAAGATGCCTCTCAACAGTCATTGCAAAGTCGATCGGAAGCACCTAGCGACGCTCTTTTGCCAACGGTGGAAGGACCAACAGAAAGACACATTGTCTCGTTCGCTACGTAAAGATACTCGAGCGATTTTAACCGTCCTTTGGGCCAACCTCTTGGCCAATCCGGTGCCCTCATACCAAGATGAAGATGATTTCTTCGCTTTGGGTGGTACCTCCTTGCAAGCATCGCTATTGATCAGTCAGATCCGACGCGCCTGCTCGTGCGAAATCTCTCTTTTGGCTCTGTACGATAACTCAACCCTCGGTGCTCTTGCCAACATCATCGATCGTTGTCCCAAAGACGGGAGCTTTGAGACCGTCCGCAACGAGACTGATATCTGGGTCGCCGATTCAATGCTTGCTGACGACATTCCTACCCCAGTCGGACCGCCCGTAAATTGGCAGAGCGATATTGAAGGTCGGGTTTTCTTCACCGGTGCGACAGGATTTGTTGGTGCGTTTATGCTAGCAGATCTTCTTCGTATGCCGAACGTCCACCAGATTGGCTGCCTGGTCAGGGCTAAAAACGCAGAGGTGGGCATGAAGCGCCTGAAGACTGCCTTGGCCAAATATGGTCTCTGGGATGAGCGGTTTCGCTACAAACTATTGGCCTTCCCTGGTCTACTGGAGGAAGCATATTTAGGTCTCGGGCAAGCGCGCTTTAACGAGCTAGCCAATTGGGCCAGTGTTGTCTTTCACCTTGGCGCTCGGGTCAACTATACCCAGCCCTACTCTTTACATCGCCCGGCCAACACTCTTGGTACTGTCAATGTGATCCGTTTTGCCTGTGCTGGAAGAAACAAGCCCGTTCACTATGTATCTAGCATCTCATGCTTTGGACCTACCGGCTTCGTAACTGGTTCTACTGCAGTCGATGAGGATGAAGCCCTCCTACCACATCTCAAGGCGCTTCCCTACGACCATGGATATGCACAGAGTCAATGGGTTGCCGAACAGCTGTTGCGTCGTCTAATGGGCCGAGGATTCCCTATTGCAGTCTACCGTCCGGGATTCATCACCGGGCACAGCCAAACCGGCGCTTGCAACCCCGATGACTTTTTCAGTCGCCTGATCCACGCCTGCTTTGAGTTAGGATGTTACCCCCAGCTTCCCAACCAACGCAAGGAATTCATTTCTGTTGACTATGTCAACTCAGCCATTCTGCATATTGCTGGCGATCCCGCAAATCTCGGACATGCTTTCCATATCGTGCCGCCGACAAAGGACGACAACATCGATATGGATGCCTCCATGGAGCTCCTTAATGGGAAGACTGACTCTGTCATTGAACGCGTGCCCTATTCGGAATGGATCGACCGTTTGTCTTCCAAGACACCAAAGTCATTGCAACCATTGCTACCCATGCTAGCCGAGAAGGTCCAAGATGGTTTGACAAGGTGGGAGCTCTATGAGAACATGCCACAATATCAGACGAAAAATACAATGAGGGCCTTGGAGGACTATCCGGGGGGCTTGGAATTTCGTCCTCTGGACTCTTCGTTAATGGGAAAGTACGTGGACTATCTACGGAGCCATTCATCCTGGGTGGTATGAAATTGAGATGTCGAAGTGCCTCGCTTGGTATTGATAAAAGTCCTTACTATTCGTTTCTCCTTTGTATGTACATAGTGAATGTTTAATATAGAATTAGGGGTTATGCTCCTAAAACTCTCTATGCTGTATTGCTCGGGTTACGGTTTACATTTTCTTACGTATTTTTATTTACTTTTACTCGGTCTTCGTTTGTTCTAGTTTCTGTCCTTTCTCGTGCGATTGGTGGAAGGCATGGCCAAACGAGTGGTCAATAGTAGACTGGAGTATCTCGGCATCTTGCATACGGAGTATTGCCCTTAAGCTCGACCGTCAGTGCAGGATAGATTAACGATCAAAAGCTCAGTTGCAAGATATAGACATATCCGGTACTTGTAGGCTCGTGTACTCCGTACGCATAAATATATCACAAGCCAATAAGGTAAGAGGCGATACTGATCTGTGATCTCGACTGACATAGCCAAAGAAATCATTCATCTGAGATAGATCATCTGGGGGGAAGGCCCGACACCAACCGTTCTGAAGAATGTAAGGGCTTTTCCTTGTGGGCCGACGGCGGTGATGCACTCTAACGCCCTCCCACTGCCACGGAACCCGCACAGTTAGCGCACCGGCCGTCGACGGTAACTGTTGGTGGCACAGGAAAGGATGGAGCGTGATGGAGCCGCAGGGAAGTCTGCGGCTTGGCTACGGCGGGATCGAGCTCATTTAGTCGGTTGTGGAGGTCGATGATTTGGTTCGACTGTTGGAACTGAGCAATCACCCCGGCGGGGGTGGAGACTGATATGTGCAGAATGGTACATCACTTACAGCAACGCCGTCTGGTTTGGCTTCTTCCCTTAATCGGTCCATTCACACCAATAGCCAAACTGGATACAATTAAACCATTGCGGACGCTCCCTGCTACGGCGGATCTTCCTTGCCTGGTATTGGTAGTAAATTGCGCCAGGGCCCAAGTATGAGTTTTCCTGGGATAAGATATGGAGGAGTGGCACTACTAACTGCACTCACTGGGATAGTCCTTGGGACTCTCTTTGGTAAATATGGTGCATCGTCAAAACCCTACTCAAAGAATAGAGAAAGTTATACTAAGCAGCTAGAGACCAGGACACGGACGGTTCTAACAATACCGCTTCACCACGAATTCCCGACAGATTAGTTTAGATTTAATTTTGAGCAATGAAATCCTGGGTGGAGAGTCGAAAACCTTCTCTTTTTGCATGGACCAGTACCCTGTACTCGGGTTTCATTGCTGTCGGAGAAAAGCCATTCTGAAGGGAGCAACCCCTTTTCCTCTCTGCCCGGCTGGCGACATGTTCTCACATCTTGATGTGCTCTCACTGCGCATGAGCAGGGATGATTGCTCCAGGCAGGGATGAAATACGCCGAGCCCTGTCACTAACGCATCAGATATATATATCTGGGTGGTGTTGGAAGCCGAATCACATGAATAATTCATAGAATGGAAAAGTAAAAAGGCCAAAAGGAGCTAAGGGAACCCAAGGCAAACACAAGGAATTCACGATTATAATCAAACTTCACCGTCTGAGTTGAGCTAGACGATCCCCCTGTCTATAAGAATGTATAAAATAGATTACGGTCCGCCTTGGGCCTTGGCTGATCCTTTTCACTCGCTAGGGCAAACGGATCCTTATACTTAGTGCGTGCCGCCCCAGTCATTCCGATTCTCCCCGCCCCGTTCGAATGCTACGCTGACAGAGGAGTACTTTAGGGTTAATCGGATGCCTTTGTCCCTATAATCCTTTAAGGATTTAGGCTCAATCCGTAGCGTTGCTCAAACCCGGATCTTCTGAAACTCCTCCAAAGAGAAGCCAGCGATCAAGCCCATTGACCGGGGTTAAGCTTCGACGCTATTCTAGTTGAGATCAAGATGTTGGCCAATTCCTATCAGATTACAAATGCGTGTTGGCCCATCCTGCTGTATACCGGCCGCAGGCCTTTCGTTTGGCGCTTCCGGTAAAGAAGATGCCAGAACGAAATACGAGAATCTATCACACAACCTGCTACAGACCGTGCAAAGCTACGCTCGGGATGTCCTTACCAGCAGCTGAATGCTCCGATGGCATCTCCATAACGCTATCTATAACCCAAACAAATTGCGAGTGTCTGGAGAAGCAGGAGCCTGGGCAGGACACGCCGAACTTGTCCCTGTGCGAAGGGTCGCCAGAGCGCCGGAGAAAAAAAGCCATTGTCGTTCTTCCTCGCCTTTCTGTGTCTACTTCTGATGGTCTTCCTCGTTTCGCTGGATACGACCACCTTGGCCGTCGTGGTCATTCAGCCTATCTACACAAGCATCTCGGATATTATCGGCCGGAAAGCCCCTCTCTACATCGCTATTGGCCTTTTCTTTATTGGATCTATTGCTTTCTCCGTGGCCAAGAGCATGGCAGTGATTATTCTGGGCTGCGTACTCCAAGGTCTTGGTGGCGGCGGTCTAGATGTTCTAAGTGAGGTTATTGTCGCTGATATCACCACACTGCAAGAGCGTCCGCTGTATATTGGCCTACTATCCCTGCCCATGGCCGCAGGAAGTATTCTCGGACCTATTCTGGGTGCTCTTTTCAGTGAATATGTGGACTGGCGGTGGATCGGCGGGATCAACCTTCCAGTGATTGCCGTGGCTGTCGTTCTGGCCATTTTCTTTATGCGTCTCAAGCAAATCGGCAAACCATTCCGTGAGCAGACTCATCCTTTAGATTGGCTTGGCATTCTTCTATTCCTGGTTGGATGCGCCGCTGAGCTGGGCAGGAACCATATACCCATGGAAATCCTAGCGGACCATTGTCTCCCTGGTAATTGGTGTCCTAGTTCTGATTGTTTTTGCCGTGTATGAGGCCCAGCCTGTTAAACCGGTCTTTCCCTACCGCATCTTCCGTTCCCGCACGGCCCAAGTGACCCTTATTGGAAGCTTTATCCATGGTATGGTCCTGTATACTCTCTTACAATATCTTCCGCTGTTCTTTCAGGCCATCTATCTTGAATCACCGCTTCGATCTTCCATCTCTATCCTTCCCTTTTGCGTTGTTGTCATGGCCTTTACCGGTATTGCCGCGTGGGCCGTGGATATCTTCCGACACTACCGCTGGGAAATCTGGACTGGCTGGGTCTTCCTTGCCGTCGGGGTCGGACTCTTCGCACTATGGGATCATGATTCCTCCCTGGTTATGACCGCTAGTTTTTAGGTCATCGCTAGCATTGGTATCGGCACAATTTTCACCGTCCCCCCGATCAGTATGCAGGCCAGTGCCCCGTCAGCCGAGGACCAAGGTCTTGCAATGGGTATCATGGTCTCGTTCCGACTCTTTGGAGCACTGATTGGTCTCGCGATCGGAGCAACCACTTTCAGCACTGTATTTGAGAATTCTATGGCCTCTGTTGGCCCGCTGCCAGAGACGTTGACTGTGCTGAAGAACGCGAATGAAGCTGTCGGCTTCATCCCGCAACTGGCCACCGTCGACATGACGCCCGCACTTCGTGATGCACTTCGGGGAGTGTATCTGGAAGCTATTCGCACGATCTGGTACGTGCTGGCCGCGCTTGGTGGCGTGGCTTCCTTAGCTCCTTGTGGGTGGAGAGGTTGACTATTGAGACGGAGGAACTGGGCCGGCAACACTTTGAATAAATGCTGTGGAAACTTAGATTTGGGCTCTTCCTGGAGCTTGGTTTCATATATAGTATGCTGGCGTGGTTTGTGATGACTATACTCATTGTATAAGGGGAAGTATGTCTTTGTCCTACGCAGCAGACCATTGCAGGCATATAATCAACTGGGGAAATGTGCCCAAACTAAAATCATCTAGCATAACGAAGAATGTCACTACAATGTTGCTATGATTAGATGCTAAATATTTATTTATCAGCTCAATAGATCGCTTTCTATATGCTAAAACGGTCGTCAAAAGAAATCTATGTAACACTCAACTATATCACCACCATACTAAAACCAGCTACTTTTATTCCATATCACAAAGAAACCCGTTAAGAGCGGGTTATTTAGTTGTCTATTATAGTTAAAATATTAACAGGACTAATATTGACGTGATCTATCGAATTGTTCAACCTCCCGAGGTCTCCGTACAGTGGTCTCCACCATAGATTTTTCTTTTTCTATTTTTACTATGATATATATACTCCGTAAGCGCTGAACATCGGAGTCTATTCAGCCACACCTTTAAATTAAACCCCATCATTGGCCATAGATACTACTAGTTTCCGTACTATAGCCCCCACCGAATAGGGCCGACCCGCGTTGTTGCCCTACCCCTGGACCTTTTTCCATGACTTACTTCTCAATAGACTCATCTTATTCGTACTTTTTCCACAGTTATTATAGTTCTAATAGGTGAAGGCCATATATTATACATATTGTGGCAGCTATTACTTTCTAGCACACAATTTATTAACACCCAGTGGCTAAGCCGAAAGGGCAACTATCACTAATCTACTAATACATGTCCTAAATATATGCCATGTCTCCTTAGAGCCCATACAGAATTACTTTTAGTACATGTCATCCCATCTGTCACTGTCGCGGCGGATTCTCGTGGGTTAGTAGGTTTGTTAGTAGGCTGGCTTGAAGGCGCTTCTTAAAGTATTTAATATCCTATTCTCGACAGTAAAGGAGACGCAGAAAGTCTCATCCCTTGATTCTGCTCTTACAGATCTGCAGTCGTTGATTTTTCGGGACAAGAGCTAATTTCTCTTGTTCTGTTAGAAATTGGACTTAATATTTAGATTTATCTGTTTACTCGAATAATACCCCAAATAGGAGTCGTATTTTCTGACTTGCCACTAAGTTACATATACATACTTATTGCTGGCTGTATACAACTAAGAAGAGCAATAAAGACAACCAAGTCTTATTATTTTATATATATAAATTAGTTCCCTGTAGAGTTGGAGCGACTAAATCCACAAGATTCTAAAAGTTAAAAAAAAAAAAAAAAAAAAAAGGGACTGATAACAATAGAAAACTAGTAGTAAAATAAGTATACATTTTACTAGATACAGAACAACTGGCTCTGTATTTGCAAAAATATTTGTGGGAAAACACAGTAAAAAAAAAAAATAATAAACAGAGCTAGAAAAATTGAACTAATTTCCAAAATTTTGAAGATTTCTCTGCAAGGCTTCCTGCAGCTGACATGCCTCAGCCTAACGGTGGCGGCTGTGAGGTAATTCTGCGGCCAGTTGGAGTAAGATCTTATTGTTATAGATACTAATAGTAACCGTATCCAAAACACTTAGCAGTTTACAGAGAATATGCTGTGTAATTATATATTAATAAATATTATCGATAAAAAGCTTTTGTAGCAATCTAGAAGTATTAGAGATAAAACTTGACAATATATATATACTTAAATATATTTTATAATAGGCCAAGTCGTTTCAAGTTTTGATACAAGTCTACTCGGTTATATTAACAACAACAACCCTGTCTTTTAAGGAACTTGTCAGTCTGCGACCTTTGTTATATATTCTACAAGTTGAATATCCTATTCCAGTCTTCCTCGAATACAGCGTCCAGTGACTTTGCTAGCTACCGTTTAAAACAATCGAGCCTTACCTTCTGGATATTGTATGTGTAATAGTAATTATAAGTAACTGGTTGACAAGTTTCATCTTGCAAAAGCTTTTCCAACTCCCATGTGTATGGCGAAGCCGTAGAAGACGGGGGGCTGGGAGGTAGAGTGGAGGAAGGCGATACCGCCGGCACAGAAGGAAGGGACGGTCACGGACTGTTGGAGGGGGATGGAGTAGGTCTCTTTGTTGCAGGGTGTTGCGACACGTCTGGGTGGGAGACAATTATTATGATGGTGGCTGTCTCGGCGCATACCACAGACAATGTACAAAGAGCAATATCAGAGAACTGGAATGAGAGGGGATAATCAATGCATCCAGCTGTCTGTTCTAAAGGAATCCCAGACCCGTTGCGCTTGTGCAGTTCCGCCTGCCCGCCTTCACGGCTGCCGCAAGCGATTGCTGTTCGTTGTCGGCCCGCTGCGTCCGAGGATCCGCGCCACGCTCCAGGGGCTTCCGGGTGTCAGGCTAGGTTTCCTGACTGCCACGTCCCGAGGTCCTTTCCATAGGCACCACCAATTTCTCGTTGCACATAAGACCTCCTGCCGTCCATCATAGGTGTCATGTTTAGGGACTGGGATGAGAACCGTGCTGTAAGAGCTCGAAGAGAGCCAGCGACCGGCTCTCGCATGCAGGTCTCACGGTGTGGGTGTGCACAGATGTACCAGCCTCTTAAAGTAGGTATCGTGCAACATGGGCCTGGTTGCCCATGGTCGCGTCGTCCGAAGGGGGTCTCTGCTGCCTGACAGCCTCAAGGTGAGCTTCATCCTCTTCGTGAACATGGAGGGGCTTTGTGTTGGATCGTTTCCATTTCTCCAGTCTGTACCGATTTTGAGGAGCAGCCGCTAGGTTGTGTGAAAAAGACGTCCACGTACGTGATGAGATGGCAAAGGAGGAACAACCAGGCAACGAGGCAACGAGGCAGAACAGTACACCGCCTGCTCATCTAAGCTTTTGTTTTCCGGGACGTATTTCTTGATGGTCCAGGTTCTGGGCGATATATAAATAGACCACACCTGTCAAAAGTTAGTAGTTCAAAATATCGACAATGACCTGGGTCATTTCTACAGGATTGGCGGGACGCTAGACTTCGTATTCATCGGTGAGACTGATTTATGTGCAAAATCGATGCGATGATGCCTTTCGGATCAGGCATTCCAAAAGGGGTTCCAACTGACGAGGCAAAGCCAACCTTGTAGGGACTTGGATTCGGTCGCAATCTCAGTGTTTTTTCGGTGGGTAGCTAGGACCATTGTGTAGAACAAACGACGACATATCTCATGTATCGATTCGATCAACAATTGTTTTGCATGCAAGCCTCATGCAAGTCTCCCGCGCCACCAAGTTCAAGTCTTATCGTCGAACAGTATGTCTTGTGTCTGGGTCCGCCATGCCATGCCTCCCAAAGGCCAACATTTCTATCCTTCAAGATCAATAAGGCCATGTAACCCTCAGCTTATAAACCGAGGTCAAACGCACTTACCTAGCGGATGAAGTCAAAGGCGGTGGTCACAGTGGGTAGGCAGTGGCTTAATAGGGCTGTAGCGCTCACCAAGTCTCATGGGGACAGGGTTATCGTCAGCATACCTGCTGATGATATCCATACTGTTGGCGTAAGCTGTCGATCGCTCATTACGAGTCCAAATATACCTACTTGTTTCATCGTTGCATCGTTGTGCTGGAAGATCTTGTCCTTGCAAGACTGTAATGACGCAAGGAATGCCATGGAGTCGCACCACTCAATTTTGAGAGATATGTTTGTTTTACCTCCTTCTTTTATTTCTTCCCCCCCCCCCTTTTTTTTTTCTTTTTTTTTTTCCAATGTTTACCTTCTAGAAGTAAAGAAGTATTCCATTCAGCCAGTCATAAGACAATTTTTGTGCCACTTCCGAGTCTTTGCACATATTAGGTGCTGATCCGGTCGAGAACCCGAGAGACCAAATAAAGTCCACCCCCGACAAAAAAATCAAAAAAAAAGAAAAGAAAAGAAAAGAAAAAGAAAAAATGAAAAGAGGCTCAGAATTTTAGCCGTCGATCGAATCCTACTGGACCAACCAATGAATGGTAAGAGTGGTTGAACCATGGCATGGAGATCAGTGGAGTAAATAGTGGCAAGAACTTTCTCTATAGAGATGGCCGAAAACGTATAAGGAAAGAATATACGACCATCCACCCAATTCGTCCGCACACTACCAGAAAACCGCAAGGGGCACAAGAAATGGAAGATCGAGGAAGACTTTGCACATGAAAATGGAGCATGAAAACTCTTACTTCAACTCCTGTATTTGGTAACCAGACCCGGAGGGCCCAAAGGTTCATACCCCAGTGGTAGGGATAAAACGACAGCGATCTGCCAGATTCTTAATATCCCTAACCAATCTTATATCCAGAATTAGATCAGGGCAGATTTACACTTTTTAGTGGCTGCGTTGACATACCCTACCGTGTAAATAGATCGACATTGCCACATGCCATCAGCTCTGACTCCTCCATCCCTTTTATAGTTCTCTTGATCATTCTTTCCTGGGCTCAGCACAAGAGCTTTCTTCCCCAACGACACCATGGTGAAAACGTCCGCCACGGCAACTGTTACACCTGATAGTACGTCGCACGTATCCCTAGACTACGCGCTTGAAGCGCAAGGTCTGGAGCAGATCGGTGATGGGAAGGATCTTGTGCGCTGGGCTGCCACGAATCCACGGCACCCCAGGAATTGGAGTCCGCTCAGGAAGGCGTACGATATCACAATCATCATCTTACTAGAATTCTACACGTTGGTGCTCCTTGTATTCTGCCAGCCACCGTCCTCATGCTAACCGATGTGCCTATCTTAGAACCGCCGTCAGCACATCAGGGGTATGATTCGAGATTATAAAGCACGCGTTCAACCGTATACTGATACTTGACGTCATCAGGCAACAGCTGCCAAGAATGCACAGGAACAATTAGGCATTGACCCAACGATATCGTTGTTGCTATACGTGTCAACGTGAGTGGTTGTCCCTCTCGTCGCGAATTGGGCCCACGTGCTGATCAAGGAACAACAGGTATCTACTCGCTCAGGGGATTGGAAGTGTCGTCTTCCCTCCCTATTCGGAATGTTTCGGCCGAAAACGATTATATGTGGTGAGCACGGTGATGTATAGTGTCTTTTGCGCCATCATTGGGGCGACCTCGCATCCCGCCGCTGCAGCGGTTGGGCGTATCATCACCGGCTTTCTGTCGGCGGTTCCAAGTGTTGTCATCGCTGGAAGTATCGAAGACATGTTCTCCACCCGAGAGCGCATATGGCTTACCCTACCATATATAGCGGTTGCAGATTTTGGCATTGCGACTGGCCCGGTGATGAGCACGTACATCACGGCTGCTTGGGGATGGTAAGAAAATCCAGGTCACCGAAAACCAAAAGATTCAAGGACTCATGATGATCGTTAGGCAATGGGTCTTCTATGTGGCGGCGATTGTCACTGGCATCCTGGCCATTCTACTGTGTACAATCCGAGAATCCCGACCAACCCTCCTGCTGGAGCGAGAGGTGGCGCAACTGCGCAAAGTGACGGGAGATGAATCCCTAGAGGCCCTGAATCCGGATCGGGTTCTTGATATGGACACCTTCGTGCGCAATGTCATCTTTCGGCCCGCCCAATTGCTCGTTTCGGAGCCGATCATCATGGCGGTATCGATCGTCTGTGGTGTCTCTAGCGGCATTATCTATCTATTTACGGATGTACTGCCACCCGTCTATGCATCGTTCGGCCTTTCGACAACAACCGCCAGCCTTCCGTTCCTCGCTATCGGCTTCGGCTTTATACCGAATATCTACACCCGCTTTCTAGAATATCGTATGGCCATCAAACGCAAGGCGAGGCACGAACCTGTTCTCCCAGAACATAAGTTAGTTGGGTATATTATTGCAGCCCCCGCCTTGATGGGGGCACTGTGGTGGTTTGCGTGGACCATACCCCCAGCGGCTCATGTCCATTGGTTTGTTTCGGTTGTTCCCTTGTTCTTCATTGGATTTGCTATCAATGAGTTCGGGATTGTACTCGTGGGATACATGGCGGACAGCTATCTCTCGTTCTCAGCCAGTGCCTTCGCCGCCCTCTGTCTAGTTCGATGTGTCCTCGCCGCTTCATTCCCCTTATTTACTGGACGCATGTTCGACGCCTTAGGCCCAAATGTTGGAGTATCTGTCCTGGCCGTTGTCGCTACCGTCTTCTGTGCCATTGCACCTTTACTTCGGATATATGGTGAACGACTGAGGAAGAGGAGCAAGTTTGCTTCATACAGTCTCAAGGTTTACACGGAGAATACGGTAGAGAAAAGCGGTCCTTGATTACAAGACTAGGGGTGTTATTTACCATACTGTTTGAATTTTCTTTTCGGTAGATTTGATCCACGTCTGAGGGCGGGGATGGCGTCGAAACCGGCAGGGACGTTCTTCATTGCCCTTGTAATACTATATTGCTCAGGATAGTATATGTCATATATGCTGATTATAGGCAGATATTTCCGCATACTGTATTGACCAGCAACGCTTCTGAATAGATAGTGATATTATAAGGTCCATATATGATGTATCTTCGCCGATATACATGCTAAAGTGAACCCAGAAGGCCATATTATTACGTTTATCACGCTCCTGTCAGCCACTATCGTATTTGCTAACCACCAACCACTTGAAGCTAACCCAGGAGTATCTAGTGAATCAGGGAAAACTGAATAGTAGGAAATGCCGTGTAACAATTGCCAGTAACACGAATTAAGTCTTTCTGATGATGGTATGAAGAGCATTGCGGTCATGGCCTGTACATAGATTGTCTTCTCAGATGGCTCCTACTAACGTTCATAATTCTAAAATAATGCCGTTAGTTCGATTTTGTAGCTATTCCATGCCTTCCTACGTGCTTGAATCACAATCCCGTTTCCGCAGCCCCCTATATCAAAGTTAAGCAAGGGCCAGGAGGTATTCATCTTCAACAGGAATCAGTCAGCCAATTGCTCGTCAGATATCCACCCCAGTCCCCAGAAGATAAGAAGAGCTAGTCACTTACAAACTGGTCCTGAAGGCGACTTCCACTGCGCAACATTGGAAAGTCCAACCGCATCGAACTGCTTCTGCATCCCATCCGGACTATATTTATACCACTCATTCGTGACAACCTCCTCCCCAGGAGCGAGATAGAGACCTAACGGTTCACAATGAACCACCCTGGTAGCCCGGGCCACCCATTGATGCGTCAAAGTAGGCGATCGACGCTGACACACACCAATGAGTTCCCAGTCCTCAGGTCGGTACCATTCATGGCCCAGCACTTTGTTGGAAAGTGCAAGGCCATTGCGGATCATTCGATGCCAACAGTCCTTCACGTCGTTGTATGAGCGCCAGACCTTTTCATCATCATCACAGGCGTCTAGGCCAAGTAGCATGCGGTCTTGTGGCCGCATAACTGATACCCATTTCCTGAGGTCGTTGGTGGCGATCTGGAATTCATCGTTGCCGAAGATGGACCCTAGGCTAAGGAACCACTTGGGCTCTTGGATATTACCGCACCAGGCCCGGAGGTTGTCGAAGGTTCCCCACAGCCCTGTGTACTTAACGACTTGGTACGAGGTAGGCAGCTTCGCGAGAACGTTTTCGAGGGCTTTCCTGGAAATATCAAGGGCGTAGTAGTGGACGTTTTTCCCGTTTCGCTCGAGCTCATTGAGCAACGGTAAAACTTTGGTGACATCCCTAGCACGGTTAATACCAGAACGGCCTCTTCGTAGTGGCGCAATATGCAAACGTACCCACAGCCTAAGTCAATCAAAACGCTGTAATCCTGCACCTGCCGCGCAATATCTTGCGCCCAGCGCTTGAGCAGGTTGATTTCGTCCCGGATGGAATAGAATTCATCGAGCGTGTTGGCCTCCCACCAAAGACGATGAGCGGCTTCATCTCCCCATATAAGTGCGGTTGGCAGCCAGCGCTTACCGTCCTGTTTTCTCAGCAGTCTCTGCTGTAGCATCTGCTTCTGCTGGCTTTCGACGGTGTTATGGACAGTGCCCGTGCCGATGTCGATGATGTTCCCGCTCGCTTCGCCGGGGGACACCATAGTCGTTGTCGCTGTGACAGTCATGGCTACGGTATTGAACAAGATTATTTAAAGGGAAAATACTGTAGAAGTTGATTTGGCTGACCTCAAGGCTGCTTGTGGCTCTTCTGGACTTCGGGTGACGTGCGGTATTTATTTAAGCACGGCACATCTGACGCTCACGTAGAGAGGGTCGGACAATGGGCGGGTTTGCTCCAGGGAGACGACGCGACCAAGGTTACCAAGTGTGAGCTGCGTTGTGATGAGACTCTCGGTCACATCGACCGTCGCAAACCCCCACTTTGCGCGGTTACAAGATATTGTACCATTGGAGTTCGCTCTTCCGACAAGAGCCGACTCAGCGTAGCACGATATTTGCTCATGCAACAGCAATATGTTTACCGAAGCAGTCCGGGATGCATCAAGCAAAACTGACCCCGCATCATTCCAACCAACAGTAGCGCCGTTCTTGACATCGTAGGTCTGTACTCGTTAACCTGAATGAACTCCGTTCTGGACTGGCCTTTCTGCCAATTAGGGCAGAGTCCCGCTCATAAATGTCTTGACCTATTTGTGTAATATGCATCTTACGTGCTGGAAAGCATAATCACAATGCTGATCCCGAAGTGGGCGTGAGGGGAAACAGGGTCGGGACAGGGATTGGGCACACGCACGGACGTCCCTATTAACGTATGCAGGAGTTGTGCAGGATGGTTGTCCAGCTTCAGTAACGGGTCTCTCACTCTCGTATGATTGCATCTCTATGAATGCTCCGCTCTAATGCAAAGAAGCCCCCCTCTCATGGTGTTGCCTAGCGCGTAGCGCGTGCTTTCCTCTGAGAGGTGACCTGTTATACCAAATCAAGTGTTCATTTGGAAAGGCCTGACTTGGGAAGGAGGGGAAGCTGGTTCTCAGAGCATAATGTTGTTTGTCATGTTGGGATTTGTGAATACACACGTTGAATGTAAGGTTTTGTCCCAAGGATAGGTCACTAGCTGGATGTTTTCAAGCACTGTGTGAAACCCTGGGTATCACGATTTGAGAATATCATCTCCGGGCCTACTAGTAGATATAAAGGTTGTGTTTTACCTCCCACCCCTTGCTCTTCTGTACCTCGAGTGTTGGTAGGGATTTGAGGGTCTACACATGTCATCGGAGGTAGTGTGGTGTCAACATCACCAGTCAAGCTTGGCTTGCAGCCATACTCCCCACTTATGGCATAGTCGGATCGCGGGTAAAACTTGAGCAACTGTCATAGACATCTATCTCAAGCGTATTCACTACCTATGGACTAGTTTGGAATCGGTGAGGCCGGGGGCACCCCAAATCGCTGCATTATAACCACAAACTGTGCGATTAGGACCGCATTGCGAAATGCTCTCCTATCTCCTTGCCGGAAGGCCCTTTCCAGGTAATCTTCCGTTAGAGCCCAGTCCAGGAACCCCAGCCTCTCAATATTCTCCTTGGTCAGAAGTCGCAGGAAAACCCGATGGACCGGTCCGTTCTCTTTATACTGCGTGGGGCCACAGTACGCTACCTTGCGGCGAGCATAGATCTCATCAGTAACGAAGGGACGTGCAGCTTGCCGGAGAATATACTTCTCGTTAAATGTGTTGTCTTCAGGATTGTACCGCATCTTCAGGCTAGGTGGCAGGAAATTCACATATTGATTCAGGTGGTGGTCTAGGAATGCAGGACGACTTTCTACGTGGTGTGCCATGTCCATGTTATCGCCGACCCATCGAAGGATAAAGTTGGGTAGATATGATCGTAACCAGATATATTGCGATGTGTGCAATGGATGCCACTTGTTGGCTATCATTTCGAGGATCCGACCATCTAGGTCCTCAGCCAGCCGGGTCTCAGGGTCTCCTGCAGACAGATAGGTGCTTGTCCAGGGGAGAAAGGGGAGATAGCCGCACTTCGCTACCTCTCGCATGGTATGCGTGTTATTCACCATGCGAGCTGTAGATACTGGCACAACATGGCCACCGTCACCGAAGATAACGGCACCAGTATTGTCGCGTGCCTCTCGCCATGCCTTCTCCCGAACGTGGGGAGGGAGGTCTGCCGCTGGCCAGGAGTAGTCGGGCTCTTGGAGAAGGTCAGGACGGAAATCGGGATACCCGACGAAGTGTTCATCGGATCCTTCACCTGGATATATCAACCCCGCTTAGTGTTGGTTCATTAATTGTCGATCAAGGGGAAGGTAAGAGCATACCTGTGAGAACAACCTTCATTCCCAGAGAATGAACCTTTTCGGACAAAGCCAGCTTACCAAGACCATTCAGGTCCGGGAATGGTATCTCGCTGTACCATACTGCATCTTCAAAACGCGATGCAAGGTTCGGCTCATCCATATGCACAGGGTGATATTCAACGCCCAACCAGTCGGCCGTGCGCTGTGCGACATCTAGAGAACCTTTAACGGGCTAGTCAATGTCTAAAGGGTTCACCAACATACCAGACTCATCCGCGCCGCTGTCTTTGTCGAACTGCACGGTGAAGCATCGCAGCCGTGACAGATCCCCAGTATTATCGTTTCCCAGCTTGGTGCCTTCCTCCTTGATTAAGTGAGCCACGATTCCTGCAATGGCGGAAGAATCTAGACCTCCGCTCAAGTATACCCCCACGGGGACATCAGCCCTGAGTCTCACCCTAACAGCTTCAAGCAGCCGTTCCCGAACGCCTTCTACCATCTCCGCTTCAGACCGCGTTTCAAGCACCCTCTGTTGATTCGTAATTATCAGTAAATTCATCACCAAGCACCAAAGCCAATAATGGGAAAAGTGATAGACGGAAACACACCTTATCCGGAAAATCAGTATCCCAATAAATGGTCTGCTTAATGCCCCCCTTATAATTCTGACAAACTAGATAATGCCCAGGAAGCACCTAGCCATGAGGTCAGCCTCATCAACATAACAGCATCAGGGCCAAAAACCCAAAAGGAAAAAAGGAAGAACAAGCCTTCTCCACCCCCTTGAAAAATGTCTTTGTCCCCATTTTCCAAGCATACCCCCGAAGGGTCTCAACGCACCACTCAGGTCTCCACCCAAACCCCAGAAACGCCTTCATCTCCGTCGCGACAATCAACCGATCATCAATGATGGTATAATAGAGAGGCTTGATACCATAGCGATCTCGCGCCGCGAAGAAGACCTCGCGCTTGGAGTCCCAGAGTACGAAGGCGAACTCGCCGCGCAAGTGCGAGAGAAAGGCTCGTCCATAGTGCTTATATAGCGCAATGACGATCTCACAGTCGCTTTTGCCTTGGAAATTGTATTCGTTTGCTAGTTGGGTGTAGTACGCTTCGTGGCCATAGAGTTCGCCGTTGACGACGGCTGTTATGCCATCTTGGGTATCGACGAAGGGTTGGTTTCCATCCGGGCTGAGATCGACAATCGAGAGACGGACATGGCCGAGGCCTAATTTTATTAGCAGATGATCACCACGCAGGGGGCTACAGAGGGAGAAGACATTGAGGGTAAATTGGGCAAAACGCGAGTTGAGAGCTGTTACGTACCAACTCTGGTGTCAGCACTCATCCACACACCCCGTGCATCAGGGCCTCTATGTTTAATGATATCCAAACTCTTGTTAAGTTCCGTTTTTCGACCTTCAGCACTCCCCTGCAAGGGAGGTCCATTGGGCCCTTGGATATCCACGTAGGCCGATATTCCACACATTGTTAGAGACGAAAGTATTGGGTTTTCAATATTATCACAAGATGGATGCTCCAGGTACAGTCTGTTGTCTGAGATGCGATAAGTAGATATGTACTGATGTGTGACTCAATCACGGAATTGATCCTGCCCCAGGGATACAGAGTGGCTCTACCTGGGCAACTCATCTTAGTCCTCCACTCGAGAAGGGGAAAGGCGGGGGAGCATCATCATGCTCTGGATCCTGTATACGTACCCAACAACGTCACTTGCCCGCAGCAATGCAACTAAATGGTTTATGCAGACCGATAATCACATCTTCGTGATCGTGGCTGGCTTGGAGTCCGTGAACCAATACGCGCCGTGTATCAGGTGAAAAATGAAAGACACTAAAACAGCCAATTATTCCTTGCCATGTATTATAGAAACAGAACTTTATATTGTATTTTGAAATGCATGGCTCATAAAGATGGTATTTCTTGCAATAAAATAAACAATAAATTCTTTTACCTGCAGCATTACTGGAATGATGGTTTCCTTGATGGTAGTGCCTACGGAAACTGTATCCAAGCTAGGTTATGACGTGCAGTACGGCTAGGAACATAGTGATTTCTGGTGATGGTGGCTGGCTGGACTCTGCAGATCAATACGTGTCATATCCTAGGAGAAGGTTGAAGACAGCATCCAATCATCGCTTGATATACTATGTAGGAGTGGGACTCGGTATAGGATTGGAAAGGATCATCAAAAGGAAACTGTTTTACTCAACGCCGTCGGGAGCGAACAGTCTCATTTACTGCCTGCAGCATTACTAGGATTATATTTCGTTTCCAAGTTCCAGGCTTACAGCACCAACTGATGCTTGGTTGATTGCCCGACATTCGTGCACAGGTCGTTAAATTCCCCGTTACAACGTAGACTTTCCCATTGTATGCAGCTTGCAGGTGGCCAATCGTGATCCCTGACCTCAGGATATATCCTTGTACAGCGCGGAATAGTGGGTAATGCTTCTGTCATGGTATCTTGGGAACTTTGACAATACAAGTTTGAAATATTGCACACACGTTTGGAGATGAAGCCCTAATAAATTTGCAGATGCAGCCTGTGTATTCGTGAATGGGTGCTCCCCCCGTTACCCCCCCCCCCTCCCCCCCGGGGGGGGATGAGTGGTCGATCACAACCGCAAGAGAGCAGTAGGCCTACAGAGAGAAATGAATAGTTGTGCAGCGGTAATTCATAAGTAGTGTGTACCTTAGATTCTTCCTGGTAGTTATGACCTGGCGACTTACTACGTACACTATCAAGAAACGCTTAAGACATAGCCATAACAAGCAAGATGAAGACAGCATTCGGCAAGCCCATGAGGCAACAGTTTCTCTTCGACGGCTCTTGGGTAAACATGAACCACGGTAATCGCTATCCCCAACATCCACTACCCTATATAGCCCTCACTAATACTAATCGATATCAGGCTCCTTCGGCGCCATCCCCAAATACGTCCGCAAGTGCCTCCTCGAGAAGCAAGACCTCGTGGAAACATCTCCAGACGCCTTTATTCGCTATGATTACAGTAAACACCTCCTTGAATCACGTAAAGCTGTCGCCGACCTGGTCAATGCCCCGCTGGGAACTATAGCCCTAATCCCCAACGCAACAAGCGGCATTGACACTATTCTCCGCAACCTCGACTACACAGCCCGCGACCACATTCTAAGCTTCAGTACAGTCTACGGCGCCGCAGAACGCACGATGCTCCATCTCGCCGAAACAACTGGCGTGAACGTCACCCGCATCCCTCTCGCCTACCCCCTCTCCGACGCGGAAGTTCTACACAGGCTCTACCGCACCGTGGCCCAAATTCGCGAAAAAGACGAAGACATCAAAGTGGTCGTCTTCGACACCATAGTCTTCGAGCCCGGCGTGCGCATGCCCTTCGAAGCCCTGATCACCGCCTGCCGCGAGCTGGGTATTCTCTCTTGCGTCGACGCCGCCCATTGCGTCGGCCAAATTCCCATTGATTTATCCGATCTGGAACCGGACTTCTTCGTCAGTAACCTGCACAAATGGCTCTTCGTCCCGCGCGGCTGTGCCGTGCTCTACGTCCCCTCCCGGAACCAGCATCTGATGCGAACGACGTTTCCTACGAGTTGGGGTTATAGGCCCAAGAATGCGACTTGTCAGGGTCAGTTCCGGCAGACATTCGACGAGCAATCCGAGTTTGAGACCTTGTTTGAGAGCTTTGGGACGATGGATTATAGTCCCTTTCTCTGCGTAGCTGATGCGTTGAGGTTTCGGAGGATGGTCTGTGGGGGTGAGGAGGAGATCATGCGGTATAATAGCGAGCTAGCTGCTCGGGGGGGACGGACGATGGCCGAAACCCTGGGGACGGCTATCTTGGATAATGCGGAGGGGAGTTTGACCAGGGGGTGTAGTATGGTTAATGTGCGATTGCCGGTTGATCCGGTGGGCATGCTGGAGGAAGTTGGGGAGTGGATTGCAAAGGCGCTGGTCAGGAGGCATAGGACTTATGTCCCGGTGTTTGTGCATGCGGGACAGCTTTGGGTTAGGGTGAGTGCGCAGGTGTATCTTGATGAGGATGATTTCGTGTTCTTGGGGGAGGCTTTGAAGGGGCTTTGTGATGAGGTTGGGGATGGGGTGTTTTCTAGTCGGGCTTCACGCTTGTAGGTGATTTTTCCTTTATGTTCGGATATGTGTTTACTCTAGCTATGGGGTGTCTAACTTCTGTGCGTGTGTGTGTGTGTATGTGTATGTGTTTCACTCTCCGGTTAAGATGGCGAATCTTTCTAGTGGTCCAATGACCTGTCAATAGCAACGGTATGTGCAACTCCACGGGGAGCATAGTAGGTATCATCTCTAAATTCTCTCAACTGCAGCAGAGAGGCCAGAATCAAGGTCTGAAGCAACTGTGCAGGTAAGAAAAACCGCAGACCAGACAGAGCGTTATGCAATTGGAAATATTCATACAACCCCCAAATGACACATTGTCTCCGGGGTGTAAAATCGGAAACCAGATCCACTTGCAAAATATTGAATGTCTGTTCATACCAGAAGCAATAAATTGTTTAGCCTACTAAGCGGCATAAGGGCCTGTATTTCAAATACTTGTAACTCTTGCAATGTTACATACGAGTTGGTCTATACAACGATCGACGTCTGATAGAACCCCTAGGTTGAGCTGAAAAGCATCCATCTCACTGACTCTCTGGGAGGCGACTCAGCCTTGTCACTGAGCAGCGTTCACAGTTTACTCCGTCAAGGAGGGGGTTGGGTTTGCTAAGGTTTCGCACAGATGACGATATGGGGTTTGAACCAATAGCAAGTGAAAGAGGGTAGCACATTCCAGAGCCTTGGCCTGACTATGGTGTTGATGCAACTTGCCATGCATTAGAGAGGGTGGATAGGATGCAGCTCTCATTCCGCCGATACCGCGCGTAAAAAAAAAAAAAAGAAGAAGAAGGAAAAAAGAAAGGGAGAAGAGGGGTTGGTGGAATCAAAATTCATGTCAAAATCACACTTACGAAGCCTACAGGTATCTTGCACCCACTGGCCCTGTCTCCTTATATTGACCTTCGCAAGATGCCTGTGGCTTGGAGACTTTGGGCTGAGTTATGCGGGGAATGACCCGGAAGTAGAAGTTAATTGACTAAGGGAAACATTGTAAGGGAAGCATTGCAGTATCTAGGTGCGTATTCTCGGTATGCCATCTGTTTGTCGCCCCAGACTAATCTAGGAATCCATATACGGCAGTATTCTCCAAGTACTCTTCCTTGGCGCGGTGCTTCCTTTTACTATTCGAGACGCGATCGCATTGCCCCCCATTTTGCTACGCATTCATTTTCACTTGCCCGAATACGGCTGAAGGAACCATGGTAACTAACCTGGTGAAGGCTGCCGTGGCTCTTCTGTTCATAGCCATTGTCACATATACCAGAAATCGTTGCAGAGGTCACAAGCGAGAACAAAGTGCAGTAAGCAAAACGAATCACGATGCCACGCAAGAAACGCAAGCACACAGGCCTATGCCTGAGCAGCTCTATAGAGACATGTACTTCAAGCTGCACAATATCGAGGAATACCCAGATATCATCAAGCAGGGCCGCAACGTCCTACAGGCTTGTATTTCAGAAGCGCTACAGGTAGCGCACAAATACAATCACCCCATCTTACGGGTTGCGGAATTTTCAGCCGCGGAGGTGTACCAGTTCCTACAAGCGGAGCAGGATGCTGTGATCATGCAATGGCGAGATTATCTGCAGAGAAGGGCCAGCGGCCAGGGGCGGGAAATGTTCTTGTCCGCCGATGAAGCGAGACAGTGGCTCATCCGGAGGGCCCCCATGAAGTTTGTTGACGGCGCATGGCTGGGATATATCCATCGAACAACCAGTCCGTATGCAATGCGCTCCATAACAAAGGATCTATGGCAGATCCTCTCAGAGGAGATTGGGGATGGTGATTTACGGAAAAGTCATGTCCATGTCTTTAGACAGCTGCTGCGAGACCTGGATTATGACCCTGGCCACGCTGACTCGCGGGAGTTTTCCAACAACAGTGATATGGATGACCCTCACATATGGAAAGCATCCATCCTGCAGCTACTCATCTCTTTGTCTCCCGCTGAATTCTTTCCTGAGATTCTGGGGTATAATATGCACTTTGAGATGCTTACCCTGGACACCCTTATAGTCGCTAAAGAGCTGCGCGAATTGAATATCGACCCAACCTATTTTACTCTCCACATTACCATTGACAATGCGCACTCAGGCCATACAGCTATAGCCAGCACTGCCGTGATCAAGTATATGACAGCCATTAAAATGGAACATGGCGATGCTGTTGCCAAACGAATGTGGAACCGGGTCCAAGCAGGATATGCCCTCTCCAGCTGTTCAACACCCGGAGTGAAGGGCCTTCCCAGATCTTGGTATAGTTCCCTCGCAGCAGAGATATTGGACATTTTCAAGGCCAAAACTAGAGCAGCGGACGGGCTTCATGACACCTGTCCTGTGCGGATAGGAACCAAATCGTTGGGCGAATGGATGAACCCGCAGACCTTTGAATCAGAGAAGTCTCAAAGCGAGTTCCTCATCAGCCTGAGTAACTCTCGGCCGTGGGTTTACAAAGGAGACAGTAACCGCAGCCGCATCATCCATTCAATGCTCTGGGAAGGTCGAATGTTTGGGGCTTTCACAGAGTATGAGGTTGCCAGGGTCAGGTGTTGGATTGACAGCCTGTGTAAAGAAAGCAAAGAGCAGGATTTCATCCATAATGATCATTTCTCTGAGCAGTCGTCCCCCTTGCACGGCAATGCCGTCCTCCTGGATACTAGGATCTCAAGTTTACCAAACAAAATCCGCAACCTTGGACACGTGCGGGCGCCAGATATTCCTAACACCCGAGAGGCAAGCCCACTCACGCTGACTATTCCAAGGGATGCAACCGTGAAGTTAGAACGGTTAATCCCGTTGTGGATGACACACCCTTGCCTGCTCGAATCGTGGGTCTCGGTGCCGTGGAGAATCGGCAGCTCTGAAGGCTGCGCCTCCGTGCGTCTTCTTCGCGCTCAACACGGATTCACACCGGAGCGCTCTGTAGTCGATGGCATGGACGAAGTTCGACGAGAGGACCCACAAGGACTGGTAGAAATTGGACTGGATATCATCAACCAGAGCGGATCCAGGGCCCCACAGGATCTCGATGAGGTGCTCCGCTGGTGGCCCTCATCATTTGCATATACTCTAGCATCACTCGCCATGCAGCCAAGAAAGTATACCTGGTGTCTTTTCGGTATGACGCAGGCCTTTGTCCATCTCCACAAATATCTGAGCGTCCATGGTAGCGTCATGTCCGCAAAGAGTCAAGCTATCTTGGTGGAAATCAGTGCCCGGGAACAGATCATCTTGGACTCACTTCGGGATGGGCAAGTTGAGAATGGACCTGAGGTCCGGGAATTACACGCTGGATATGCGATGGCCAAGACTGAAGTGGAGGCCTGCTTCAACCAAGATTGATGAAGCGGGCTAAATCCGGTTCTGTGGCCTACCGAACCCTCCCCACCTCAAGGTCTACGGCGATGGCAGCATGTAGCCCTTATGGATGATTGGTCTGGATCTTCTTCATCTCCCCGATACATTTCTTGAATTTGGTGGATGTCATGCACGATGTCGTTCCAGGGGTGAAACTGATAAATGCGTTCAGAGGGGTAACACTAGCAGCATTGCAACCAAGCCGGTCTGAGCATCACAAGAAACCTTCTGGCTGATGAATATGCAAACTATTGGACTAGTGTCTGTTCGTCGAGTTTTGTCTTGTTGTGTAAATACTGGCTCTCCAATATAACAACCGTCGAAATAGCAAGATCATCAAGGCAGTCTAGTGGGGCCAGCGATCTAATCCAACCCTTCATTTGTCAATTATAAAGCGCATTGGTCTTCCGAAACCGGTTTCATGCATAGAAACTCTGCAAGCCCTACATCAAATTAATTAATTTATTAATACGACCCTCTCACATCACATTCCTTCCCCACCTGGGATGGAATTAATATAACAAGCGTCCCGGTGCGGTCCGTTTTCCCGCCACGGGAGCTCATTGTTACCCATATTTTCGGTGGAGATTTCATATACTTTCCTTCGCCCGTACTTAGTAAGAGGCCCGAGCGACGTTGGGGATGGGGGGTGTCTGTGGTCACTTGAATGAAAAGTTTTTTGGATTACATCGCAGCGGGGCTGGCGGTGATCTTTTCGTGAGTGGGGGATGATTCTACTACGTTTGGTAGGCCATCTGGCTCCTCGAAACATGGAGATCGTTGCTCAGGACGGGTCACATCCACAATATATTGAATTCTAAACACCTCGTGAAGTCTAGTACATGACCCACAGACCCTCGTAGCTAGGTGTCTAGTATCTATGGAGTCCTAGGCAGCCACTGCCTGATTCTTGGCCACCTCCGGCCTCAAAAAGTACGTCAGAACATATCTCTTCTCTTCTCCGTCTTCAGGTTGATTGGTCCTATGTATAGGCGAGCGCAATTGGTTCTTTGATAGCCGCTGCAGCGTGTTGGCGACATGGACAACGACACAGCCCGGCACTGGGGGAGGAATAAATGCCCAGTTTTCTTCCACGCTCTCCGGGCCTTTATGAGCAAGATGAGTCTGAAGGCTCCATTTATCGTAGAAGACAAATGTCAACGTGCCGCTGTCTGTATGCTTGGTCTCCGGTACATCGGAGATGGTGGGAAATGATGGCTCTGCGACGAGTTTGAGGCTGGTCTCGCTGGGCGCCCCAGGGCGGTGCGAGCTCCGTAGTGGGAGGTTCAGTAATTCCTCCAGGCGCGAGAGGATCAGGTGCGAGGCTGCATAACAGTGCGCATGGAATTCATTCAGCAGTGGCTCGTTTTCTGCGAGCGGACCGGACAGCCGTGAGATGCCCTGTTGCATTTCATCGTGCGAGATCTGGCTGTCTTAGCATGACCTCGTCTCTGAGAATGAGGAATCGTCATACCTCAAAGGTTTCTTCGAAGTCGTAGTGTTTGAACCTACCAAATGGGTGATTAGCTGGACCCCAATACATCTTCCGCGCACAGTCAATAGAGACAACGCGACTTGGCATACCCTCGATCACTAGAGGCTGGTTGACCTTTCCTCAGGTCCTGTATCTTTACCTCGAGGGGCTGTTCAAAGTACCGGTCTGACACAGCATAGATGCTCTCCGTTTGCTGACCAATATTCTTGGTGGCCGCGTAATTTCGAAAGTCAAGATAGAACACTCCGTCCGTTCTACAGGCCTCGAGTAACTTGGCATTTTCGGGACCAAAGTTCGCTACGAGGCGATCGAGATCAATGGTAGGAAACAGGTCGGATTGGGGCTGTTCGGCACGAGTCATCTTGAGGTGCCTGAGTAGTTCGGGTCTTTGAAAGCAGAAGAACTTGACGGCAATGTCGAAGCTGAGGGGCTCTTCGTGTGGATGTGAAATACCCGGAAATCGTAGGATATTAGAGTTCTTCATAAACCGATTGTGACGGATACTTACCTGTTCCGCTGGCTTTCCGGAACCACCCCTCTTGGTTTACTCTGCCCTTCACCTCTTTCTAGGACGGTCTCTGCATGCAAAAGTGGGTATACTGCGCGAGCCGTGTAGACATGGACGAGTATGACGTTAGGTTCCAATTCAAAGAGAGCATGTGAAGCACTGAAAAATACTATAGAATGAGAATCACGGACAAATCAGAGCTCAAAATGGTTGCTACTGAGTTCAGATTACGTATGGCTAGACTTGGAGCAGAATGCAATACAGACTGTTTACCTTTCTGTGCCTCGCCCACATATACCTGTCTCATGCGGTATGTATGCCACGCAAGCTCTACCATGCGAGACAGGAGGGAGGGGTAGCCAAGTCATGTACACGTTACCAAGTAGAGCTCAATTGGCTATTACCTCACGTTGGAGGATGCATACTATCTACGCTCATATCCAATCCTCAGGATAGCCCATCCGGTCCGCCTCACGCCATTCCTCATTACCCTCATACGCCTGTCGGACAGGGTCCAGTAATTCATTCAAGGCCGAGGCAACCGCATCCTTCAGTGTCTCGGGTGTTATAAGCTTTTCCTTGTAGTCGTTTTCGATTGCCTCATATGATTGGTAATGTGTGTACACCTTACACTCGCACCCGACGTTTCGTACTGGGATGCTGAAAAGAGTGCCCCAAGGTGCGTCCTTGGCACAGAAGGGCCACTTGACGTCCGCCGAGCCATTGTGTTCATTTAAATCGTAATCTCCGTTACTCACAGACTTCTGGGGTGAATGGCTCTGGTTATTCCACCGAAGCTCACTGATTGGCATTAGAACATGCTTGAGTATCGGTAGTATACCATTGGCTTCCACGACGCCAGGATGACAGGATCCCCTGGAGATCTTCTCCCGCACTGTCTGCGCGTTATCCAAGAACATGATCTTTGAATTTGACGAGTCAGACGATGACATCTTGCCTCCGACCAGACTGGGTAACAGTTCAGTCATCAGATGTGCAGGGGGGCGATATCCGAGTAGTGGAAGGAATTGCTCGCCCAGACCGTAAATTCCTCTCTATTTGAGATGGGTCAGACGATTAGCACTGTATAGTTATTACATCCCTTGCTCGATGCAGAGATGAGTGCAAGTGGCTCAACAAACCTGGTCTTTCCCACCAATCTCGACATCCGCCTGGAAGTATTCCACCATCAGCTCTTGCACAATTGGCGTAAGCAGTGGGCTGAGTAATGTGGCTGCGCCGACTTCAGCACCCGTGGCTCGAATATCCGCTTGGGAGACTAAAGTGCAGAATTTCCAGAGGTCCACGTTATATCGTGGTGTTCCTTGGTGATTGGATTCCTGCTCGAATTTAATCTTGGACATAGGTAGTCCCATCACCGTTAGAACGGTGGTAATGAGATGTCGGTAAAATGTCGTCCTGTGCTGAACCTCTTCCCACGGGTGCTTGTAGTTGATCAGAAATGCGTAGGTATCAACCAGTCCAATGGTGACCTGCATGGTCAGCAATGCACTGTTGATATATATGTGCGATACACCAGGCTTACCTCTCCTCCCGCCCGAAGAAAGTCGGATAGCTTCACCCAGGGAACGAAGTAGCCAATGTGCGCTGGATCCTGTGTTAAGGACAGTTGCATACGGTCAGGGCAGTCACTTACGCTTTCCAGTAGGGGCAGTATCTGAATGACGAAAGACATCGTTGGTCAAATATTGGCTTATTTAACACCAAATTCTTTGCAGGGCCGACGTACCCCAGAGATATCTCACAGGCCTATTTTCCAATAGCAGTGACCGCAATTGCTGTGCAGTCGTTCCATTTTGTAATTCCATACGGCGCGTCACCAAGGAATATTTCTCCTCTATGGTCAACTTTGAAGACATGATGACTCAACTCGTAGGGCGTGGAGTATGGGACAAAGTGTGCCACTAATCAAGACAATGGTAATGATCTCAAGTCGTGCACAGGGGGGCACCAGCGAGGAATATATTGACCGAATACCAGATTCCTACCGCGCCAAGCGCAAATCAACCCATAACCGTATGCATGGCAAGTCAACTCGTATCACGGTTTAACATCGATCGATTCCTAAGTGTGCCGGCTGCCAGAAAGGAGGTGGTCAGTGCATCAATCGTATTGCTGTTACTTTGCCTGGGGCACGCCTGGCAAATTGGTTGGCTGTTTTTATATTGTGGACCCATGTAGAGTGCATGGACGACTGCAGGTTGGGCACACAACCCCTCACCTGCCTTGATATTTTGAATGTCTACGAGAGATTTACCTAGACGAAAGTGATGGATGAGCAATAGCAGATATGTCGTGGGCAATGGTCCACCTACAGCCAGGTGCTTTGAGTCCCTACTCACGTGTTCCAGAATCACAAGTACTTTCTACGTTGGAAAGGTAATATCGCAATCTACCTACTAACAGGGAACCCGGAGTTTGAGGAGTAAGAATGGGGGAAAAGTTACTATGTACTGCGTTTCTTTTGTGGAGGTCGACGAAAAGCCCCAATTTATTCAAATCATTAGTACTGCAAGGCAATTTTATACTATTCGCTTTTTGCATCACTAGATTGCATAGGACCGGTTGCCAGAACCATTCCCACACGATTACCAACTGGGGCAAATGGTAGCAGAATTGACAGTAAGGATGCCAAAGCTATCTTGACATTCTATCCAGGAGCTAGCTCTGCCCGAATATCACCCAATGTTCTCTTCTGTCGCCCGTCCTTATCAAAATTGGTCGGTTGCAACCACAGCTCGAAGGACTTTTTGATATGCTTTCCTTCCCACTCATCCTTCAACAGAGAAAGCCACACCGTATCCCAGTTTCTACCTTTCCAGATCTCATGCTGTCGAAAGATACCTTCGAACACGAATCCGAAACGTAGTGCTGCGCGACGGGACCGCTCATTGAGCGCGTTCGCTCTCCACTCCACCCGACGATAGCCCAGCGTTTCAAATGCATGGTTAAGAAGGAGAAAGATAGCCTCGGTGGCGGCAGTGGTGCGCTGCATCGAGGGAGAAAACAGCACGTGTCCGATCTCCAGGCGCAGATGCTCGGGCTCGATACACATGAGGGCAACGTACCCCAGAACCTGATCAGCCGTGGTCGTCGAATTGCCGGCCATGCCTCCTGGCTTTCCGATGATGGCGAAAAAGAGCGGATCCGCCGAGTTGAACTTCTCTTGGATGGCGGTCCGGAACGCAAGATGATCAGGGTATGGCCCGTCCAGCATGTAGGTCCAGGCCGAGGCATTCGGCTCCCTGGACCCACCCACATTAGCAAAGAGCGACTCGGCATGGTTGGGGGCAAGATGGACCAAGGAGACTGTGCGGCCAGTCAGTGACGTCGCGGCAGTGGGACGGCGAGCCTGTGGAAGTGTGACGGGAGCACCCAGCTGCGATGCCATATTTCCAGATGAATCAGCCGTTTCCGTGATCAAGCGCTTTGTGAAAGGCTCCAATTAATTTAATTGGGAAGCATGGTAAGCATTAAAATATTGAAATGGTCCTAAGCTGAGCACAGAGTAAGATACAACTAGTTAGTTTGCGGGCGGGGCATGAAAATCATGAAATATCCCGCGTAGTCCACGGCCAAGCCCTGAGTGACATATCCTAGTAATTGGGATGGTTAGCCATGGTTCAATAGACACATATAAGTCGTGCATAATACGGCCTTGTAAAAGCTGGTCCTCTATCACCCCGGTTGAGCAGACTCGATGAATATATGTTCCCAACCAATTACGGTGGTTCCTCGCCTCTCCGTTGAGGAGGATCCCTGCTGCACCACAGTCCCAAGGATTGCCATCCATGGCGATGCAATGTAACCCCGCCGCTTGTGGAAAAGAAGTCCAGTGGTGGTTATTGGTTTCTTGGATTCGGTAGGAAGCTTACGCAACGGAAATGACATCACTGAGATATAGTAAAAGTGCGCTCCCCCTCCCCACCACAACGCCATATCACCGATACAGCCCAGTGGATCTACGGACACCCAGGAGGTTCCGCAACCTGCAAGCCACTGTTGGCCACAATGCAGGTGAGATCTAAGATATGAGATCTATCTCGTGGTACCTCACCCCTTGTGCTATGGATCTTGGTTCATATGGTAAGTGCCGGCCGTGAGGAGGCTACAGAGCTACTTTGGTCCTGTAGATGAAAGGAAAAGAAGAAGGGATGCGGATCTCGTATGTAGCTGTGAAGATCTTCCAACCCGTAGCTGGCTTAGGAAGGTGGTGGTGGGTGAATGGTCCAAGTGGACAAAAGGCGAAGTCTAACTATTACCCTTTGGTGTAGGGGGCTGAAGTATATCAGTCCTCTAATCCGTCTCAGAGCCATTGCCCCCTCGCTGGCTGATAGGTCTGATTTTACCAGTCAATATCCCTTCCGCCACCACCAGTAAACACCCCCAGAACAAATAGACAGCAATGCGACCACCGGAGCAAGCCAGTACGGTAAGCCCGTATCGCTATGCCCATCCCGGGAGATGAACGGAGTCAGAAGGAGACATGCCTGGCAGGCAAGAAAGGTATATGGAGCGAACGTCCAAACGCGGAATGGATAGTCCTGAGACGGGACTCGTCGTCGCATCAGCAGTAGGGCGATCACCACCGCTCCACAAACCACTGCCATTTGGTATTGGGTGACATCGACCAGAAATATGTACGCATCGCCTGAATCTCGTTAGTCTTGTCATCGTCGCCGCGCGCTTGGAATGACTACCGACCAAATGGCAGCAAAACGATTGCAATCAGAGCAGACCCGAAGAGGAAGAAAAATGACAATGCAGTGGTCGTGCCAGAGGCGGAGCGATTCGTCAACAAGCTTGCTGCTGGGATGACACCCTCTTCCGCGAGCTCGCGCACAACGCGTACCAGAGCGAAGGAGGATGAGATTAAACTGCCGAAGGTGGAAAGGGCCACAGCGGCCGCCGTGATCCGTGCAGCTTGGTCGCCGAAGACGATACCCAGGAGCATCGCAACGAGCCGTGTCCCTTTGTCACCGATCTCGTCGGGGTTGGCCACGATAAAACACGATATATTGGCCATGAGGTAGAGAATCCCAACCGTCCCGAGACCAAGAATTCCAGCGCTCTTTAATGTTCGGACCGGGTTCTTCACCTCGTCGAGAACGTACGCTGCATTGTGCCATCCTTGAAACGAAGCTAAGATCTTTAGCAAAGCGACCAGGTAATCGTAAGGGTCTGTTGACGACCCGTAAAAGGGGTGATGGAAATTTCTCCATGGGTCTTCGATCCCCGGAGTCAGCCCAGCGATAGTCGCGAGGCCGGTGAGCACTAATCCCAGTAGAATGGCTATCTTCACCAGGCTCACTACATCCATAATTCGCAAGGTTGAATCAGGTGATATGCATTGTAAGGCAGTGGTCAGTAGAAGTACACCCACACACATAGCTCGTTTCCCTACCTCGCTGGTATTGCCATTCATCGCAAGCAGCAGATTATCCACCACGACGACACACGACAGACCTGTACCACCGTCGCATTTCCAGGTCAACTCAGTCTAGTGTTTTCGGCGCGACAGCACACAAGCAGAGGAGCATTACCGACAAATCCTAGCAAAATATAGAAGGTATAGAGGGTAGTACTGAGCCCATGCGGTCGCGGAAATGCCCTTGCTAGATACAACTTTTCTCCCCCGCTTCGTGGCATGAGGCATCCGAGCTCCAGCCAGATAAACATGCCGCAGAACGATAGGGCTAGTCCTCCGAGCCATAAGAAGAGTGCGGCGCCTACACTGCGTACCCCGAGGACAATTGACGAAGGAACGGAAAAGATCGCGGCTCCGATGATGCGATTCATTCTGCCGAGGCTCAGTCAACACTGGTTTTTGGATGGTAGAGATAATCTGAACATGACTAACAACAGAAGCGTCGTTGATCGTAGACCGAGGCGGCGCTTATTGTTTAGGTAGCTAGTTTCGATATCGAGGATGGGACTCTCCTCGTTTCCCGCCGAGTGGTCAGGTACCAATCGACGATAAAGCACTCGTTCGCTTATTGAATCGGGACCACTCCTGTCTTGCGCGCTTGCCATTTTCTAGTGTGACTGAGAGGAAAATAACTAGAAGGGCTAGGGAATATTAAAAAGGGAGGGATAGGAAATAGAATCAAATTCATCATCGGCGTGAGGCACGAAGAAAAAGGAAAAGGAAAGGGTGGAGGAACAGGACAGACGGTGAAGACGGTAGGCATATCAATTTCCTGTTCTGTCGGCCACAGTCATGGTGGCAAGGCAACCCTAAGACAGGTCATGCCGGCCAAATCAGTCATCAAATCAAAAGGTCAAAGTTCCAAGTGACATTATATAGATATTCTTCTATAGTGATGGACTGCGAGTATGATAATAAAATGATTTTAGCCGGAGAGTAATCGTAGGGCGTTAAACTGTATCTAAATATATTATCATAACTTTAGTTTGTTAATATATCTTTCACGATTCAGATTTTACTTGGTTTCACATTCACTTCATTATGTGTATATACGCTAGAAGAATAATTCAACTGCAATTCGTCCATTTCGCCCAGGCTATTATCCCGTCTCGTGATACAGAATACCACCTCTCTGGAGCACTTTGAGCGAGATCTCCGTCGCTATTCTGGGCTGCATCTATTCTCTTCTCCGATCTGCTCGAGGTCTTCTTCAAGAAAGGTGAGACGCACTAGCAACCTGTGGTGAAGCGTACAGTATAATGTTAAAAATCAATCCAATTGTGTTCTATTTCAGAGGCAACAGGCGAAGTTGAGCAGGACAACCGTATGCTGACAATCCAACCTTCAAGGTATTTCATATCTGCGTTTAACTAAATCACTGTTAGTTAAACAGCAAGCGTAACAATCTTTTAGCCTTCCTAGTTCACTGGGCAAATATACATATACTTTCCAACCAGATATGAATAATATTTATCTTACCGATAATTTATTAGCCTAGCTAAATATCCAAGATATTTATGACACTCTACTATAAAATGCTCTTTGTCTAATATTCTATATTTTGAAAATATATTTATAGCCATAGATAATTGTTTCAGCTATTTCGTAATATATTATACGTCTTATAGATCATACTTAAAATCCATTTTTTTAGAATAGTTTTGTATCAAAACCCAAGTTTATATACTGTCCAACATCGAGATCTTTATGAGCCATGGCACTTTGGAGTTCCAATGTCATCATAACCGGCAGGTCCGCCAGGAGGATGCGATACACAGATGGATTTCCCAATGTCATGAGAATCTGGACCGTGCTGCGAATGACTTGGTTCGGAGAGGCAGGCAATATACCCTTTGCGACTTTCCTCTTCTTACCCCGACATACAAGGAGCTTGACTACTTGAACCCTAACATTCTCCCCGTTGTTGGCGTTGGATTCGCTCATGTTCAGGATACAAGAACCCTGTTCGCCTATTCAAGAGGGAACACTTCTTAGCCAGGTCGAAGATACTGCACTCTACGCCACTCGGTGCCGTGCGGAAAGTGTCTTCTTGCGAGGTATCGGCAGCCATTTCGCCCGAGCGCTTGAAAGAGGCCTGAAAACAGGTAGTTCACAGGCACCCCATTCTCCGGGCAATAATTGTCGAAAGTCCCTCCAAAACCCGAACATACGGTCAGACTGTCACACGAGAGCCTATGTATGCTTCGGATACCTGAGTGCTGGGAGGGATGTTCCTTTACCTGGCATTGAAGAAGTTGTTGGGCCTTTATTTATTTATTTAATCAAGTTTAACGTCCATATGGAGCCAATCGGCTATGACAGACACATGCGTCTAGGCAGTGGTCTAGGCCACTGCCTCTAATTTGCCCCTAGAGGCTCTACCAGCCTCTTCTATCCTCTGTGTATTCGTTCTGGTCCTTTTCCTCGCCCGAACCGCCTATCTGCGCCAGAGCATTTGGGCTGTGCCCTCCTCGGTATTCATTGTCTATTGGGTATTACCTAGGCGTGTCTAGGCTACCCCTCCTACTATCCTTCTCCCCTACTCTCTGCTTCCTCTACTAGCCCTAGATCTCTTAGATTATCTCTAGAGATCCTATCTATCTCCCTGGCTGCCTCTCCTGGAAAGCATCCAATCTTTGT